CTCTGTACTAATCTCTGTACTAATCCCTTATAAGGAGATGATATTCGCTGTGTTTTATTTATTTAAAAAACCCTATGGAAATAGCCGTCAGTTGGAAGCCATTTGTGGTCAGGCACAGTTATGGTCTACTCTCACACTGAGTGGAGTTGTAGCGAAACACTTTAATTTCCCAGGTGTGCCATACAGATGATTTTTCAGGACTCTTTCACCATTGACTCGGCTAAAACACAATTAAAAGAACGGAAGAGAGAATTAGTTGAACACTCTGGGCTGGGGATTCAAAACTGTTCCCAGCTACAGACCCATTTCACTAATACATACTGACATCAAAAGAGAAAGCTTATTTGTTTTGAGAGTCTAATGTCTTAGAAGTCACCCTTAACTAAGAGATCGCATATGTTAAGAGAGAAGGGGATAGAGGGGAAAAGGGCAATGCAGTATGTAAATGCATACTGGAGCACTGCCAACACCATGGTGCTCAGTGTTTATTCAGGAAAGTTAGACTGAATGAATTCATACTGGACAATATGCACTGAATCACAGAAACATAGTGCACTTGTGTTTTGCGCTCTCCAGTTGTGTGTATGTGTGTGTGTGTTTGGTGAATCACTATAGGCCTAACTCAAAGCAGTGTATTGTAAGTGGAGATGCAGCATGGACAGACAGACAGACATACAGACAGACAGACAGACAGACATAGGGCCTTTTCTGTTTTATAACAGATTGCACATGAAAGGATTTCATAAAAGCCTTTCCTTTGTGGCTTGTAATTACTAGTGTGCTAATTGCTTCAAATCGCTGACATCTCAAGTGGGATAAGAATGAGAACTTCAAAGGGAAGACAACAACAGGAAAACATCAGTTTTCATAACTAATATAATGCTCTCTTTTCCTCCCACTTCCTCTACCCCTCTATTTTTCTCTCTTCGTCTCTATCTTTCTTTCTCTCTCTCTTTCTCTCTCTTTGCCTCTATATCTCCCTCTCTAACTCTCCTACTCATTTTCCTAAATAAAGTGAACAACGTTGTAACTGTGTTGTTCTGTTGTCTGTGTGTTTGCAGTACAACAGTGAGACCATGTTCCTGGGCATGCCAGAGGCTGGCCTGGACTTTGTGCCAACCAACCAGGTGGGTTAATTACTCTTCCCCGTGCTTTTGTTTTAAGTCTTAATTAAACACATCGCTAAATTAGCACCGGCTATCAGTCGCCACCATAATCAGGGACTATTATTACATGTAAACAGAGCATTTAAAAATGGTTGCAGCCTAATCAATGAAGCCGCTAAATGGTTGGGTTGTTAGAGAGCTTTTATTTTCTTCCCAGTTAGATTTACAGTTCTACCTGATCTCATGGTTTCACTTTGCCGTAATTGGATGAATGTTGATTTTTGACCAATTACAGGGTTAATTCCACATGGTTACAGGGTTAAAACAGAAACAACTCAAAGGGTTACGTTTATGTATTAATTCTGACTGGTTAAGGTTAGGGCTATTTGGGGAAGGCTTAAAACAAAATAATTTAAAATACTGTAATGCGCTGTTTCCATTAAGTGTCATCAGGTACTCTTCCTGCTTACTAGAGCATTGTGAACTGCTGTGGTGCAGTGGTCTAAGCAGCTCGCTCTGGCTCTGAGCCTCATGAGTCCCAGTGCTGTGCCATAATTTTTGGGTGGGTGAGTGCCTACGAAGGCATATATCAACGTCCTCAGGACCTTTTCAAATATCCGAAATCGACGGCTCTTTCTTGTGACCAGCCTGAGCTACAGCCAGGCTGGGTAGAGTAGACAAGACCTGGGTTCAAATACTATTTGAAATGCTATATCTGTGCCTATTTGAGCTTGCATGACTTAATGGACCAATAGAATAGTCCCAAAACTGCAAACCCCACCAATCTGGCACACCCGGCAGGCTAGAGCAAACTATCAAATAGTATTTGAACCCAGGTCAGTTATCACTGAAGAGAGGGGCATTCATGTGTACATGTGTTGCAGGGCTGTTTCTCCCTGTATTGTAGTAGGAGAGCTACAGTAGCTATCTGCCCTGGGTGGATGGTGGATTATTTCAGGATACTGGTGGCGTGTTCCTGGTGTTGTTGGGGTTGACCTCGGGTGAAACTCATTTTGAGCGTGGAGCGTCTAACAGTGGGCTGTGTGATAAGTGTAAATACCACTCAGATAAGGCCCAGTGAACAGGCTAATGGTTAGGAGAGGCTCTCTCTCTCTCTGTGTGTGTGTGTGTGTGTGTGTGTGTGTGTGTGTGTGTGTGTGTGTGTGTGTGTGTGTGTGTGTGTGTGTGTGTGTGTGTGTGTGTGTGTGTGTGTGTGTGTGTGTGGGTGGATGAGGGCCTAGGCCTTAAGGGACGCAACATAATTAAATATTTATAAAGAATCGTATGTTCCTGAGGTAGCCAGATGAGAGATTCTTTCATGTTGTTATAATTTCCCATTTATTGTGTTTTAGTTCAAACACAGTGTTCCTGTCTTTACGAAATGTGTAATTAACTGATTTTGTTAATTAACTAAAGGCTTTTTGTTAATTAGCCTTTAGTCTGTAGGGAAATGTAGGTCGCAGGCAGAACAGGCGGCATTGGTATCACAAATTGCTATTAATAGGATATAGCTGTCCTAAAATAGGATATTTTCAAGTATTGTAGTGGCAGCATCATGTTATGAGTATGCTTGTCCCCGGCCGGGACTGGAGAGTTTGTCAGGATCATAAAAATATGGGAAAGGAACAAAGCCCAGCTAAAACGTTACATAAAACCCTGCCTCAGTCTTCTGAATACATAACCCTGGGATACAGTTGTATTTTTCATCAGGACAATTACACACATTTTAATGCCAAAAACAAACCAGAATAGCATTCCAATAGGTGTTAAGTGTTCCTGAATGGTCCAGTCTCTGTCCTGACTTAAATCTGCTTGAAAGTCAGAGACAAGGTTTGAATATTGCTGTCCATCAATGACTCCCAACCAAATTTACTGAGCTTGAGCAATGTTGACAATAAGAATGGATACATGTTGCCCTAAGAGTTGTGCAAAGTTGGTAGAATCTTATTAAAAAAATTCACAGCTGTAATGGCTGTCAAAGGTGCTTCCTCCAAGTATTACGTCTGGGGTGTGAAGACAAACTGTACACAATCAAGACATCTTCGGTTTAGATTTTTGATTCATTTGGAAAATGTTCTACAATTTTTCCATCACTTTGGAAATATGGAGTAGGTTATGTACGTCGGTAGGGAAAAAATCTAATTTGATAGATGTTTAGATTTTAGGGCAGCTGAATGTGAAGACTGTGTAAGGAGTGTGTATACTTTCACTAGGCACTGCAGCTCGACTTGTTGAATCTCATATTTACTGTCTGCACTAGGGACATTCTCACTGAAATAAATGATAATTAAGATAACTGCTCACTTTTGATATTTTTTGTATTTTATTAGGATCCCCATTAGCTGTTGCAAAAGCAGCAGCTCTTCCTTCCTGGTCCACACAAAACATGAAACATGACATAATACAGAACATTAATAGACAAGAACAGCTCAAGGACAGAACTACATTACTTTTTATTTTTTTAAGCACACATAGCCTACACGGGGCCCCGTGTAGCTTAGTTGGTAGAGCATGGCTCTTGCAACGCTAGGTTTGTGGGTTCGTTTCCCACGGGGGGCCAGTATGAAAATGTATGCACTCACTAACTGTAAATCGCTCTGGATAAGAGCGTCTGCTAAATGACTAAAATGTAAATATCAATACATACACACAAACTATCTAGGTCAAGTTAACACTTTTTTATTCCGTTTAATTTCTTCTCATTATGAAATAGAACTGTTATGAATTAGTTATACCTGGGAAAATAACATTTATCTAAAAAAATGTTTACAGTCAGGTTATTGAAATATTGTGTTGGGAAATTACTGTTTTTGGTTTCGTGTTATGCCACATAACTTAAAATGTGTGAAGGTGTTGTTTCAGAAGAATTCACACCTTCTTGCACGCATCTATGAAACACCCTTCACTATAGTCAGAAACACATTTACTGAGGTGTGCATGCCTGGTACATTTGTTTCACCAGAGATGTTAAAAAATGTATAATTCATAGTCATGCAATCTGAGTAATATGCTGAACCCAATCACCCCACATCTCACTTTTAACCATCTCAGGCAATGTGTATTTGACAGTATGTGAATAATGAATGAAAATCAATTATGGAAGTATACATCTGTCTAGGTCAACATTGGTATGTCATTCTGCATCAGACAGTGTTTCCAATCATTTGTGTGGACATAATTTAATCTACTGTATGCCACTCACACAGTTGTATCCATGACAACCTTTATTTTATTTACTTAAAATATTTAATCATCTACTTAGTCATAGAGATTGCCAGATGCCCCAATAACTAACCCCAAAGGGATTTGTTTATATGGTGTATTCCCATTCCAGAAGGAGAGACAACATGAATAAATAATATTTGAGGTATTATTAATATGGATATAGGGTATTGTAGAGGGAGTACTCAGGAATGTATGGGGGAAATATATTTCATTATAGCACAGCTGCTTGCATTGGAGCACACACATGCCCTTATATAGTCCATGTAGTGCTAAAGTTTATATGTATTACACATGTACATGAACAGATATAGATATCCATACAATTTATGGATATATACATAAATTGAACTATTTCTGGAATAGTAAATATCTTACCATAGTGGGCTGCATTCAGTTCTCTTGAAAAATAGATTTTATCTCAATGAGGCTAACCTGGATATATGAAGGTTAGATAAAGCATCCTGATTGTCCAGAGACCAGGATGTTGCTCTTCTGTTTGTCATTGTTCTCTAGACACTAATCTAAGGCCAGTTTTACATTCCTACTCCAATGGTTAATGGCCTAATTTGAGGAGGTGGATCTGATCCTAGATCTGTGCCTACGGGTCCTTCCTTCCACCCCTCTATGACCCTGTGGTGACCCTTGACCTTTCTGTGTCCCCTCTGGTAGTTCCGTGTGCCTCCCAACCCCCATCAGACGCAGACCAGTGCCAAGCAGACTGGATCCCTGTGGAAACGAGACGACCCCACTCACTCCGATGGCCCCCGGCTACCCTGGGTAAATATACAAGAACAAATACACCACCAGTGGGTTTCAGGGCTCAGACACAAGGCAGGCACTGGGCACACTACGTCATTTCAACGTGGATAATTGGGTAATATTTGGTTGATACATTGATCAATGAAATTCCAACCTATTTTCACCCACTCAAAAAGACAGCCAAAAGTTTGTTGAATTCCAAATGTGTTAGCTATCACTTTCAACCATCTAAAAGCACAACCAAATTCCTCTATGTCTGATTTTTGGTTCAGTTGTCACTGAAATGTGTTATCACTGCGCTTTCAACCATTTAAAAGCACAACATAGTTCAAATGGGAATACAATGTCAGATATTTTGTTCATTTATACAACAACTTAATGTGTTATCCCTGTGCTATATCTAATAGCACAACCAAATGACCTGGATTGCAACTGAGATTATTAAAGTACATTGTGCAAGTGATCAATGCCATTCAAGATTCTGTGCAGATTATTATATAAATTGTGAAGATCGCCACAGACCTGCGACCTTTGCATGCTATCTTGAACATGCATGCTTTCTATGATTACATAAAATACATTTATTGTTACAGTAACTTCAAAATGTGGCAATTTTACTCATTTTAAAGTTGAATAAATACTGTTACATAAGTTTGTAAGATATTCTTAACTTTAGCCTATGTACTGTATTACAAAAGTAATATTGAATTGTGTTTGGTTGACAACTCAACCAAATATCAACATTTAAAGGAGATATATCTACCGCTTGGGTAGTTCCATCTGAGTCACTGGCTTAATCTTATTCTTTAACTTTTATTTTAGGTTGAGATGGAGATGTGAATCCATCATATATCATTTGTTAACTTTTCGACAAGTTAATAGGCTATTTACTGTATTGCAAAAGTGATATTGAATTGTGTTTGTTTGTCAGCGCAACGAAATATCAACATTTGAAGGAGATGCATCTTCAGCTTGGATAGTTCCATCTGTGACACTGAGTCTGGCTTTAATTCCAGTTTGTCTATAAAATTAATAGTTTATATGTTGGATTCACGTCTCCATTTCAACCAAAAATCTAAGTGAAAGAATAGCATTGAATCAAATCAAATCCAACTTTAAATGCACTTTAAATGCAGTTTGATTTGATGGGTTGTGGGTTTCCCACGGGGGGCCAGTATGAAGAAATGTATGCACTCACTAACTGTAAGTCGCTCTGGATAAGAGCGTCTGCTAAATGACTAAAATGTAAATGTAAATGTAGTCATATTCTTTAACTTTTTTGTTTAGATGGAGATGAGAATCCAACATATTTTTTTATTAACTTGTAGATTCCATTTGAAATCAACCAAAGCTTGAAACCCTAAGCCTATAGGTATTGTCTATTTTTTGTTGAATCCTGGGTTGAATTTAAACAATTTAAACAATTTAAATGTAATTGAAACAATTCTTTCCAAAGTGTGTTATGACAATGTTTCGACCCAAAGGTCTCTATTATACTATGAGTCAAAAAGCCTTTATTACTTTACTTTGGCATACTGAGGATAAAGAATGATTCATTATGAAAGATGACTCCCACACACACTTGCATGTTTTTTCTCTATCCCCTCACTTTCTTTCTCCCTCCATATTCCCCCCTTGTCCCAGTCTGTCCATTCATATGTCTGTCTGCTTTTCTGTTCCCTCCTAGTCCCGCTTTCATTTCACAACCAGACACACATCACACACATACTGTACTGTATATGCACTACCGGTCAAAAGTTTGGACACACCTACTCATTCAAGGGTTTTTCTTTATTTTTTACTATTTTCTACATTGTAGAATAATAGTGAAGACATCAAAACTATGAAATAACACATATGGAATCATGTAGTAACCAAATTCTTGACCGGTAGTGTATATATACACTCACACACACACACACACACACACACACACACACACACACGTTTGTTTTACTATCGTTGTTGGGACAAAACAAACTAATCCTAACCCTTAACCTAAACTTAAGCCCTGAATCTAACCCTAACTCCTAAACCTCTAACCCTAATTCTAACCCTAATTGTAACCCTAAACCTAACCCCTAAGCCTAAAATAGCATTCTTCCTTGTGCGGACCGGCGAAATGTCAAAATATTCCTTGTTTTACTATCCTTGTGAGGACTTCTGGTCCCCACAAGGATAGTAAAACCAAAAACACACACACCTCACCCGCTCTGTTTCCTTTGGGATCAGGTCATTAGTTTTATTGGCAGCAACAGTTCTGTTCACCTTGAACCTCTCAGCAGCAGACAGAGTTGAGCAACATCACAGCACTGGATTGCTCTCAAACAGGCCAGGCAGAAAACACACCACATAATAGAATACAAACCCCTAAAACCTATCAGAGTCTGAGATCAAAGCTGTTATAGCGTTATGAATAAAAAAACATTTGAATGTAGAATCCAAAATGTTTGAATCGCTATCCCACCACAAAATATGTTTGATTCTTCATGGCCTCCCGTGTGGCGCAGTGGTCTAAGGCACTGCATTGCAGTGCTAGCTGTGCCACTAGAGATCCTGGTTTGAATCCAGGCTCTGTCGTAGCCGGCCGCGACCGGGAGACCTATGGGGCGGCGCACAATTGGCCCAGCGTCGTCCAGGGTAGGGGAGGGAATGGCTGGCAGGGATGTAGCTCAGTTGGTAGAGCATGGTGTTTGCAACGCCAGGGTTGTGGGTTCGATTCCCACGGGGGTATGAAAAAAATTAAATAATAATGTATGCAATCACTAACTGTAAGTCGCTCTGGATAAGAGTGTCTGCTAAATGACTAAAAATGTTTTAAAAAATTCCCTCTTGGTTCAGTAGGCGATTGACGGTAAATGAGGTTTGGACTGTCCTTAGGTTGATTTATTCTTATATTGTGAAACCTGAACTAGTCTCACATCTTTTAGGTTTGTGCTCGGTTGTATTTGTTGAGAGAAATATACAGTGCATTCGGAAAGTATTCAGACCCCTTGACTTTTTCCACATTTTGTTACGTTACAGCCTTATTCTAAAATGGATTCAATTGTGTTTTTCATTCATCAATCTACACCCTATGATGACAAAGCAAAAACAGGTTTTTAGACATTTTAGCAAAATTATTAAAAATTAAAAATTTAAATATCACATTTACATAAGTATTCAGACCCTTTACTCTGTACTTTGTTGAAGGACCTTTGGCAGCAATTACTGCTTCGAGTCTTCTTGGGTATGACGCTACAAGCTTGGCACACCTGTATTTGGGGAGTTTCTTCCATTTTTCTCTGCAGATCCTCTCAAGCTCTGTCAGGTTGGATGGGGAGTGTTGCTGCACAGCTATTTTCAGGTCTCTCCAGAGATGTTAGATCGGGTTCAAGTCTGGACCACTCAAGGACATTCAGAGACTTCTCCCGAAGCCACTCCTGCATTGTCTTGGCTGTGTGATTAGGGTCGTTGTCCGGTTGGAAGGTGACCCTTCACCCCAGTCTGAGGTCCTGAGCTCTCTGGAGCAGGTTTTCATCAAGGATCTCCCTGTACTTTGCTCCGTTCATCTTTCACTTGATCCTGACTAGTCTCCCAGTCCCTACCGCTGAAAAACATCCCCACAGCATGATGATGCCACCACCATGCTTCACCGTAGGGATGGTGCCAGGTTTCCTCCAGACGTGACACTTGGTATTCAGGCCAAAGAGTTCAATCTTGGTTTCATCAGAACAGAGAATCTTGTTTCTCATGGTCCTTTAAGTGCCTTTTGGCAAACTCCAAGCAGGCTGTCATGTGCCTTTTACTGAGGAGTGGCTTCTGTCTGGGCACTCTACCATAAAGGCCTGATTGGTGGAGTGCTGCAGCGATGGTTGTCCTTCTGGAAAGCTCTCCCATCTCCACAGAGAAACTCTGGAGCTCTGTCAGAGTGACCATTGGTTCTTGGTCACCTCCCTGACCAATGCCCTTCTCCCCCGATTGCTCAGTTTGGCCGGGGGTCCAGCTCTCGGAAGAGTCTTGGTGGTTCCAAACGTCTTCCATTTAAGAATGATGGAGGCCACTGTGTTTTGGGGGACCTTCAATGCTGCAGACATTTTTTGGTACCCTTCCCCAGATCTGTGCTTCGACACAATCCTGTCTCGGAGCTCTACGGACAATTCCTTCGACCTCATGGCTTGGTTTTTGCTCTGACATGCACTGTCAACTGTGGGACCTTATATAGACAGGTGTGTGCCTTTCCAAATCATGTCCAATCAATGAAATGTACCACAGGTGGACTCCAATCAAGTTATAGAAACATCTCAAGGATGATCAATGGAAACAGGATGCACCTGAGCTCAATTTCAAGTCTCATAGCAAAGGGTCTGAATACTTATGTAAATAAGGTATTTCTGTTTTTTATTTTTTATTTTCGCTTTGTCGTTATGGGGTATTGTGTGTAGATTGATGAGGGGAAAAAACTATTTAATCAATTTTAGAATAAGGCTGTAACATAACAAAATGTGGAAAAAGTCAAGGGGTCTGAATACTTTTCGAATGCACTGTAGATGGAAAAAGAGAGAGGCAGAAAGAAGTTGTTTCATTATTAATTGGCAACATTGCAGCTCGCATATTGTCGTGCCAATAAATCATATTTGAATATGAATTGAAGGGGGGGGGGGGGGGGGGGGCTGTTTCATATGATAGCTTTATATGCTGTTGAGGCAAAATGATCTCATTTTGTTGCGGCACACAAGACATATATATTGAGGCTCTATTTCTTTTTTATTTCTTTTTTGCTTTTTAATCCACGTCAATTATTTTACACAGGCTTATCTTGGGAAAATCTAAAATAGCTATTGTGTTTGTCTAAACTTTTATATCAAACTAATAAACAGTTACCAAAAAAAAAAAAAAAAACTCTAATAAGAAAGTGCCTTGCCAGATTAGGCAAATGGTTTATGGGTGCTGAGTGGAACATTTTTAGGCAAAATAAAACAATAATTATTCATCATAAAAACTGTGTGTAGGCGGTGTGGGGCCCTTAAATTGGTTGGAGGGAATTCCCCATCTCCCACCCGTCTACCACACACTTCATCTGACAGCATTATTAATGATGTGTTGACTTGATATAAGTGAATTGAAATGAGAAAAAGATCTCGATATGATCAAATTCAGCAGTGGTCTTTTGAAGGTTGCTGGTCAGCACTGCACCCATCAGTTGTCACTCATCTTCAAACAGAAATATAATTTCATGATTTTATGTTGGTTGACATTGACTTATAAGTCATAAGTCCGTTTTTTTTAATGCCATCGCGCACATGTTGATTTTGTCCACCCACACCAGACGCGACCAGGACACGCAGGTTGAAATATCAAAACGAACTCTGAACCAACTATATTAATTTGGGGACAGGTCAAAAAGCATTAAAGATCTATGGCAATTTAGCTATCTAGCTTGCTGTTGCTAGCTAATTTGCCCTGGGATATAAACATTGGGTTGTTATTTTACCTGAAATGCGCAAGGTCCTCTACTCCATCAACTAATCCACAGATAAAAGGGTAAACCGGGTTCGTTTTTACTAATCTCTCCTCCTTCAGGCTTCTTCTTCTTCTTTGGACTTTATATGGCGGTTGGCAACCAACTTTCAAGTGCATTACCACCACCAACTGGACTGGAGTGTGGACCTCAGTTCATCTTTCAATCACCCACATGGGTATATGCTCCTAAAAACCAATGAGGAGATGGGAGAGGCGGGACTTGCAGCACGTCAAGCGTCACAAATATAACTAAGTTCTATTTTAGTGCCTGGCTTGGCAGATGCTCGTTGACGCGTGCGAGCAGTGTGGGTGCTACGATTGAATAACATGTATGTGTACATTTATTTTGCAACGCTTGCGCACCCGACGCTCGTGCACGCGACGCGGGCGGTGTGGTCAGCATGTAAGGTGAAGACTGATAGTCTGCAACTGTTGCTAATCATAGTCATTCTAGAGGCTTGTACTAAACTAAAACTGTCCAGCCATGTCTTGCAATGTACTAAATATTTGTAATATGAATACAATATATTTGAATGGATTTAATCCAAATAGGCCCACCAGCAGGCATTTGCATAGTTCTGAGCAGAATGGGACTCAGATAGGATCAATTGAAGGCAGACCGTGGGGGAAAGTGGATATTTGTCAAATCCGTTATGATTTTTGTATTCTAACAGACCCACAATGTGGTTACTAAAAACCGATTTGGAAATATTTGGTTGTTTTTGCTGCATAATATTTAGAAATAGTCCTTTTCGGGGTTAGAAAAAATGCTAACTCCCGTTCGTTTAAGCTGGTAGCATATAGTGGCCATATAGAAAGCAGTGGTGGTACTTGAATATGTTTTTGAGTGTAATGCAGTTGATTGGTGATGATGACATAAGCATGTATTGGGGTTGACCTCTATACAAGCATTATACTCTGATTTTTACCCAAAAATAGTGTGAAATACAATACACATATAAACAATAGCCGAACAATAGGCAACATATTATACGGTGAAATTAGGAGATTCTGAATCTTTTCCCCATGGGGGGACACGTGAGTGGCGTTGCCATGATTTTTCCATTGTTTTGGTCGAGTTTGATTGATCTCTTTACCGCATCTATTGTTCTCGACTGAAAGGGACAATGGGTGATTGAAGAGAATGACAGAAAGAAAAAAAATGTTTTATTCAGGACAAGACTTGATATTAGAAAATGTGCTTACACGGGGCAATATGAAGGTTTTTGTTTTGACAAATGAATGGCAGCATGAAAGTCCTTTCAGATAAAGAACAACTACTTGGTAATAAGGCCTTCCAATACTGTCCATGTTAGTTTAGAAAGGTTTTTTCTTTAGGGTGCTAATTACCACAAGGCTACAGCTGTGTGGGCGTACTGTATGTGTACTGTAGGGTTCTTAACTTAATCAAACACCTTTACTGCATATTTTTTTACGATTCAGGGGAAGATGCTGCTTTTGTAACACTTCAAAGTACAATATGTTACCTATCTTTCTAGTTTTATTCACTACAGATGGTGTCGGTGTGTTACAATGTGAGGACAACATGAAACAACACATCGTGTTTGTCTTCATCATATTGTCCGAGACCAAATAGACTGAACAGTAACAAGTGCCACTGTATTGACCTTTGATACTGTGACCCTGGACATCCAATTCCTCACCTTTAGAACAAATGATGATAAAGTCAGTAATAGACAGGATGATACATTCTCTCTCTCTCTCTCTCTCTCTCTCTCTCTCCTCTCTCTCTCTCTCTCTCTCTCTCTCTCTCTCTCTCTCTCTCTCTCTCTCTCTCTCTCTATCTACCTCTCTCTCTCTCTCTCTCTCTCTGCCTCTCTCTCTCTCTCTCTCTCTCTCTGCCTCTCTCTCTCTCTCTCCATTGGAGGTTTGTCTCTCTTCTCTGCTGTTGATCATGTGGTATGCAGCAGCACACCATCACTCTCAAATTAGGCATAATATTGCTGTGTGTCTGGCTTTTGAGCAAACAACCCAAGTTCTCCCAAGACGCTTCAGTGTGAGTTATCAGAAAACCTGAGTAAAGAGTGTTAGATGGGTGTGTTTTTCTGGGAGAGCCACATAATGTAATAACAACAACTACATCAGAACTCTGCACAGGAAGTGACAGTTATATAACTGTCATGTTTGTTGTTGTTATGTAATTATCAATGTTTTATGCCCATACTTTGAAACGTCTTTGACACAACATTGACTTGGCCTTTTACGTTCATATATAAGGTATTTCTGTAGGCCTATGTATAGTGAAAATAAAACAATTTGTCAAATTTGAAATATCAATATCAAAGTAACCCCAGGCAACAACCATTATGGCAATCTGTTTTTGTTGTTTTTATGACAGCAAAATAATGTATTGTTCCTGAAAACCTTATTGTATGGATTATGCCAACATATTTCCCACCAACCAACCAATGTTGACATCTGCGAGAGGAAACACAATCAAAATGTTGGCTTTCAGCAGAGAAGGAAAGAGAAGTTGAAGGAAGCTCATTAAAACGATTATTGCCATCTTTTAAAAGAACAGTTGGGCTGGTATTTATTTCAGTGGAGATAGGTTTTTGAACTGATTCTCTGCCTAATTGCCTGGAGTTGGCTGTCTGTCAGCTTCATTTCATTTTCAGCAAATACAAGCTGTAAATTAGTGTTAATGAAAATCTGGGAAGGAATCAACAAGGAGATAGTAGAGGCAGAACGTACTCCAGAGCCTGACGATGAAGCTGGGAAAAAGTCACTTCTGGGGGAGAGAGAAAAATAAAACATTTCAAGTTGTATCAGAAGTGTGATTTGTTGTGCTGTCTTCTTTTGGAAAGCTTCACCGAGTTAACTGAAACCTTCAGGGTCGTATTGATCAAGAGCAATTGAATGTGTTAAATAGTTCTCTATCCCTTGATGGAAATGATTCCTCTTTCAGAGCTGTGTAGATGTAGACCTTACCTCACATTTCCTGTTGATTCGAAGTGAGTGCAGTTTGTTGCAGTGTTTACTGAATAATTAATGAATTTGCCTCAGATTTATACCGCCTTTCATCTGCCTTGGCTGTTTTACATTTTTTCCCGGCGAGCTAAAAAGGGGTCCAAAGAGATTGGGAGGGAGGGAAGGACATAGGGGTTTTAAAAGACATAGAATCCAGCACAGCCAAGTGGAACTGACTGTCAAGACCCATAAAATAAGCCTTTCGTTAGACGTTAATGAGGGAACATTTACATACATTTATCTACACTCAAACCCCTTTTTATTTAGCCTGAATCATTGAAAAACATGCCCAAATATATTTACACACATTTGTTGAAATGCTAAATGAGATTATATGTATCCTATGTGTAGTTGATAATTAATGCATTAATTAATTCAAGTAATCATGATTGCATTAACGATGATGATTAATCCTCATTGTTGGTATCGTTGATCATAGAAATTGTTCGAGGCAGTGCACATCATTAGTCCTAATTGCCTACTAATAATAGCATCAATTGATGAGGTATTTACAGAAGTCCCATTGCACAGTCTTAATAAAGACTCATGGAACCATAGTAGTCTATTAATGAGGACTAGAATGATCTGATGCAATCTGCATGTTCTGTATTGCAGTGCTGTAGTTTAGCATTAGTGTTATAATACTGTAATAATAATGAATTGAATTTATTTTCCAGACGCTCAAAGAGATTTACATTGTACAGGGGAAACTCACCTCATCCACTACTACCAATGTGTAGCATCCACCTTTACTGTGCTCTTAGGTCTAATGTGTTTGAGTGCTCAGTTTGGTTGGACTTGCATCCACTAAAAAACATTAGCTAAATTATAAAAAAATATTATATTATTATTTCTGTAATGTTTCTCCCTCTCCTCTTCTTTTGCAGTCCTACCCAGTGCCCAGTTTGGGGGATGAAGACTTCAACATTCCCCCTATCACGCCTCCCACCATCCCAGAACACATGCTGCACCCCCACCTACCAGAGTCTGAGTCTGGCTCCTACCACCCGCTGGCCCCCTCTCACTCCCAGAGTGGCCTGCACCCCTTCCACCTGCAGGGAATGGACATGATGGGCCAGGATGGAGGGCTGTTGAGCCAAAATGGTGGCCTAATGTCCAGCACCCTGTCTGTGGTGAGTCTAGCCTGATGCCACTAGCAAGCAGTGTGCAGAGATCACTGTAAATACATAAGTGGGTTTTTCTGTTCTGGATGGCAGCTGTGGGTGCAGGCATATGTTCCTCCCAGCAACAACACACCTGATCCAACTAATCAAGGGTTTGACGATTAGCCGGTTAGTTCAGTCATATGTGTTAGTGCTGGGAAAGAACAAAAACCTGGATAACCCATTGGGTCTCCGGGACCAGGATGGAAGAACAGTATTCTAATGGATGACCCATGAGTTGTCAGTTGGTTGATTAAACTTTTCCCCCTTCATTTCATTCGAAATCGAAAACAAACTGGTGGGGTGACATTCAGAAGAAATACGCTCAATGCAAGTCTTGACTTTTCAAGAAGTGGAGAAATGAAACTTAAACTTTTGGATTTGGCTTTCCTTGCAGAAACCTCATGATGTGATAGGTGACATGACTAACCGTGGTTAACTACTCTGCATAAGTATTGGACTTAATCTCCCATTCGAGTCAAAGCGAAACTTCTCACCTCCCGCTCTCAGCCAGAAGTTTTTTCTGCCCTTGGCCATGTTTACCATTTTCACTGATAAACCACAATATTATGTCTCATCAGCACCTCCACCACTAAGGGGCTACATGGTTTAACTGTGTGAGGTCTACATGCTAAATATATTTATTTCCATTAATCAGACAGGTGTAGCTGTTTAGCTCCTTGGTCCTACCAGGCAGGGATATTGAACCTCATAACCCCGTTCTTGAACCATATAACCCAATTTCCCTTTGCATTGTGGGGCTTAAAAGTCCCGCACAGTCAAAATCATGTTTTTAATCAAATGTCATGATATTTGGATGAAACCAGATCAAAGTAGGATGACCAAAGTATACAAAATTACTGTAGCTGATCATAAAGTTACTGGCCCACTCACTTGAATACAGAAGGCGGGATTATTAAGGGCTTCATGTTACATTTGTATTTTAGTCAACGCTCTTACAGGAGCAATTAGGGTTAAGTGCCTTGCTCAAGGGCACATTGACAGATTTTTCACCTAGCCAGCTTTAGGATTTGAACCAGCGACCTTATGGTTACTGGCCAAATACTCTTAACTGCTAGGCTACCTGCCGCCCCATCACATAAAGCCCCTCATTTTAATACACCAATGGTAACATCTTGTTCTCTTACCTAATTTAAATAAGTACCACCTTGTAACTATCATCACAGAAAGTGTGTTCGCAGAAGGGTGTGGTTTACATAGCTAGCTAGATAGTCTACTGTTGCCAAAATGTGACTTGTGTCAGCAAATATAATTACAGGTTTCCCCTTTCATCTGTGTCTGGTGTTAGCTACTTACTGGCTAGCAGAGGAGGTTGGTGGGAGGAGCTATAGGAGGATAGGCTCATTGTAATGGCTGGAATGGAATTAATGGAACGGAATAAAAAGTGCTGTTCATATGTTTGATGTGTTTGATACCGTTCCATTTATTCCATTCCAACCATTACAATGAGCCTGTCCTCCTATAGCTCCTCCCACCAGCCTCCTCTGCGGCCTAGTTAGGACTTCAGCCAGCATGGAACAAAAGGGGGGAAGCATCGTTCAAAACTCTGACGCAGTTGTCATATCAACACATCTGTCAGTGCTGCTGCGAACTGCAACAGAAGAGACATGCCAAACTGAAGATGTATAAAAACTATTGACATCATTGATAGGCATGATTTATGAACATATATACTCCCCTACATATTGTGTCATTTTGGAGTCACTTTTATTTTAAATAAGAACAGAATATGGTTCTGAGCACTTCTACATTAATATGGATGCTACCATGATTACGGATAATCATGAATGAATTGTGAATAATGATGAGTTACAGAGACATAAATATTATACCTACCAAAAAATTATCACTCATCATTATTCACGATTCATTCATGATTATCCGTAATAATGGTAGCATGCACATTAATATAGATGGGTTCAGAAACATATTCTATTGTTATTTACAATAAAAGTGACTCCAAAATGACAATACATTATTTACCATTCATTTCTATTGGGCACAACATAATCCGAAACACAACCAAAACAAACTGCAAATGCATCCAACAAGTTTGTAGAGTCACAAGCTTGATGTAGTCATTGCGTGCTAGGAATATGGGACCAAATACTAAACTTTTGACTAAATGTAATACACTATAAGTGAATTTGTCCAAATACGTGCATTCATTTCTAAATGGTAAATTAGATATGTATGAAAATACCCTCAAATAAAAGGTGACGTTCTGTACTGTCGCCTCATATAAAGCATTTGATCTCAAATTAAAAGTTTTGGCTACACTGTCCAAAAAAATAAATATTATTGGTGATGTTTTGGTCACTCAAAAGGCTATTTTACATTGCAATCAGAATCACTGTGCGGGACCTTTAATGATTTCCAAGTCTGGCCATCTCAGCCTATTTTCCACTTTAAGCTAACTTTAAGCTAATCTTAGCTACCACCATATTATGTTTCACATTCACTTGGTAGCTAAAACACTTCAAAACGTGAGTGTTTTCTATTGCTCAGCATTTATAAATTACTTTTACTAAAAGGAAACAGGAGCTCGGATAGGATGACTTGCCGGCTAAAAGATTCCCCAGATTGACAAAGGGCATTTTGTTCCCGTTCACCTTAATGTTCTCACAGAACATCCATTTAGAATGGCCATGAATTATGGTTGCCAGGCAACGGGGTCGAGAGCTTGTTGCCACGGCGAGGAATGAAAGAGGCTGGTGGATTCTATTGGTCTGGGGCATTAGCCTCCAATGGAATAGAGAGGATCCTTCCATGTCTTCTTCTATACATTTAGCCTTCATTCTCTCAGTCTCTGGCCATTCATTGTTATTAAGCACCGATAGTTGATTATAATGAACTCCATTTGATTAAGTGTTAGATTAATAAAGAAATAGTCTAAGAGAAATTCACTTCTGCTGATGTGATTTTTTCACAGAAACTGGGGACAAAAGCAATGTATCTTTTAACCTTTTAAATTGGGAAGATATTCAGAAAAATTCTGGTTCTGGGAAAACGATGTAGGTCTACAGATAAGTTGTTTCATTTCTTCTTAGTTTTAAATTGACTAAATTACTACCTCAACCCAAATTTAAATTTTTTGCTTTTTACCAGCATTCCACTACCACCAATTTCCTGTTCGTAAGGCACTAACTTGCAGTTTTTTCCATAGAAATCCACCCACATGTTATTGTATCAATAACTTATCTGTAGGCCTACATCATTTCCCCAGAACCAGAACACTGCTTTTATCCACAGTTTCTGTGAAAAAAATCACATCTGCAGAAGTGAATTTCTCTTAAGACGATTTCCCTATTAATCTAACACTTACTCAAATAGAGTTCATTATAATCAACTATCTGTGCTTAATAACAATAAATGGCCAGAGACCATACCATAAGGTATGGATTGTTACAGACAGACAGAGATAAAATAATCCTTGGTATCCATTCATATTAGTATCATAATGATGACCTGGCTTGTGACTCACATCTCCGATACTTCTGAAAGTTCGCCCACGTCACCATGGAGATTAGGCTGTTTTCCACTGTTACTGGCGGTTACCAAATGGCCCAACACCAAATCACACTCCCCTCCCTGTTTTAGTTACAACCACATCACACTTTGGCCTTGATGCATGCCCTATCTGGCTGTACCAACAGTCACACATCTGTATAGGGAGAGGAGGTGTTCAGTGGGTGAGCTGCTGTAAGGGGAAAGATTGGGTAGCCTGGGTACCAGTCTGCTTTAGCCACCTTGTCATGTTTGGCATGACAACAGCAACACAAAACTGACCTTAGATCAGTATGTTGAATTGGATTTTATTGATTAAAATAATCCTTATAAAATCATGTTAAATATTGGATGCGCTATATAGATGATTGCTTTATGTTCTGGATGGGTTCCGGTAATTAAATTACATTAATTTCGTAACTACATTAACTCTAGAGTACAATCAATTTCCTTCACTATGGAAAATAACATTAACTCCATACATTTCTTAGATGTACTTGTTACAAAGAAGGGACAATCTCTAAGTAGTACAGTTTACAGAAAACATACAGATAAAAATACTGTATTGACAGCTGCTAGTTATCACCCCCTCCCCCTAAAAATAGGTTTACCAGTAAGCCAACTTCATGGACTGTGTCGCATCTGTGACACAGAGGAAGAATTTGATAGACAATCAAATTCCCTCCTTGAGCGTTTTCGCTTGAGAGGATACCCCGATACCTGGCTTGATAAATCTCAATAATAAGTTCAGAGTTTGAACAGAAGCCAGTTACTTAATAAATCCCAACAAAAACAGAATAAACAGTTTTCTGTAAACTATATACTTACTTTCAATGATAGCCGTAATGGCATCAAGTCTATTGCCAATAAACATTGGCACATATTATCATCAGACTCCTCTTTAAATTCTGCCTTCCAGACTTCACCTTTATTCACATATAAATGATCAAGAAATCTATCAAACATATTGGTTAAATCAGATGTGGTCAGAAGAGAGTAAAGAGGCCTTCATAAAGGATGCTTCTCCTGTAGATCTTGTACCTCTTGTAGAACCATAAGGAAATGTTCTAACTCAGTATGCCCTCAGACTTCTAGGACCTATGAGATAAAGTCATGTATAACTGGCACTACTAAAGGAGTTATTTATATGTTACAGTGTTCTTGTAATAAGATTTATATTGGAGAAACATCCTCGCCTTGAAAGTACGCCTTGGAGAACATAAATGCACTATTAGACGTCAAGATATCACCTCGCCAGTTGCGAGACACTTTATAGAACAAAATCATTCTATTAATGAATTGCGTTGCGTCGGGATCGAAAAAGTTCATCCACCATGTAGAGGTAGTGACTATGATAACAAATTACTCCAAAGAGAAGCCATGTGGATATATAAATTAAATTCTCTATCTCCACACGGTTTAAACGAATAATTAGATTTCACCTCCTTCCTATAAGCCAAATTTAGACTGTTATACAAGAACACTGTCCATATCAGATTTTGCATATCGTTTATGAGTTGGCCCCACATATTTATGAACGGCTGTGCCTGATGTCCTTTGTGGTGGGCTGTCTCATGAATTGATATGATGTATTTAGGTGAGCGGACACCTGGGGCAGTTGATTTGTGAGTTGCCATTCGTGCCCACTCCCATACCCTATAATTCTGTATTTCTTTGTGACTCATTTGTAAGAAGGTAGACCAGAAAAGCCACATCCCTGATTGGAAGATGAGTGGCAACCCTGATTAGAAGCACCTGCTGCTTATCTGTTGTTCTTTACAAATGCTGTTTTGAATTAAAATACAATTGTACCTATCCCTGATGCAGTGAAAATAATTAAAAACATTGAATAATGAAGTAAGCTTTATGCAACATATTTTTGAGTGCGAACCCATTACACCTTTTTGTTTGACTGAATTTGCGGGTTTAACGCACCAGCCAAGCTTGTGGGAGAGCGCGATGGTTCTCTTTTGATCAGTATGTATGACCAACCTCAAGAGGTCATGGTGATGATATAAGCTGTTCTACTTAGTTCACTGACTTTCATTGAAGCAGAAAAAAGCAGAAAAAAACAGCGAGTGAGGTGTCTCGCTTCCTCTTCCGTCTCTGATATAAGGGGTTAAGGTGTTAGTTAGCTGGAAGGGATGGATGGGGTTAATTCTCTGTAGATTATACAGTTAACAGGAGTCACCTGTCCTGGTGTTGATGTGAGCCCCTCCTCCCAAGCCTCACCTGTCGGGGACATTGTGTAGGACATTGTGTCAGGGACAATAGCAGGCGTGAGGCGTTGCTCAGGTCACCTGTCAGTCCCTATGGTAGCAGGTGACCTGGCCACGCTCAGGGAGGGAGGGGCCACACTGAGTGGGGCTATTCAATCAAAACCAAATAGACCAACATGACATTGTTCTTGTGCTGAAGGATGCAAGTTGGGATCAGTCAAGGTTGAAACAATGTTCAGTGTGTGAAGGAAAAGGAGTGAGTATATGTGTGAATGAGCAGATGTTTCAAGAGCGTTTCTAAGAGTAGGTTAACCATTGTCAAGAGTAACATTATTGTATGCCATTTTATTGCCATGTAAAAACAAATCTACACTGTTTTTTGTCAGATGCAACAAATGGTCAACTCCGATTCCCGGTACAGCAGCCATCAGCCAATGGAAGCGCTCAGACCCAGGAGCCAATCAGGCATGGGACATCAGAGTCAGCTGACCACTATCAACCAATCACAACTCAACGCCCAGTTGGGACTGAGCGGGAACAACGGTACCCATAATTCCCCATCTCCTCCTGGAAGCAAGTCGGCCACACCCTCTCCTTCTAGTTCCGTACATGAGGATGACAATGATGAATCAATAAAGGTGAGCAAAGGGATGGATACGCACAAACACACACACAAACACACACACACACACACACACACAGAGAGAGAGAGAGAACCGACACACACGCAAACACATGCACACGCACAAAACAACTAACTTCCTTATTATACAGCCACCCACCCACACACACCCACACACACACGCACAAAACAACTAACTTCCTTATTATACAGCCACCCCCACACACACACACACATGCCCACACACACACATACACATGCACGCACGCACATACACACACATACACCTATTTGTATAAGTCTGAGTCATCTGTAACCTTTGCGCCGTTGCATTTGTTTACCCTTTCCCTTGGAGGATGAAGTCACAGTGGAGAGCTGCTATCTTAATGCTTATGTGATTGCTCATACAATGGTGCCATTTGCCATGCAGATACAACACTATATGGAAATCAAACCAAAGGGTACTTTTCCCAAACACCGTTGCCATATTCCACACCCATATTTCCACCGTATGTTTTAACTGCAAATAACAATCCTTTGGAAAATGAAACTATTTCAATATTTTATGTGCCCCTCTGGAAAAATCCTCATGTTTAATTTAGTGGAGTATAAAATCTAATGCGGTCAACATTTCAGAAATGTGCACTGCGCTATTCAGAGTTATGGCTATTTCTGTGTTTCCAGTATAAAGCCATTTCTAAACATATTCATAAAATGATGGATAAATGTAGTCTTGTACTACCATCTGTCAAGGTCTTTTCATAAAGATACCATTTCTATTTGTTTGTAAACTCTCACACTCAGGGTCATGTTCATTATCTCACAAAGAAAACAAATTGTTTTAAACAGTACATTCCTATTGGACAAGATCAGCTAAATAGACCTAAATATTTATGAATGTTCTGGAAAATGTTAGGAAGGATATACAGTCTGCATTTTAAATAGTGCACTGAGTTTTAAGGAAAAACTCTGGGCCAGTGTACTGTACATAGCATATCCACTATTAAAGTCCATTCTGATCTATTTAAACAATCAACACTCACTCTTAACTCAATCCCTCTACACACACTCTTCCCTCTCCAGAAGCACATTTAGTCTGACCATCTCTTCCTTCTCTCTTCATCAGGCAGAGAAGCGACCGGCAGCGGTCGATACTCCCAAAAAGCCCAAGACCCCCAAGAAGAAGAAGAAGAAGGACCCCAACGAACCCTCGAAGCCAGTTTCTGCCTACGCCCTGTTCTTCAGAGACACCCAGGCAGCCATCAAGGGCTCCAACCCCAATGCTACCTTCGGAGAGGTATCCAAGATAGTGGCCTCCATGTGGGACGGCCTTGGAGAGGAACAGAAACAGGTACGACACCTATAGTACAATGCATCCTCATACCTCCTCAGACCTCTTCATATACAGTTCCTTGTTAGACTTCATTAGACAGGATAGATTAGAATATGCACTGAGTATACCAAACTTTAGGAACACCTTCCTAATATTGAGTTGCACCCCCTTTTGCCCTCAGAACAGCCTCAATTCGTCAGGGCATGCACTCTACAAGGTGTCGAAAAGCGTTCCACAGGGATGATGGGCCATGTTGACTCCAATGCTTCCCACAGTTGTGTCAAGTTGGCTGGATGTCCTTTGGGTGGTGGACCATTCTTGATGCACACTGGAAACTGTTGAGCGTGAAAAACCCAGCAGAGTTGCAGTTCTTTACATAAACTGGTGCGCCTGGCACCTACCACCATACCCCGTTCAAAGGCACTTCAATATTTTGTCTTGCCCATTCACCCTCTGAATGGCACACATACACAATCCATGTCTCAATTGTCTCAAGACTTTAAAAAACGTATTTAACCTGTCTCCTCCCCTTCATCTACACTGATTGAAGTGGATTTAACAAGTGGCATCAATAAGGGATCATAGCTTTCACCTGGATTCACCTGGTCAGTCTATGTCATGGAAAGAGCAGGTGTCTTATTGTTTTGTATACTCAGTGTATTAGATTAGAAAATAGTAGAATATAACTTTATTGTCCTCACAAAATTAGGGAGAAAAAGTTTATAAAAACCCCAACATTAAATCCTTTTCACAGTTTCACAGTATAAATAGCTAGTGGCTCTCCCTGGTCCTGTGGCTCTGCTACTGTGGATGCTACTGTGTGTTTTGACTTACAAATGGACTCTTGACTAAAGCAAATGGAAGAGAAAGCTTTTACATATTTATTCTAGTACGCACTGTGCTATTGTCCTATTACACACACACACTCTCATGCAAACACACACACCTCCAGTTGGGCGTAGAGCAGCACACAGAGAGGAGCGTCGCAGTGAAGGTGGAGGAGGATGTCTGTCTGAAGACAGGACAGTGTACTTCCTGGAGAGAGAACAGCAACAGCTTGGAGGACAAACAGACAGACAGACAGGCAGACAGACAAAAACAGACAGATGGATGGATTGTGAGAGGAACAATCTAGTTCTATATACATTGGAAACCTTTTGAGTATTATTTAGATGCACCCAACTACAGCTGTGATGCTTTATTAAGCATCATAATAGCTTCATAGTACATAAACACTAACCCTGGTAGATGGGTTTCTTTCTAGGAATGAAGTAGTTTGGCAACTGAAGTACAATGTTTACTGTTCTGTCTTTTATAGGTGTACAAAAAGAAGACGGAGACTGCCAAGAAGGAATACCTGAAGCAGCTGGCAGCATACAGAGCAAGCCTGGTCTCACAGGTAGGTACCAGTACCAGACATAACCTGGGAATAATTATTCATAAGGGCTGTAGTCAGTTGACTCTCTATGACTCTTATAAGGTAACACTGTTGTGCTCTGTCTCTCCCTCTTCCATCTCTCGCTTTCCCATCTCTGTCTTTCCTTCTCCTTCTCCCTTCATTCTTTCTCTATCCTCTCTCTCTCTTTATCTCTTACTCCCTCCCTCCCACCCTCCCTCCCACCCTCTCTCTCTCCCTCCCACCATGTGGCTCCCTCCCTCCAGAGTTACAATGAGCCAGGTGAGGTCAAAGTGTCCCAGGCCTCCTCCATGCTGGGGCCCAAGCCCCCTGTGTTCCCCGGATCAGGCCAGCAGCACCCCCACCCCCATCACTCCCACCCCAGCCTCTACATGAGCCACCCCTACCACCACCAGAGCCACCACCCCCACCCCCACCACCAGCAACAACAGACCCAGCAGCACCAGGCCGGCCTCAGCCCCCACCTGTCCCCCCTCCAAGGTATCTCCCGGGGGGTGGCTCCCCGGCCCAGTGGACCCCATTCAGGTGGAGTGTCTCTGGGCAGCATGGCGGCGGTATCCCCCCCTCCCTTCCAGATCAGCCCGCCGCTCCACTCCCACTCCCACCTAGGAATGCACCACCAGCAACAGCTCGGAGGACACCCGCTGTCTCTGCACTCACCCTCAATGGGACAGGTGAGTTGAACAGACACACACACACACACGCCCAAATGCATACAAACACACTTATGGCCCAGGTGAGTTCAACACACGCAAAACACACTCTCAGGTGCACACACACTTATTATGAATATTGTGGTTATACACTCAGACATGGTCACCTACAATGTACAGCTACACACACTTTACACATACATGCATACATGATGCAAGCACATGAAATGGAGAGTGTGAATGTATGATGGGTATGTATGTTATAGACCAGTGGTTCTCAACTAGTTTTAATAATAATAATAAGCCATTTAGCAGACGCTTTTATCCAAAGCAACTTACAGTCATGCGTGCATACATTTTTGTGTATGGGTGGTCCCGGGGATCGAACCCACTACCTTGGCGTTACAAGCGCCGTGCTCTACCAGCTGAGCTACAGCAGGACTCAAATTGAACCAGGTTTTCTCAGTGGCGATTCAATATTCGCATCGTGATTTTTTGTTGTTGCCAAAATGCAATCAGGAAAACTATGTTTAATTCTATTTTGATAGTAAATGTACCAATTATATGACAAAGGAACAACAGTTCCACCTTTTTCATTGTCAGTAATTCCATGTTTCCCATATTCTTGATGAAGAATGTTAAGCTCACTGGTTTGAGACCACAACATCAACCAAACCCGCTAAATAGCGCTGCTAATACCTCTATATTGAAAATAATGTGATTGAAGAAAAACAGTTCAGAGGTGAAATTATTTAAAAATATCGGTTCATTTTCACTTCTACACACTTTCTACCTGGTTTTAGTCGTTTAAGTTCAGACTGGAGTATTTTTCATAAAAAGTTAGTAAATAAATGTTTTATGTATTTATTTACTCAGACACGTTCAAAACCCACCAGTTGAGAATCACTGTTATAGATGATTAATTTCCATGTTATTTCCAATTATATACGGTCCCTTCATGATGTTCCTTCAGTGCCAGAGATTGAGGGCAAGCTAGGATGTATTCATATCTGCCAGCCTAATACTGTACATTCAAATTACACACGCACACACACACACACACACACACACACACACACACACTCTCACTCTCTCTCTCTCTATCCCTCTCTTTCCCTTTCTCTCAAAAACACAACTCCCCTACACACACACACACACACAGACAAACACAGACACAACCCCCCCCCCACACACACACACACACATAGCCACACACACACAATCCCCCATTTTCCATTTTCTCCCAGTAATAAACAAATGCATTAGGCTGAGGATGTTATATAAGGTCACCAACAGCAGCACATTGAGATTGATGAATGCATCAGTGGTGGAGACAAAACGCCAGGCAGGCAGGGCTATCTGATGAAGCCAGTCTAGCAGACAGGACAGGACACATACACAGGAAATGAGATGAGTTCTCTGTAGGGGCTAGTCAACAACGCAGATTGGAAAAAGGGAAGTGGACCTCTCTCTCTCTCTCTCTGGACCTTAGAGTTATATATAGAGTACAAGAATGCAAACTGTACATATGTCCTCAGAATTGTAGTTAAAAAGCAACTGACCCCTTCAGAGGTTACATCACCCATCCGTTTCTATACACAAAAACACCAAGATTCGCTGCCTAACTAATGCAACAGACATTTTGTGCATTGTCCTGAGAAAATGAAACAACAACAAATAAAAAAAATCAACAACCACAGAAGAGATGTCCAAGAGAGGGCAGTGTGTAATATTAGATGTTACTACAGGATCAGCCTTACTCCCTGTACAATCTAACATGACCCACTGTCCATTCCCTTTGGTGTACTATAGGGTGGTGTCATTTGAGAGGGACATTAGTTTGATAAGAGGACCATGTTATCAGGTATCAACGGGACCAGGTCGTTATGGAAACAGGTATCCAGGGGAACAGGTGACATACCTCTTCAGTGAGAGAGAACACTCACCTCCTGATCTCCTGAGCGTGGTACTTAGAATGAGTAACAAAACAATGGTTTGTGGGAGATTCTAGGTAAAGGCTAAAGGTGTTGGGGTGAATGATAGTTTTCTATGCCACTCACTTCCTAGACGAGTTAAATCAATATGGAGGCTCCTCAGCCTATCCAAGTAGTTAGACTGTGTCCTACCACTCTCACCTGTCCAATGTGTGCAGGTGACTTAACCTTCTTAGAAGATAGAACATAAAGGTAGCATGTTTATACTGTACACAAAAAGGTGCTATCTAGAACCTAAAAGGGTTCTTCGGCTGTCCCCACAGGAGAACCCTTCAAAGAACCCTTTTTGGTTCCAGGTAGAACCCTTTTGGTTCCAGGTAAAACCCTTTTGGGTTCCATGTAGAACCCTTTCAACAGAGGCTTCTACATGGAACCCAAAAAGGTTCTACCTGGAACCAAAAACGGTTCACCTATGGGGACAGCCGAGGAACCCCTTTGGAACCCTTTTTTCTAAGAGTTTAGCTTTGACATTGAAGACTTGAGGTACAGTATTCACTAAGCATGTGGGAATCGTAGTTTTTTTTTTTTTATAAGAGAAGGAACTGCCATTTATCTCCTCTCAGCAGGCAAATGAAGTGTTGCTGATCGAAAAAAAAAAAATAGAGGGGGAGGAGGGTGTAGAAGGGTGCCTCAGTCTTCATACAGATTAGAATATGAATTAGTCTGAAGTCCAATTTTAGATGCTTGTATGGGGCTGCCTGTATGTCTGTGTCAGTCCATGGAGAAAAGGGGGGAAGAATAGTTAAACAGAGGTTTGGGTTTGGTTGCTACTAAGCCCCCAGCGCTCAGATCCCTCTTTTATTGGGGACTTTTAAATCCCGCGGGGAGTAATAATCCTCCCTCGCTCAATTTTGCATATTTTGTTAGGGGGAAGAAGAAGAAAAAACGCCAGGGCCCAAACTTTTTCCCTTAGTTAAGAGAGTAGGGAAAGGGGGGAGGATGAGGGGGAGGAGGGAAGGGGGGGTGGGAAAGAGAGAGAGAGAGAGATACAAAAGGGGCAGATGGGGCCTTTGTGATGGAGTGAAGGAGAAGAATTTGTGGAACAATGCCTGAATAGGTGGGAGTCGGAGGAGGGGGAAAGAGAACTCAGCCACCTGCTGTCCCCTCTCTTTCAGAGCAGAGCTCGCAGCGTAGCGGGCAGATTAACTTCCCTTTCATAAAGTAGTCTCTCTCTCTCTCTCTCTGTCTTTCTCTCTATCTCTCTGTCTCTCTCTGTGTCTTTCTCTCTGTCTGTCTTTCTCTCTCTCTGTCTTTCTCTCTATCTCTCTGTCTCTCTCTGTGTCTTTCTCTCTGTCTGTCTTTCTCTGTCTCTATTTCTCTCTCTCCCCCTCTCCTCTATCTCTCCCACTGCTCCCTCCCTCCCCCAATAAAAAAAAGAAAAACCCTTCAAGAAACCCCAACATTAAAATGTCTGCTCGCCTAATTAAAATAACTACTCCTTTTTTACTCCCCATCTTCCGTCTCTCCCGCTTCCCCAGCTAGTTAGGGTCTACCCCCAGCTAGTACACTCTCAGGTCTACCACTGACCCGCTATAGGGAAGCTCAGTCCAATAACCAATTCCAACAATGACGATGCACTCATGAGTCATCGTGTCTTGACAGTTATCCACAAGCTAGCTGATCTGTTGCTCTTACACATCACTGCATGTGACTTGTATTGGCTGTTACTGTTTTTTTTTGTCAGAGACATCAGTGTCATGGGAATTGCGTGCTATGGACTCAGACTCCATAACCACCTGTGAGATTCTAACCATCTGTATGTAAATGCAAGGCGCTCATCCTCTAGTCTCCAAGTCTGGTTTTTGACTGACATTAGAGTCATAGAATTCAATAGAATGCGTCTCCTGTGCCTCTTCTACCATTTATTATGAATAGACTGATTTGTAACTCATCCATGACCAAGATGGCTGCCATTATCGACACATTCTAAAGTCTATTCCTTAGTCCACTGGTCATTTTATGTACACTAGTATGTGGACACCTGCTCATAGAACATCTCACTCCAAAATCATGGGCATTAATATTGAGTTGGTCCCCCCTTTGCTGCTACAACAGCCTCCACTCTTCTGGGAAGGCTTTCCACTAGATGTTGGAACATTGCTGCGGGGACTTGCTTCCATTCAGCCACAAGAGCATTAGTGAGGTCGGGCACTGATGTTGGGCGATTAGACCTGGCTCGCAGTCGGCATTCCAATTCATCCCAAAGGTGTTCGATGGAGTTGAGGACAGGGTTCTGCACAGGCCAATCAAGTTCTTCCACACTGATTTCGACAAACCATTTCTGTATGGACCTCGCTTTGTGCACGGGGGCATTGTCATGCTGAAACAGGAAAGGGCCTTCCCCAAACTGTTGCCACAAAGTTGGAAACACAGAATCGTCTAGAATGTCATTGTACTGTATGCTGTAGCATTAAGATTTCCCTTCACTTGAACTAAGGGGCCTAGCCCAAACCATGAAAAACAGCATTAGACCATTATTCCTCCTCCACCAAACTCTACAGTGGCACTATGCATTGGGGCAGGTAGCATTCTCCTGGCATCCGCCAAACCCAGATTAGTCCGTCGGACTGCCAGATGGTGAAGCGTGATTCATCTCACCAGAGAACGCGTGTCCACTGCTCCAGAGTCAAATGGCGGCGAGCTTTACACCACTCCAGCTGGCGCTTGGCATTGCGCATGGTGATCTTTGGCTTGTGTGCGGCTGCTCGGCCATGGAAACCCATTTCATGAAGCTCCCGACGACCAGTTCTTGTGCTAACGTTGCTTCCAGAGGCAGTTTGGAACCCGGTAGTGAGTGTTGCAACCGAGAACAGACGATTTTTACGCGCTACGCGCTTCAGCACTCGGCGGTCCCGTTCTATGAGCTTGTGTGGCCTACCATTTCGTGGCTGAGCCGTTGTTGCTCCTAGACATTTCCACTTCATAATAACAGCACTTACAGTTGACCGGGGCAGCTCTAGCAGGGCAGAAATTTGACAATGACTTGTTGGAAAGGTGGCATCATATGACGGTGCCACGATGAAAGTCATTGAGCTCTTCATTCCACTGCCAATGTTTGTCTATGGAGATTGCATGGCTGTGTGCTCGATTTTTTACACCGGTCAGCAACGGGTGTGGCTGAAATAGCCGAATCCACTAATTTGAAGGGGTGTCCACATACTAGTGTATCTCTATGAGTAGAATAACACGGATAACACTGGAAAACATGGAATCTAAGGGTCTTTTTTCTTTTTGTTTTCCAGGGATTCCCTCTCCAGTCAGAATTCCAAAACATGCTCAACTCGTCCGGTGGGCAGGGACTGTCCCCATCCATGGACTACAGACAGGTGTGTCGGAATGGGCCCAGCCAGCACCTCGACTGGACCAGCGAATACTGTGGCAATGGGTATAAATACTCATCCTTATTATATAGTATGACAAAACAGAATGGAGAAACATAGCAGATATGAGAGTATGAATGGAGTTTATGCTCAGTATGACCTTTAGGGACGGTTTCCCAGAAATAGATGAAGCCCAGTTATGGACTAAGAAGTACTTTGAATTTCTCAATTTTCTCAAGCTTTGTATTACAGGAGTAGGCTTAATCCTTGACCAGGAAACTAGCCCTTTATGTATTGGTTAAACGTCTGTTAATTAGAACAAATGATTTTGTTTCACTCTTCCAGTCTGAACCCAAGTTGCAATTAATCAAACTTACTCTATTTTAAATGTGTTTCATAACATATGTTAAGAAACATTGATTGATTATTATTAATTATTATTTGTCATTGTTCCTCCCTCTTACCTTCCTTCAGAGCTCTTCAGAGAGACAAGACTCTGTTCCTGACCTGATCTGACCTCTAACCTCTACACACCTCCACTCAACCACCCCAGGACCGGATCGCAACCAGACCCGGTCCACATTCGGTCCCATTCTGCATTCACTGAACCAAGGCATGATTGTCCACTCCCCCAGTAGAAACTCCTTGACCACCACCCCCCACTCTGGCCGAACCATCTGACCACCTGAACGTCACTCAAAAACAAGAAAGGCATAAGCACATATTGCAAAACATCCATATTTTGATATTTGTGGTTCTTTATGTTCTACCTTGAAAATAATCATACTGATGTCATGAGTGGGTTTCAGATAGTTTTGTAACACACACCCTCCCCTTATATTAGATAAAAATGTCAAGTTTAAAGTTCTGGACTTTAAATGTTGTATGGCCATAAAGGCACAAAGAAAATGTGTTCAAAGAGGTGAACGAATAGGCAGCACTGTCCTATCTACTGATGTGTCATTGGATCGTTACTGATATATCGTTGGATTGTGTTTTGAGGAAGACAAGCTGATGACCATTGTTGATCATGACCATTGTTCAAATCCCAGAAGTTAATTTAGCACTTAGGGTCTTTTGGGTCATTTTTTTTCCACACATAGCCAGATGTAAACCAAAACCCCAAACTAACTGACTTTTTGAAAGGAAAGACAAGATAGGTTTTATCCTTTCAAAGAAATTAACAAAGAACACGTATTATATTTCTATCACTCTTTCCCTCTCTCTCTCTCTCTCTCTCTCTCTCTCTCTCTCTCTCTCTCTCTCTCTCTCTCCTCTCCTCTCTCTCCTCTCTCTCTCTCTCTCTCTCTCTCTCTCTCTCTCTCTCTCTCTCTCTCTCTCTCTCTCTCTCTCTCTCTCTCTCTCTCTCTGCTACTGGACTGCCTTAGAGACTGTTGTGTGTCTTTGAGCAGAGTTGTGTTGCTCTTTCTAAACTGATGATGATGATGTTCATAGGATCCTCTGTGGACTATGCCTCGGCTGGTTAGTATAGCCATCACCTCAAGCTGTACATAGAAGTTTGTGTTACTCTTACTCCTGGAGTATAAAAACAGAAGCTTTTTTTCCAAGTGCAGTGTGATTGGGAATTGGATCACACCGGTTTTAATTTAACTATCAAAGATGAAGGGAAATTGATTAAACAGCTTTTATAGCTGTTTGGATTTTATTGGGCGTAAGAATTGTCAATATAATGATATTTGTAAGATAAAACTTGGTAAATCAGTTGTTTTCATCCTCTGAAATAACACCGTAAACTTTGGCTGACCTTTACCTGGAAAACATCACAAAATATGAGTTTTGTGAAAGTAGACATGTAAAAACAAATTTCTGGGCATGTTGATTAAATGGATTGTCATCCAACTCCTGTATCTGAGGTTGCTTTTCTTTATCAGCAGAAAGCGTCTAATAATGAGAGAATGAGATTGGTAGAGACAGATTGGTAGAGTGGCGATATATAACCCTGACATCTGGCTTGTCGTCGCTCTTCTGATCACTCCATCTCTCTCTCTCTTTCTCTCCATAAAGTCTGTTCATCATGCTGCACCTATTTATGAAACAAAAACTGTGTTTTTTTAAGCCCTATTGTTTAATAGCGTTGATGATGGCTGTCTTCTCTGTTCCATTTGTGTTTCTTTCTTTTGGCAGAAAAATGTCTCCAGGCAACAACAATGTGAAGAATTGTATTCTTATTTTTAGTTTCTAATGTGTTTGAAAGAAATAAAGTCAAACCTGCATTTTTGTGCAGTAATCACTCACTTTTGGATACCCTGTGTTTTTATTTGAACCTAAAGTGCCTTAGGGATTGGGAGAACATAGACAACTGAGTCCTAATTGTGTAAATCCTCGTCTTAGAGTATGTGTCGACTAAAAGTAACAATTTCTGCTTTATCGTGAAGAAGAAAATACTTCTATGAAGATGATTTGTTTTGTTACTGTAAACTCGTAGTTATGGTGATTTAGTTTGAGTTGGATTTATTTGCACCGAAGAAAACAAGTGATAGACAACAATACAGACAAAAACAAATTAAAAATAAACGGTGTGCAGGTGTGGTTGGAAGCCCAAAGGCTTATATGAAAACCACACCACAAAAAAACAATATACAATACATAAGTATCATAATCTCTGTATTTCAGGGAAGAAAAATACTTTAAATTCAGTCTTCTACTGTGTTATGTTCTGTACAATTCCAATACTGATGTACTGTATACTCTCACAGCCAGCACAGTAATAATTGATCAATATGGATCAAGAGATCATTGAACACCAAATAAGCAGCTGTCAGTATCATCTCACCAGACCCTTTGGTACATGGTGTCCTTCTGGTTGGTCAGTTTGACCAATATAATATCAGCTAATATTACGATTACCAGTAGTACGTTTTTGGATCATTATCAAAATGGACCTAGTGATTGTGATTTCCTATTTAGAAAAAAAGGGGAAACTGTTCCAATAGTATTAAAGTTTCAAAGTACAATATGTATGCTCTGTCTATCAGTACCACGTTTGTTTAAGCAGAGAACAATAGTGTGTGTTGTGGGTGGGAGGTTGTCTTGTGTTCCTCGTGACTCCATTCCATCTATCTATCTATTTTTTTACAAGTTACTCTTAACAACTATTTAATCTTTCCATCTGACCAGTGCCTATGAATGAATATACTATGCCCTAGTCATGTACCCTATAGACTAGGAGTAGCCAACCCTCCTCATGGAGAGCTACTGGGTATGCAGGCTTTTGTTCCAACCCTACTTTAACATACCTGATTAAGCTGATGAAACACCTGATGGGCAGCTGATTAGTAGACTCATGTGTATATTCAGCAGGGCTGGAGCGAAGGTCTGCAAACCCAGTAGTTCTCCAGGAGGAAGGTTGGCCACACCTGCCATAGGCTGGCCTGAACTCTGCCCCCGCACATCTGACTTTATATAACCTCCCTGCTGTTATTTTATTTTACTGCTGCTCTTAATTATTTGCTTTTTTTATGTTTTTCTTAAACTGCATTGTTGGTTAAGGGCTTGTAAGCATTTCAATGTAATGTCTACACCTGTTGTATTTGGCGCATGTGGCAAATACAATTTCATTTTATTTTATTTGAGGAAGACATCAGTAGCCATGCACTGCCCTCTGGTGACCATAAAAGAGAACTATATGTAAACCAATTGCATTAGCAGTGAATACATGACCAGAAGGGGGAGCTAGAGCTAATGATATAGTACAGGGGTACTCAACTCTTACCCTACAAGGTCTAGAGCCTGCTGGTTTTCTGTTCTACCTGATAATTAATTGCACACACTTGGTGTCCCAGGTCTAAATCAGTCCCTGATTAGAGGGGAACAATGAAAAATGCAGTGGAACTGGCTTCTAGGTCCAGCGTTGAGTTTGAGGGATATAGTACATATACATTTCTGAGGGTTGTGGTACTGGTGGGGGTGTGACTGGCCTGATCCGGGAAACGGGAGACTTGGGCCCCACCATGGAGGCCCTGGGATACTTTGACCTCACCAGGCTAGCCTCCTTGTAATTCTGGAGGGAAGGAGAGGAGAGGAGAGAGCGCTGCAAGACTTTTCACCTTGTGTGGGACAGTCACCTCCAAAATGATTGGCACCCTTGATAAACATGAACAAAAATAATGTATAAAATAAATAATACCAGTACTGAGCTACATTGTCATTTTCCAACATGGGGAATATATTTTATTTTATTAATGATTCAATGGAATCAAGCACATTTTTTAAAATATCAAATTATAAAAACACATTTTCAAAAAACTAAGTGATTTGGCACCCCTGTTTTCAATACTTTTTTGGATCCACCCCTTGCAAAGATAATGGCACTGAGCCTTTTTCTATAATGTTTAATGAGATCGGAGAACAATCTCATCTTGGAGAACATTGGGAGGGATCTTAGACCATTCTTCCATACAAAATCTTTTCAGATCCTTGATATCCTTCGGTCTGCGCTTATGGGCTGCCCTCTTCAATTCAAACCACAAGTTTTCAATGGGCTTCAAGTCTAGAGACAGATGACCATTCCAAAATGTAGATTTGATGGTCAATTAACATTTTCTTGTAGATTTTGATGTGGGCTTGGGGTCATTGTCTTGCTGGAAGATCCACTTGCGGCCAAGTTTCAGCCTCCTGGCAGACGCAACCTGGTCTATGGCTAAAATGTCCTGCTACTTGTTAGAGTTCATGATGCCGTTGACCTTAACAAGGGCCCCAGGACCAGTGGAAGCAAAACAGCCCTATAAAAAAAATTAAGATCCACCACTGTATTTTACAGTAGGTATGAGGTTATTTTCTGCATATGCATCCTTCTTTTGGTGCCAAACCCACCGCTGGTGTGTGGCCAAAGAGCTCTATTTTCGTCTCATCTGACCAATGCACCCGGTGCCAATGCAATTTAGCAAACTCCAGGCGTTTCAGTTGTTGGTTGCTCTCAATAAAGGCTTTTTTTCTTGGAACCCTTCCAAATAGTTTATTGGCATGAAGGTGGTGTCTAATTGTAGATTTGGAGACCTGGGGCCCAATTCCGATTTAGGAAAGTATTCCTTTCTTGCTCACACCTTTCCTATGCAGTTCTCAGTAGTTGGTATTCAGACTTACCTTATAAACTTGCGTAACGTTTTTTGCAGGCGTGGTTCCCTTGCGTGTGCTGAATAAATGTAATTAAACTGCTGAAAACCCTTCCACTTGCTGGCCAACCGATTTTCTCGTGGAGTTTTCATTCAATAGGGTTTTCATTACATGTATCTTAAGCTATGCCTTTAAATATGGTGTACCTTTAATTCGAATTTTGTCGATGGACTAGAATACATCGAAAGAAGGGGTTCAGAAAATAGGGATCAATGAAAGAATGCCATCTATGCATCTTCGTCTCATTTCAACACCAATTGGAAATTTTAAAATACTCTGATTTTAAATGGAATGGAAAGGATAGAAAGGTAAATGGAATGGAAAGGAATAATGCAAAATGTAAGCTACAAATTGAAGAAAACGAACACTAAAGTGACAGTTAAAAATGTATGTGGGTATTACTGAAGGTGGCTCCCAATAGTGGCTAATATTTAACATGATACAAATTGTAAGATAAAACAGAGAAAAGCCCGGGCATAGGCTATAATTAAAACATTCTAAAACGCATACATCAACTCGGCAGGTTCAGCCCTACAGAAGCCTATATCTTGGATGTCCAAATTTCATCCAAGCAAATTATGAGGACACACAATTACAATTCTGAATAATGGCACAGCTATTTAAAGCCTATTTCACTGTGGAAAAGGTGCGGCAATACATGTCATGTTGATATGATTTTCAGTTTGCTTCCATATGGCTGGTTTCACATTTGTCTCCAGGGATCATAAGGAAAAATAATCTAAAACAATTGCTACAATGCCTTGCAAAAGTATTCATCCCCCTTGGCGTTTTTCCTATTTTGTTGCATTACAACCTGAAATTTAAATTGATTTTTATTTGCATTTCATGTAATGGACATAGTCCAAATTGGTGAAGTGGAATGAAAAAAATAACTTTTTTCAAAAGATTCTAAAAAATCAATAATGGAAAAGTGGTGCTTGCATATGTATTCACCCCCAAAATAGGAAAAATGCCAACGGGGGTGAATACTTTCGCAAGCCACTGTATGTGTATTTACTATCCCCTTCTCTAAGCTAATGCTCATTTACCTAGCTCTTATCAATAGCTCTTATCCATTTATAAAATAGAGTGCATGGACAATGTTGTTATTTCTATCAGAAAAAAGAAAGTCGATTATTTTTCCACTTGGAACTGGCAGGTTTGCTCGACCTTATTCATGGTTTCGTCGAGCTTAAAGGTGGTGGAATTATGAAGCAATTAAGTCAAGGTCAGAAAACAGCTTATCTGCAGACACACCAGCACACCTTCATTTCTTAGATCTCCACCCCGAACTAATAGCGTGTGAATAGCATGCTATTTTCATGCTTAAATTCAAGGTCAGAATACGCATAGAGATAAGAGTGCATAAAAAGGGAACTACGTTCCATTTACGTGTGTTTAACTCGGGTCGGAATCGGGGCATTGGTGACCCCAAGATGCGACCAAGTCCTGTAATTCTCCAACTGGGACCCTGGGATTTTTCTTTGCCTCCCAAACCATCTTCCTCACTGTGTGTGGAGACAACCTACACGTACGTCCTCAACCAGGGAAGGTTACCACTGTTTTTAAACTTCCTAATTAATGCCCTAATAGTGGTATGTGGTATATTCGTTTTATAAACAATTTTTTTGTACCCATTGCCTGACTTATGAAGGTCAACAGCCATTTGTCTATTTTTGTTTGTGAGTTCTTTGCCTTTCCCTATGGCGATGGATGACAAAGGGATTGTATATGTGTGTTATCAGAGATACTGTAGATAATGATGAGCTGGTCTTACAATCGGACGCCCTAACAATGGGAGACGTTGTCCCAAAGACGGGAAGGCAGGCGGTCTCCTTATCGGTCTGCTTATTGCTGTATTCCCGCTTGGACAGATTTTGATGGGAGTGGACCCTCTCGCTTCGCCTCTTCCTCTCTGGTATTACCTCATTTGTATACCTCTGGTAAATAGGAAGCCATGGAAGACCACACTAATAGAGATGTATGGAGATCACAACTTTTTATCTATGCCATTATGGTGTCTGTGACAGCATGGGCTGTGCCATTGAGTCTCCATTTTAAAGTAGTCCATTTTCTTCTTCTTTTGATGTTTGAAAAAAGTGTCAAGCTAATATTGGTGACTTACCACCACCTGCATTGCTGGAGTCTTGAACCAAATGTTGTGTGTCATTCATTTATTGTGGCCAGTTGATAGATGGTGGTCAAATAGCTTAAAGCCATTTACAAACTAGGCAAACCAATGCTCTGATCACTGACTGATCGCTCCCAACCCAAAGGAATCCTCTCCCAGTTTCCTTCTTTAAAATGGTGGAAGCCCTCAATGGCAATGTCCATGCTAAAACTGGTTATTTCCAAGCAATGATCTCTATGGCCACAATACAGTTGAGATTAACATAAAAAAGTAGAATGTTTATGCAGATTTTATTTCTAAGAATCTATAGGGGTGCCAAACATTACTTGTTAAAGAAAATCTATATTTCTGGGTAATATATTATTTGATACAATAGTTTCAAATAATATAATTTAACCTGACAGTATTTAGAATGATTTATTTTAGTCTTTTTTCCTCATCTTTATCAAGGGTGCCAGTCATTTTGGAGGTGACTATGTTAAAACTGTCATGATGTATTCATTGCGGTTTTCTAATGCTCTATGTAACCGTTTTGCCATGTTCACTTTACACTCAGACATCTAGGCCTAATATAAGCATTATGATGAGTTATACATCTCTACCACTCACACAAATTCGAAATCCCATTACAAAATAAGATGACAAATATAATAATAATAATTTATCGACGTCATGGTAACAAAACATTTCTTTATTCATTGGATATTTGAGGGGGTTGAGGTTTTTCTTATACAAAATCTCAAATTCACTTAGAAAGAAAACAATAGGACATACAACAGGTGTGCTTCGGTTCAGACGTTTAAAAACCCAGAGCAAGAACTCAGTAGTTCAGACCACGTGTTGAAAGAGGCAAAAGGTACAAATCCAAAAACAAAGAGAGCCCCAAAAATATGCTTGTAAAACTCAAGAGACTGTACATGTGGGTTACAAGTTAATGAATAATTCAGCCTTGGTACTGTCTGCAACAAAAAAACAATATGAATCAAGTTGCTTTTACAAATCAATCTTTAAAAGGGCTTTTACAAATCAATCTTTAAAAGGGTGCCAAGGCATAAAATCCATAGATGGAAATGTGGTGGACGAAAATAATTTAAAAAACAGAAACATCCCTCCATTAAGACTTGGATCAACCAGCTAACAGAGGTCCTGGTGATGTCCCAAAGCAGATTATTTTAATTTGATTTCAAACTGATTTTCTACTGGAAGAAATGTGTTGTGCTGTTTGTTGTATTATACTGTGGAGAATAAATTCCAGAATGATGTCATAGTGATGTGTTTGTGTGCTGTCAGTATACTGTATTTGAAGGCCTAATTGTTGGTTGACACGTGTGAAGTTAATTTCACATTAGTATTTTGTAGGTTGATTTAGTATAAGCAATTACAAACGATTGACATTAAAACACATAATTGTGACAAAATACCTTGACCAGAATAAAATACCCTAACATTTGGTAAAATAGAGACTTGAAACAAACAAAGGGAAAGATTAAGAGAGATTAAGCCCTTGATTACGGTCTCCAATCATAAACTGACCAATTAGAAGGACACCATGTACCACAGGGTCTGGCGAGATTAGGGAGAATAGACATCCATCTTACAAACATGATACAAACACAACAACAAAACGTCAGCAATCTGATTTATCAGTCCTTATTGCCTCCCATTATCAAGAACAGTGTCTGCATCTCAAATGACACCCTATTCCTCATCTAGTGCACTACTTTTGATTACAGCCACATAGGGCAACTACAAAGGGCTCTGGTTAAAGGTAGTGCACCAGTCAGGGAATAGGGTGCCACTGACACCCAGCCGATTATAATACCATCCTAAAAACCAACACCTAAGCGGAACGGGAGGGGATCATTCTTGGACTTTGGCTGCCTCGAAGTTCACTGCCAGTTTCCTGTGTTTCCTCTTGGAGGCGGAGCCGGGGGTGTTGCCTTGGCCAGAGGGGTTCTGGCGCGGCGTTTGGGGCGTAGATGGGGTCCCCGCCCACTGGGCGTTCTTTGGGGGTGTGGAGGGGGCCGGGGATAGGGGGGGTTGGAAGTGAGACAGGGGTTCGCTGCCCGGGGCTTGGTTCCTCGCCATGTGAGCAGTGTTGTAGAACTCCTGGGGCTTCTTGCCCGAGGACACGCGCTTCTTAGTTACCTGACAATAAAAATAGGTTAGTCAGAGGCTAAGATGGTGTGTTACCATGGGAGCACACACATACGCATGCACCCACAGAAACAAATAATTTGGTTAATCATGGTCATTTCTCTGGGGGAGTCTGGCGAAATCCCAAAATACTATTCATATGTTTCTTTTGGCCACATAAATGCACGCATAACTCTTTTGTTTTGGTGATTTAATGTGAACTCTTGAAACAGGTCCTGGAGCTCCTACCTGCAAGGGGACAAACTGGTTGTGAGAGCCGATGGGGACGGAGGGTGCCTGGGGCCGGGCGCCAGGGAAGGTGCCCCCGTAGAAGGGCTGGCCCTGGTGAGGCGGGAGGGGCAAGCCCCAGTGGAGGGGACCATACCCCTGAGGAGGCATCAACAGACCACCTGGAGGTAGAGGGAGAAAGACAGAGAGAGTGAGACAGTGAGAGGGAAAGGTTCACATAAATAATTAATTAGTTGTCCTAAAACCTATCAAGGTGAAAGGGCATTACTGCACCCAGAGAGGTCGTAAAGTAACAGTCTAGTATCAATATACTATACTGTTACTGTACGCCCCACATGATGCCAGGGCTCACCTGATTGACCGAACACATTAGGGATGGGTCGCATGGGTGGTCCCCTTATCTGTCCGACCCCAGAGAACAGAGGTGGAGGCAGAGGGAACCCAGAACCTACTGAATTCTGAAGGAGACAGAGCGAGGGGTTACGAAACCTAGAAATATAGAGACACTGGTAAAATATACACAAAACAAAAAAAATGTAAGAAAGAAAGAAACACATGCACACACACAGATTGTGAAGAGGTACAGGAAGGACACACACCACACTCACAAGGCGCTGCAGGGCGAAGAGAGCTGCCTTCTCTTTGGCTTCGTTCTCAGACTGACACTGGGGACCGTGGACCAGCAGACCACTGGAGAGCTTCACCTGACACACCAGCAGACCCTGGGAGAGAGAGTGTGAGTGTGCATGAATACGTGTGTGTCTGCTACATTCGTGTGCATGTTACATGTCTGCGTACATGCATGCGTGTAAGTGCATGCACACGTGAGTAATGTGCGTCTGTATGCAAGAGTGTGTGGGTGCATGTGCCTGCATGTGTGTGTGTGTGCATGTTACATGCAAACGTGTAACAAGTGTGTGTGTGTCTCTGCCTCACCTGTCTGCTGCGTATGAAGGTGAAGTCAGGCGGGGCCATACCCAGTCCCATACAGATCCTGGTCAGTTCTGAGGCAACACTGGGGACCATGGAGGAGGGCTGGGGGGCCTGCAGGGGAGGGACTGCTGCTGCTGGGGCCGTGGGTAACACCGAGTCTCCCATCCTCGCCGCTGAGGGGAAGAGGGAAGAGGTGGAAGGAGAAGGGGAATGAAGAACAACTGGTTTAATATCTATGGTACGGTATCTCCACTAAATCCCACAATAGCGCCACCTGTAGCTAAACATTAAGAGCCCGACCGATATATCGGTTCACCGATATTATCACCCGATATTAGCCTTTTACCAATATATCGGTATCGGCTGATAAGATAATTCCACCAATATCCAATATTGAATAAATAGGATGAAAAAAGGAATATGATGCTTATCTGAACACTTACGGCCATTACCATGATGTCATTACTGTCACAACATAAGAAATCAACATTTGAAGCATGTTCAATGGACAAATGATATTTTGGATGCCAATTTATTACAACCCAGTGTGGAAGAATTACACATTCATTTCCCAGCTGTAAAACAGTATAAATCGGCAGATACACTATACAGTTCCTTCGGAAAGTACTCAGCACCTTGACTTTTTCCACATTTTTTTTCGTTACAGCCTTGTTCTAAAATAATCCACAGCAATCTACACACAATACCCCATAATGACAAAGCGAAAACAGGTTTAGACATTTTTGCAAATGTATAAAAAATAAAAAAACAGAAATACCTTATTTACATACAGTACCAGTCAAAAGTTTGGACACACCTACTTATTCAAGGGATTTTCTTTATTTTTACTATTTTCTACATTGTAGAATAATAGTGAAGACATCAAAACTATGAAATAACACATATGGAATCATGTAGTAACCAATAAAGGGTTAAACAAATCAAAATATATTTGAGATTTGAGATTCTTCAAAGTAGCCAACCTTTGCCTTGATGACAGCTTTGCACACTCTTGGCATTCTCAAAATTGTTTTCATTGATCATCCATGTTTCTACAACATGATTGGAGTCCACCTTTGCAGCATTGAAGGTCCCCAAGAACACAGTGGCCTCCATCATTCTTAAATGGAAGAAGTTTGGAACCACCAAGACTCTTCCTAGAGCTGGCCAAACTGAGCAATCGGGGGAGAAGGGCCTTGGTCAGGGATGGTCACTGACAGAGCTCTAGAGATCCTCTGTGGAGATGGGAGAACCTTCCAGAAGGACAACCATCTCTGCAGCACTCCACCAATCAGGCCTTTATGGTAGAGTGGCCGAACGGAAGCCACTCCTCAGTAAAAGTCAAATGACAGCCCGCTTGGATTTTGCCAAAAGGCACCTAAAGACTCTGTCCATGAGAAACAAGATTCTCTGGATGCCAAGCGTCACGTCTGGAGGAAACCTGGAACCATGCCTACGGTGAAGCATGGTGGTGGCAGCATCATGCTGTGGGGATGTTTTTCAGCGGCAGGGACTGGGAGACTAGTCAGGATCGAGGAAAAGATGAACGGAGCAAAGTACAGAGATCCTTGATGAAAACCTGCTCCAGAGCGCTCAGGACCTCAGACTGGGGTGAAGGTTCACCTTCCAAAAGGACAACAACCCTAAGCACACAGCCAAGACATAGCAGAAGTGGCTTTGGGACAAGTCTCTGAATGTCCTTGAGTGGCCCAGCCAGAGCCCGGACTTGAACCCGATCGAACATCGCTGGAGAGACCTGAAAATATCTGTGCAGCAACACTCCCCATCCAACCTGACAGAGCTTGAGAGGATCTGCAGAGAAGAATGGGAGAAACTCCCCAAATACAGGTGTGCCAAGCTTGTAGCGTCATACCCAAGAAGACTCGAAGCAGTAATTGCTGCCAAAGGTCCTTCAACAAAGTACAGAGTAAAGGGTCTGAATACTTATGTAAATGTGCTATTTCAATTTTTTATTTTTAATAATTTTGCTAAAATGTCTAAAAACCAGTTTTTGCTTTGTCATCATAGGGTGTGGATTGATGAATGAAAAACACAATTGAATCCATTTTAGAATAAGGCTGTAACGTAACAAAATGTGGAAAAAGTCAAGGGGTCTGAATACTTTCCGAATGCACTGTATATTTCTCTCAACAAATACAACCAAGCACAAACCTAAAAGATGTGAGACTAGTTCAGGTTTCACAATATAAGAATAAATCAACCTAAGGACAGTCCAAACCTCATTTACCGTCAATCGCCTACTGAACCAAGAGGGAACATTTTTTTACATTTTTAGTCATTTAGCAGACGCTCTTATCCAGAGCGACTTACAGTTAGTGAGTGCATACATTATTATTTTATTTTTTTCATACCATTGTGGGAATCGAACCCACAACCCTGGCGTTGCAAACACCATGCTCTACCAACTGAGCTACATCCCTGCCAGCCATTCCCTCCCCTACCTTGGGCCAATTGTACGCCGCCCCATGGGTCTCCCGGTCGCGGCCGGCTACGACAGAGCCTGGATTCGAACCAGGATCTCTAGTAGCACAGCTAGCACTGCAATGCAGTGCCTTAGACCAAATACAGGTGTGCCAAGCTTGTAGCGTCATACCCAAGAAGACTTGATGCTGTAATCGCTGACAAAGGTGCTTCAACAAAAGTAAAGTAAAGGGTCTGAATGCTGTCACTATGGGGTATTGTGTGTAGATTGATAAGGGACAAAAACAATTTAGGCAATTTTAGAATAAAGCTGTAATGTAACAAAATGTGGAAAAAGTCAAGGGGTCTGAAAACTTTCCGAAGGCATATGCATATATATATATATATATATATACACACATACTGTTAGATTAATTTGTATTTTAAGAATAATGACTAAAGGATTTCACCCCAAATACAGTATAAATGTGTGAACGGTGTTAAGAGTTATAATGTAGTGGCAACCCACTAACAGAGGGGGGCGGGACTAAACATTCCAGGGTGAAGGAGACTGTGGAAACTGTTTAAGAAAGCCTCCTAAAGGTGGGCGGAGCAAAGTGCCTTTGTGTGTCAGGGGGTATAAAACAGTATGTATGGGTTTTGGCGCCAGAGCTCTCCATCAATAAAAATACAGATCATTCTTGCTGGTTGTGGACCTTGAATCATTTATGATTAAAACCAGAGCCTTACAGCCCCTGGTAATGATTCAAGCTTAGGTTGAATTAGAGATAGAAAATTCTCCTGACACATACACAAAAGTATGTTGACACCCCTTCAAATTAGTGGATTCGACTATTTCAGCCACACCGTTGCTGACAGGTGTATAAAATCGAGTACACAGCCATGTAATCTCCATAGACAAACATTGGCAGTAGAATGGCCTTACTGAAGAGCTCAGTGACTTTCAACGTGGCCACATCATAGGATGCCACCTTTCTAACAATTCAGTTCGTCACATTTCTGCCCTGCTAGAGCTGCCCCGGTCAACTGTAAGTGCTGTTATTGTGAAGAGGAAACGTCTAGGAGCAACAACGGTGGTGGTAGGCCACAAACTCACAGAACGGGACCGCAGAGTGCTGAAGCAAGTAGCGTGTAAAAAAAAAAAGTGTCCTCGGTTGCAACACTCAATACCGAGTTCTAAACTGCCTCTGGGAGCAACGTCAGCACAAGAACTGTTCGTCGGGGTCTTCATGAAATGGGTTTCCATGGCCGAGCAGCCGCACACAAGCATAAGATCACAATGCCAAGCATTGTCTGGAGCGTCATTCTATAGCAAGAGTACTCCTGATATCTCCAGGAGTGGGACCATGGTCTTGTAGTGGATGTGAGCTTCAACTGGAAGCCAGTGGAGTGTGCGGAGGAGCGGGGTGACATGAGAACTTGGGAAGGTTGAAAACCAGGTGGAGTTGTCAACCGTGATGGAGAGGTCTTTGAGCGGACAGGCCTTGCCCAGGAGGAAGAGCAGTCCCGTCCCCCCCCCCCAGAACAAAAACGCTACTTGCCCCAATGCATAGTACCAACGGTAAAGTTTGGTGGAGGAGGAATAATGGTCTGGGGCTCTTTGTCATGGTTCGGGCTAGTCCCCTTAGTTCTAGTGAAGGGAAATCTTTACGCTACAGCATACAGTGGCTTGCGAAAGTATTCACCCCCATTGGCATTTTTCCTATTTTGTTGCCTTACAACCTGGAATTAAAATGGATTTTTGGGGGGTTTGTATCATTTGATTTATACAACATGCTTACCACTTTGAAGATGCAAAATATTTGTTCTTGTGAAACAAACAAGAAATAAGACCAAAAAAACTGAACTTGAGCGTGCATAACTATTCACCCCATATTGCCCATTCTTCAAGGCAAAACTGCTCCAGCTCCTTAAAGTTGGATGGGTTTCGCTGGTGTACAGCAATCTTTATGTCATACCACAGATTCTCAATTGGATTGAGGTCTGGGCTTTGACTAGGCCATTCCAAGACATTTAAAATGTTTCCCCTTAAACCACTCGAGTGTTGCTTTAGCAGTATGCTTAGGGTCATTGTCCTGCTGGAAGGTGAACCTCTGTCCCAGTCTCCAATCTCTGGAAGACTGAAACAGGTTTCCCTCAAGAATTTCTCTGTATTTAGCGGCATCCATCATTCCTTCAATTCTGACCAGTTTCCCAGTCCCTGCCGATGGAAAAACATCCCCACAGCATGATGCTGCCACCACCATCCTTCACTGTGGGGATGGTGTTCTCGGGGTGATGAGAGGTGTTGGGTTTGCGCCAGACATAGCGTTTTCCTTGATGGCCAAAAAGCTCAATTTTAGTCTCATCTGACCAGAGTACCTTCTTCCATATGTTTGGGGAGCCTCCCACATGCCTTTTGGCGAACACCAAAAGTGTTTGCTTATTTTTGTCTTTAAGCAATGGCTTTTTTCTGGCCACTCTTCCGTAAAGCCCAGCTCTGTGGAGTGTACGGCTTAAAGTGGTCCTATGGACAGATACTCCAATCTCCGCTGTGGAGCTTTGCAGCTCCTTCAGGGTTGTCTTTGGTCTCTTTGTTGCCTCTGATGAATGCCCTCATTGCCTGGTCCGTGAGTTTTGGTGGGCAGCCCTCTCTTGGCAGGTTTGTTGTGGTGCCTTATTCTTTCCAATTTTTATATAATGGATTTAATGGTGCTCTGTGGGATGTTCAAAGTTTCAAATGTTTTTATAACCCAACCCTGATCTGTACTTCTCCACAACTTTGTCCCCGACCTGTTTGGAGAGCTCCTTGGTCTTCATGGTGCCGCTTGCTTGGTGGTACCCCTTCCTTAGTGGTGTTGCAGACTCTGGGGCCTTTCAAAACAGGTGTATATATACTGAGATCATGTGACACTTAGATTGCAAACAGGTGGACTTTATTTAAATAATTATGTGACTTCTGAAGGTAATTGGTTGCACCAGATCTTATTTAGGGGATTCATAGCAAAGGGGGTGAATACATATGCACGCACCACTTTTCCGTTATTTATTTTTTAGAATTTCTGAAACAAGTTATTTTTTTCATTTCACTTCACCAATTTGTACTATTTTGTGTATGTCCATTACATGAAATCCAAATAAAAATAAATTTTAATTACAGGTTGTAATGCAACAAAATAGGAAAAACGCCAAGGGGGATGAATACTTTTGCATGGCACTGTACAATGACATTCTACACGATTCTGTACTTCCAGCTTTGCGGCAAAAGTTTTGGGAAGGCCCTTTCCTGTTTCAGCATGACAATGGCCCCATGCACAAAGGGAGGTCCATACAGAAATGGTTTGTCGAGATCGGCGTGGAAGAACTTGACTGGCCTGCACAGAGCCCTGACCTCAACCCCATCGAACACCTTTGAGAATAATTGGAATGCCGACTGCGAGCCAGGCCTAATCGCCCAACATCAGTGCCCAACCTCACTAATGCTCTTGTGAATGAATGGAAGCAAGTCCCCGCAGCAATGTTCCAACACCTATTTATTTTATTTAACTAGGCAAGTCAGTTAAGAACAAATTCTTATTTACAATGACGGCCTATCTAGTGGAAAGCCTTCCCAGAGGAGTGGAGGCTGTTATAGCAGCAAAGGGGGGACCAACTCTATTAACACCCATGATTTTGGAATGAGATGTTCGACGAGCAGGTGTCCACATACTTTTGGTCATGTAGTGTATATCGGTATCCGTAAGTGTTGTCCTCCTGATAAAAACCATATTGGTCGGGTTCTACTAAACATGTAGCGTTACACATAGTTGAGCTCACCCAGTTTCTTGGTGGGTCGTCTCCTGTTCTGCTGCTGTGTGTTGAAGGAGGCGGGACTAGTGGAGTCAGGGGTGGAGCCAATGTTCAGCATCTCCTTCAGGGCCAGAGTCCCCTTCTACACACATAAGAGTACAAAGAATTACAATTAGCCAACTGACCATACCTAACCAATCACAACAGGACTACAACAACCAACCACAAGGGAAAGAGCGGATACTTCAAATGTAAAAGTTTGAAATGGGCCACTAAAGCATAACACCAACCAGTGAGTACTAGTACCCACCATAGCGAATGACTGCGGAGGAAGCGGCTCCTCTGATTGGCTCGTGGGCTCTTTGGCTGGAGGGGGTGGAGTTGGCTCGTTGCCCTTGGAGATCTTCAGGTTGGCGATCAACTCCTCGAACTCTGTCTGCTGGAGACAAGTGGGGTAAGATTTTGTGTGTCTGTCTCTGTCTCTGTCTCTGTGTGTGTGTGTGTGTGTGTGTGTACCTTCTTTGTAGCGTTCTGAGCGGGAAACAGAGAGTTGACATCTTCATTTCTCTTGAGGAGTCTGATACTTCCTGCTGGACCCTATAAAACAACATGAAGTTTAACACACACCTCATTCTCCCTCAGAAGTCATACCTGCACATTGAGATCTTCCAACAAAAATAATACAATTGTACTAAATATGCATCTTCATTGAGTTGTATTAGTTGGTCTATACTTACAACTTAGTCTACACTCAGCCTTCCACTTGTAATAACCAACCCTACACTGAAATCCGCTATTGAAAAGGGCATTTTATTGACTAGTTTCAATTCATTTGTAGTCCTGATTCCTGGCTATGCTGACTGCTGAGGATGAGGACTCTGGTCTGCTATTGGTCTACAGCTGGGGGTGACGACAGGAGTTGTAGTTCTCCACTTCCTGAGCTGCTGGGATCTGTAGTCTCCTGAGGGAGCGTGGCCTGACAGGAAAACAGCCTCAGAGGTGTCACAGACTTGTAAGGTAGTTTATGGAATGATTGTTGCGCTAAAACACTTTTACTGAATACTTTTCACTTGGCTCACTAGGTTTACACAAGCAACTATACTGCAAGTACTTTAGTTATAAAGTCTGCAAAACTGCATTCTTATCAAGAGAGACTGGATGCAGATACTGAGTGGCAGAGTTAAAGAGATAAGGGTACCTTTGCATGGCAGGTTACAGCTAAAATAATGTAGTATTTCTAACCTGCTGTCCAGAAAAACACTGATCTGAGGTCAGACCCTAAAGTCAGGATCAAAGAGATGTGACTCAATGTTTAGGGGTGTAAGGTTCAACAGTTAGGGATTAAGGGACAGGGGTTTCAAGTTCAGTGGTTATGGTTAGATAAAGTGGTGACTCACAGGTTTGGGAGGATGCTGTTGTTGACTCTGGGGTTGGTTCCTGCCTTGTTGCCCCTGGAACTGCCCTTCCTGTCCGGGAGACCCTGTACCCCAGGCAGACTTACCCGACTGGGGACAGACACAGAGAGATGGAGGTCAGGTGACACAGCCAGGAACAACATTGATCGCAATGCGAGTATGGTGACACTGGTACAAACTTATGAATGGACTCACATTGTTTTGTTGCCAGTGAGCTGGTGGTTTCTGGGGCATTCCAGAGCTCTGCAGAGACTGCCACACATTACTGAACTCCTCATCTTTACCCTGCAGTCACAGAGAGACAGAGAGAGAGCACAAGACAGAGGTTACACACACTCCACCACACACAAATAAGGCATTGTATACAGTAAATCTCACACAGAGAGAGACAAAGAGAGAGACAGAGGGAGAGCAACCACACACACACAAGCTTACCTTAGATTGCGGTTTCTGGCTGGCTTTGTGTGCAGAGTTTTTGTTGCCCTGAGTGTCTGTCCTGAGAATGTTTTGTCTGCCGTTCTGCTGCTGAGAGACACAGAGGGAGAGGGGGAAAGGTTGACATCAAGACATACAGCGGGAGGGACATAGAGAGAAAGGTAGGCAAATGTGAGAAACACAGATCAAACGTTGGAGGCTATTCGCCTTGATCTATGCTGGTTACTCTGGGAGTGGTTAGGTCAGTCTTTTTTGAGTGGTGTGCACGTGAGTACATGCTATACTCCAGTCCAACCTGTGTGGATATGAAGGGTGATCGCGGTGAGTGGTTGAGCCCGACCAGCTGTCCTTTGTTGTGTTGGTGGGAGGAGGCAGGCTGGGGCTTGACGATAGCGGTCAGTTTGTGGAAGCCCTGCTCTACACGGCCCCCGTGGCTCAGGTTGATTAAGGCACAGGGAGGCAGCCTGTAGCCACGGCCCACCGCACACCTGAAGTAGGCAACACACCAGAGTCAGGCAAGCTACAGTCACCCAGACAGGGCCACAACCACACAAGAGTCAGTCACAAAAACTCAGGTACTTAACATAAAAAGACAACGTAATAGGAAACATGCTATTGATCGAGGCTTGAAACACTTAACATAGGCCTATATGAAACACAGACATGAGACTGTACCTGATAGTAAGTCCACCAGCAAATTCTTCATCAAACACAACCTCATACAACACCTCAGCCTCCCGATCAGCTGCCACGGGAGAGAGGTTTAACATCAGTTTAGAGACTGTTCAAAGACGAGAGGGTGACCGTGTTTATGTTGTACAGTATATGAGAGAAAGAGTGAGTGAGTGTGAGACACAGGGTGTGTGTGTGTGTGTGTGTGTGACCACTCACCTGACTTGATGCCGATGATGGTTCCCCTGAGGCCGAGGGGGACGGAGAAGCTCTCTCTGACGTTGACCACCCGGTCAAAGAGGTGGTACTCTGCATCCGGGTCAGGGACCACCCCGTGTTGCTGTTCTAAGGGCTGGGAGGAGGGACACACACAGGTTAGAGAGGAGTGGAGTTGGAATTGTGGCTCAAAACACAGCGCAAGGGTTCAATGTCATTTTCACTCACTCTCTATAAAACACACAACAACAACACAAAGTGACACTCACCCTGAAGAGCAAATGTGGCTTCACAGTCACACGTACTTTATCACTACTCTTCTTCACCTGAGAAACAGAGAGAGGTAAGAGTCACTACATGAACACTAAAAACAGAAAGTAGATTAGTCATTGACAGTGAAGGAAGGGCTTGTTGAGTAGTAGTCTGCATATGCCTCCATCATAATATTAATAGACAGAAAAACAAGGGTAGAGGTGATTTATTGATAGAAAAGAAAGCAAGTAGGAGAAGAGATAAATGATTGACAGCCCCGAGTTACCTTAGCCTTCTCCACCTCCTCCTCGATCCGCTCCACGATGGCCTTGTCCAGGATCTGCAGGTCACATGACGCGCGGGCGATGTCGGCGACCGGGTGGGTCTTCAACCAGGAAGTGATCTCCTTCACCTTCTCCGCCCTGCCGTAAAACCATCCCCATCACAACTACCATCACCACTATCTTCAGTATTACTACAACTGTTATTTACTTCCGTCTTGTTACATATAATCAATCTACTCCAAGTGTTTTATATGTCTGTTTAAAGGCCCAATGCAGCCGTTTTTAACAATTCAGTACCTTACAGTAATAGATTTCCATAAAAAATTCTCAAAAATAAACAAATATTTCTCAAGCAAGAATTTTGGTAGGACAGTCAGAGTGGTCACACAGGAAAAACTGATTTTTGACTGCACTGCACCTTTAAGAAATCTGAATGCAAGTCTTGAGTAACTGTTATGAGTATGACTGAGTGTAAATGATGATTGTTGACTGCACGAATGTGAGTGTAAATCTTGATGTGAGTGTTACCCGTTCTCGTCCTCTCCAGGCCAGATGTCGTCCTCGTAGAAGACATCATCATGACTGTTCCTGGACACCAGATCAAACACCTCAGAGAACCTACAGGAGGAAGCACAATGCAGGTTACACACACACACAAATAAGAAAACATACAAACACGTTTGCAGTTTCACACATACAGACAACACAGTTGCATAAATACAGAGAAAAACACACACATAAGGACACACACACACACTACATTAGGGGACACACCTATCCAGGTACTCAGCCATCAGTTCCTCCACAGCGTCAGAGTAGAGCCACTCCTTCTGGGTTCTCTTGGTGTAACCGGGCACCTCCTCATTCTTCTTATTGAACTTCAGGTTCAGACCCACGTTAGCCTTCTGCTCCCCATGGGGACTGAGGAGGGAGGGAGAGGGGGGACAAGAGAACAGAGACAGACACAGAGGGAGAGAGAGTCACATGGTTTATTAAACACAGAGAATAAACTAAACCTATATGGGTAATAGACTTCCATTTGAAATGTGTTCACTCACTTCTTCTTGGATCCTCTGCCGACGAAGATGCTGCCGGAGAATCTGGAGACGAGGTAGCTGGTGACGCCGAGGCGAGAGGCCAGAACGTAGCCGGGACTGTACTTCACACAGTATTTCTACCAGGGGAGGGAGGGAGGGCGAGAGTAAGCGTGGCAACGGCGCACATGTTTGGTCATGTGGTGGGGCAGGCGAGGAGTGTGAGAGAGATGTGTCGTTTTGAGAATGACTTACATGCTGGTTCTGTATTAAGGCTTCCATCGGTGGTTCACAGGGCACCGTGAACACCACCCACACCCGTCCCTCTTTGATGACATCACCAGACTCCTGCACCTGTATGTCCAAGAGCAAATAATGTTATTGAAAAGGCAAACATGATATGTAACGCAACAGATTAAGCCAAAAAACTGTCTAATACATTACATTAAAATATTATTTCTCTATATCACATTTGAGTGCTTTAACTTTAATTTTCTTTTTTCACAAACATTTATTTTATTTGCAAGACTAGATATTTCAATTCAGCAATTCAGATTCAAGGTCACGAAAAGCAGCAAGCCTAAACCCCTAACGTGAACCAGTACGCTCAAGAGTCTCCAATACTGATGATTCCATGTCAATAAGAAAGTGTGTAAGGCTCAGACAGGAAGTAGAGACCGGAAGCAGTACAGACCTCTCCCATAGCGCCGTAGTAGGGGTTCCCCACCATGAACACGGTGGTCGTCGGGGGAAACAGCTCCTCCAGGGTGTTGAAGCGGGTTGACGACGAGTCAAAGGCCTTGATGTCCTGAGAGAGAGAGGGAGAGAAAGTGAGTGTGTTTGTGTATATGCGTGTGTAGTATGTGTCTTCCTATGTGTGTTCCTGTGTCTGTACGCGTCTCTGCACGTGTGCCTACCTTGACGATGGTCTGGTAGGCGAAGGGCATTATCTGCTTGGCCCACTGTTTCTCCAGGTGCACCTGTCTGTTCTGCCCAGGTACATACTTCCTGCCTGCCAGCAGCTGGGCATACAACACCACCCCCGTCTCATTCACTATGATGCCCTTACGCTTACTGAAACTGAGAGGAGAAGAGATTGAGATGTATTTAGGTAAGGAGGAGAGTGGTCTGCCAAAGTCCCCCTAGGCAAAGAGGTCTTATCAGTTCTGACCCCAATGGGACTTCTTGGTTAAGTAAATGTTAAGTAAAGAAATACTAAAATAGACTCATAGGAAGACACTTCTACCAAAGAGGATGTAGAAATCAAACACATACACATGACCTTCACACAAAAACTATTCTACTTGGATAACAAACTTAGTTTTTTTTAAACAAATAGATGCTTACTGCTCAGTGATACCCTGGACGTCCTTCAACCAGTCCTTCTGCTCCTTGTCACTGAGGTAGGTGACCTTGGTGGGGGGAGGAGAGTCCCTGTCATACAGTTTCTGCACTCCCGCTGGCTCCTCCAGGAAGAACCTGAGAGGGAGGGGTGTGATGAGGGGGAGAGAAAGGGGAGAAGAGAGAAGAAGTAGGGGAAAGGCGTGTTTGAGGTAGACGATGGTAGACAGATGAATATCGACAACTCAGTGTACTTCAAAGTAATGGTCTAAAGAGAACTGAATGAACGGCAGAGCCAGAGGTGTAATGGTTTTGAGTGATGGTCCAGGTGTAATCAGTGGTGTAAAGTACTTAAGTAAAAATACTTTAAAGTACTACTTAAGTAGTTTCTTGGGGTATCTGTACTTTACTATTTATATTTTTTGACTACTTTTACTTCACTACATTCCTAAAGAAAATAATGTACTTTTTACTCCATACATTTTCCCTGACACCCAAAAGTACTCGTTACATTTTGACACGAAAATGGTCCAATTCACACACTAATCAAGAAAACATCCCTGGTCATCCCTACTGCCTCTGATCTGGTGCACTCACTAAACACAAATGCGTTGTTTGTAAATTATGTCTGAGTGTTGTAGTGTGCCCCTGGTTATCCGTCAACAAAAAAATAAAATTGTGCCGTCTGGTTTGCTTAATATAAGGAATTTTCAATGGTTTATACTTTTACTTTTGATACTTAAGTACATTTTAGCAATTCCATTTACTTTTGATACTTATATTTAAAAACCAAATACTTTTAGACTTTTACACAAGTAGTACTTTACTGGGTTACTTTCACTTGAGTCATTTTCTATTAAGGTATCTTTACTTTTACTTGAGTATGACAATTGAGTACTTTTTCCACCACTGGGTGTAATACTGTAATTTATTTTAGGCATGACTTGAACCGAGTGTGCCTCTTACTTGCTCTCCCCGTCAGACACTGCTACCACCCTGGCCTCCTCTAGGTGGGGCCAGTTGACAAAGACAGTGCAACCCAGGACCAGGGACGCCACATCACCACACGTCTGCGAGAGAGACGGATAGAGAGAGAGGGAGAGGGAGGAGGGGATGAAAAACAATTTATGCTATTTCTGCTCCAGACACATACCTAACACAGTCATCGACTCTTCATAGAAACAAGACTGTGTGTGTGTGTGTGCGCATCTATACTCACTGGATCTTCTTTGCTAGGTCTGATCTCCAGAATCATGTTCTCTCCTCGGCTGCTCTGCTGGAACACCACCACTCCATGCTTCTTCTTATAGAACTATAAAGACAGAAAAACATGTACATATGAAACATACATACAAGTATTCATATTCTAAGATGGCCAATACACATCATCTGTGTGAATATTGGGGTGTAAATGCAGCCACGAAAAAAACATCAAAAATCTCCTGGTTTCAATGAGACATCAGTTTAGAGGGGTTTGTCCTACGACGTGAGATTGAAGATCGAGCTAACTTTGGTCAACTCTTGAGTTCAACTCGAGATAACCGTTGACATGACAGTGGCTCACCTTTTAGCCAGGTACATTTCTATGGCAACGAATTCTTCAGAGCTAACCTGCTCCGTGGCAGGCTATTTATTCTGAATGAAGTGTTTGGGCTGCGAGTTGAGGACCAATCAAATTAGGCTCCCTCTTGCAAAGAGTACGTCACCATCTCGTCATTTTCCGGACCATATCATTCTACACATTCAGTAATGAACGGATGCATTTGAAACATCACGCGATAGTATGTTTTGGGGGAAAAAAGGGCTTGTGCATTGATAAGCACACCAAAGACCACATAAACAATATGCATAAGAAAGACAGCACTTCTAACAGCCCATTTGCCAACATAGCCTGCTGAACTTGCAGGATAACCACTCTTTCATTGTGATTTTCGCCTAAATTAAAATGTGGCACTGACTCGCCCATGGACTGATGTTTCAGCATTGTCTCAATAAAGAGTTACGCGTTCGACTAGCCATGTGCGTCATGCCCTGCTCGAGCAGGCTCGACTAAGTGGTGGGCGCACGATCAATATCCACCTCTGTAACGTGGATGAAGCTAGGACTGGAATGTGAAGCTAACTGAAGCTGGCTAGCTTTAGAAAATCCTCAACAGATCTAGCTAGACTCATAGTATACCTCTACGGCCACACTTTGAGCACTTGGATTAACAAGTGACCGATTACATAACTAGATCTTATGCTTGTAGCATCTTTATTGACAAATCATCTTGTGACTGTTGGCCACCAGTTCGTGGTGTGTTAACGGACTGTGTGGTGTGACTACCGACTACTGTTTTGTTAATAGAGACACAGTACATGATATTACAGTCTTCTACTCTGTATTGCTCTCGGATCATGTGTTCTGATTCACACTCTTGTTGTCGTCTCATTGACACGGTTGTTGTCGGTCTGCCTGTCTATCGTACCTTGTGTCTGATGTGCTGCAGGGTGGGGAAGCCAAGGAAGTAGAGCTGGCTACTGTTGACACTGCGCGCCACGTGGCTCAATGACACATGCCACGCGTCCATGGGAACCGGTGTCACCCTGGAAACCACCAATCACATTACAGTATCTTAGCCTCGTGGAAGTAGTGTGTTCAGTGTGTGCGTGTACATCAGTGAGTGTGTGTGTTCAGTGTGTGTCTCACCTGACGTGGCAGTGCATGATGTTGGGGAACAGTTCAGGCAGGGTGGAGGTGTGGGGGTAGTCTAGCTCAGTGTCATAGCTGTACACAGCACACTCTGTGTGGCGGTTACGGGCCTTCTCAGCCTTGGTCATGTGATCGTTATAAGGCTCCATCGCAGCAAGCAAACATCTCTGGAAAGGAAACACGCAAATAAATAAGTAACATAAGAATAAGACACACAGGTATGAAGTGTGTCATTGAATTATGTGTGTGTGTGTGTGTGTGTGTGTGTGTACCTCGTCGATGAAGGGGATGAGCACCACTGCCTCCCACTCCTGCTGTTTTCCGTTGAGGTCCGTCTTGAAGTCCAGAGGGTAATACTCAATGATACTAGAATTCTCTGATGTCATCAGGTGCTGTGGACAGAACAAAATGGAGGTATCAGAACCGTGTGTGTTATGCGAAAGTGTGCGTGTCATAGGTCGCCACAATGCTGCTATGCAGGTCTGTATGTGTGTTACCCTGTAGCTCTGGGGAAGCAGGTCTTTGCTGGCAGCGGGCAGGACTCCCAGTAGTTGCTGGAAGGGCAGGAAAGGCTTGCCGATGTCAAAAGTCAACTTCAGATGGGCTATGTTCCTCACATCTGACAGGAACGGGGCGTAGTGGTGAGGGTAATACCTAGGACAGAGGGAGGAATTAGTACATGGGCGTGCACAGACTGAGACACAGAGAGAGAGAGACCGAGAGAGAAAAGAAAGAGAGAGACACACAGAGAGAGAGAGACAGAGAGAGAGAGACACAGAGACACAGAGAGAGAGAGACAGAGAGAGAGACACAGAGAGAGAGACAGAGAAAGAAAGCAAAACTCACCAGCTCCAGGACTGGACTCCATGGTAGTAGTAATGCAGGATCCACTGGATTCCCTCCACATAGCACAACGCCTGATTTGCTAGAAACTCACTGAAAACAATACAAACAACAAAAGTTTAAACAAGTGTCATGCTCTACAATGCCATTGTCTTTAGTTATTAACTAGAAAAATCATAAACGTTAAACTCAGTTTGGGCTAAGAGCATTTCAAGATCATTAGTTAGTAGGAAAATACACTGCTCAAAAAAATAAAGGGAACACATAAACAACACATCCTAGACCTGAATGAATGAATTTTTATTAATTTTTTTATGGGGGGGATGGATCAGCTTAATATTGCAGATAGATTGTATCTTCTATCAATGTAATTGTCCGCATCACTTCCAATCCCCCATGTTTTTTTATATATATACTCCCCTTTATTACTTTTCAACCCCGCCATCCTTTCCCTACTTGGAGTAAATTAGTGAACAACAATGCCCAGGCCTCTACTTCCGGTCTATACTTACTATCTACACCTTATGGACACAGTTAATTTTACAATAATTCGATTCTATTATATATATTTTTTTATAATTTTTTTTGCTCCTGAACTTCTTCTACTCTCAACCTCTCCGATCATTTTCATGATGTCCATCCGGTTTGCTTCTATATGCCATATCTTTCTAACTGTGCTCTTTCCCAAAAGCTCCCAACATTCAACCTATATACTTATTATGGACACAGTATGCTTACATTATTAGCCATCTTTGTTATTATTTGTTGTTATTTGTTATTAGTCCCATCCTTCAACTCTATTCAATACCTCCCATTTATCTTTTAACACCATCCATATAGGATTTCTATTTGCCATATATATTTCAACCGTACTGTGATGTTTTACAAAAGTTCTGAACCTTTCTATTCTCATTGCTTCTACAGATTGTGAATTAAAAATAAACATTTTTGCTAAAAGTATTATTATATTATTGATCGATTGACTATGACTTTTCAGATCACCCAGTAATGCTATCTGCAAGGTTAGCTCCAGGTAAATATTGCAATCCTTTGATGTAATGTCCTTAAAACAAGTCAAAATGAGGCTCAGTAGTGTGTGTGGCCTCCACGTGCCTGTATTTGTAAGTCGCTCTGGATAAGAGCGTCTGCTAAATGACGTAAATGTAAATGTAAATGTATGACCTCCCTACAACGCCTGGGCATGCTCCTGATGAGGTGGCGGATGGTCTCCTGAGGGATCTCCTCCCAGACCTGGACTAAAGCATCCGCCAACTCCTGGACAGTCTGTGGTGCAACGTGGCGTTGGTGGATGGAGCGAGACATGATGTCCCAGATGTGCTCAATTGGATTCAGGTCTGGGGAACGGGCGGGCCAGTCCATAGCATCAATGCCTTCCTCTTGCAGGAACTGCTGACACACTCCAGCTACATGAGGTCTAGCATTGTCTTGCATTAGGAGGAACCCAGGGCCAACCGCACCAGCATATGGTCTCACAAGGGGTCTGAGGATCTCATCTCGGTACCTAATGGCAGTCAGGCTACCTCTGTCGAGCACATGGAGGGCTGTGCGGCCCCCCAAAGAAATGCCACCCCACACCATGACTGACCCACCGCCAAACCGGTCATGCTGGAGGATGTTGCAGGCAGCAGAACGTTCTCCACGGCGTCTCCAGACTCTGTCACGTCTGTCACATGTGCTCAGTGTGAACATGCTTTCATCTGTGAAGAGCACAGGGCGCCAGTGGCGAATTTGCCAATCTTGGTGTTCTCTGGCAAATGCCAAACGTCCTGCACGGTGTTGGGCTGTAAGCACAACCCCCACCTGTGGACGTCGGGCCCTCATACCACCCTCATGGAGTCTGTTTCTGACCGTTTGAGCAGACACATGCACATTTGTGGCCTGCTGGAGGTCATTTTGCAGGGCTCTGGCAGTGCTCCTCCTGCTCCTCCTTGCACAAAGGCGGAGGTAGCGGTCCTGCTCTGGACACAACGCTGACAGACACAGCAAACCTTCTTGCCACAGCTCGCATTGATGTGCCATCCTGGATGAGCTGCACTACCTGAGCCACTTGTGTGGGTTGTAGACGCCGTCTCATGCTACCACTAGAGTGAAAGCACCACCAGCATTCAAAAGTGACCAAAACATCAGCCAGGAAGCATAGGAACTGAGAAGTGGTCTGTGGTCACCACCTGCAGAACCACTTCTTTATTGGGGGTGTCTTGCTAATTGCCTATAAGTTCCACCTGTTGTCTATTGCATTTGCACAACAGCATGTGAAATGTATTGTCAATCAGTGTTGCTTCCTAAGTGGACAGTTTGATTTCACAGAAGTGTAATTGACTTGGAGTTACATTGTGTTGTTTAAGTGTTCCCTTTATTTTTTTGAGCAGTGTATTTTGAGAATGTTGGGGAAACGTTGGGAGAAGGTTAGGTATACTAACTCTGAGACCACCTCCACTCCCATCTTGGTCATGTAGTAGGTGCGTTTATACTGTCGGAACTCTGCCTCAAACATGTCCTCTTCTTCACCATCCTCCTCAAAACCTCTGCCAGGGGCTCTGTCCTTCCCATCATCCAGAGTAGTTAGACGCAGAGAGTCCTCCTGCGCACACACACACACAGACACACACAGAATATGGATTTCTAGACACGCATTTGTAGGATCTCTGTGTGTGTGTGTGTGCGTGTGTGTGTGTGGGTGTGTGTATTGCATGCCTCACCAGGTCTTTCTTCCTGGTGTCCTTGCAGTGAGCCTCCTCTGCTGCCAGTCCTGCAGCCTCGTTCAAATACTTGTTCCCCACCTTACTCTCAAACCACTTCAGATCCACAAACACCTCGTTGAAGTGCTCCCTGTCAAACTGGGGCAGAGGAAGAGAGCAGAAAGAGAAAGAAGGAGATAAAGAGGAAGGGATGAAGAGAGAGAAATTGCAAAACTGGTATCAGAGAAAGAGAGTGAGACATACATCACAATCAGAAATGTATGGTAATGAAATAATCCCACTGATAGCGGATGTTTATGGTGTCTCCCACCTCTGACAGTTTCTCCAGGTACTTCTCAAAGTTGCCCAGGTTCAGGTGGCCATTCTCATTCAAGTACCCTTTATGGGTCAAATATAAAAGAAGTTAATCACTTTCTCCAGACGGTATGCAAATAAAATGTTTAATGTGGAAGAAACGCTAGAAGAAGTTGTATGGTGTGTGAGTGTTCTCACCTCCAAGCGTTGGCAGCACACTGATGTAGGTGCGGTAGAGGAGAGGCAGGGCGTCTTGGTTGATGTGAAGATGAGGAAGATGAGGGATGAAGTCATTTCCCACCAGGAAGCCCATTAGGATCCAGTCATCTATGATTCGCTCCAGGTCGTACTCAAACGAGATCTTATTCTGTTAAACAACCAATCATATGAAATCTTACTGTGAGGAACAACCAATCGTATGATCTTATTGTTATTCAAACCCTTCATAGAGAACTGATACTGTGTATTAGTAACTTATAGGTATGCATCTACTGTATTGGTCACACTCAAGCAAGATTTTATTCTGTGTGAGTATGGGTTTGTCTTACCTTAACCTCAGAGAACTCGTAGTCTATGTACTCCCTAAATAGTGACAGGTGCAGTAGATGGAAGGTTGTCTCCTCTGGAGCAGTTATTCTGCAGGAGGGAAATACATACATATAACTCTGTCTTATACACACACACACACACAGCGCTCTCTCTTGCACACTAGACTCACCTCTTCTGGTTTTTCTTCCCTCCAAAGCGGACCTCTTCTCTGAGTAGGGAGAAGTGTGGCTCGTGGCTGGTCAGACCTAACATCATCTGTAGTAGCGAGAGAGAAAGAGACCGTGTAGTTAACACAACCCACCTTCATTAATACGAATGTAACAACAGTAGAATTCTGTCACGTTAATTGACTGATTACAGCAGTGGTGTCAAACTAATTTTGCCCTGGTGGCCGCAATCGGACTACACTTTGGTCTTCATTTCTATACAATTTTGATTTGGTTTTAGTAATTTTAAAGTATATTAAGTTTATCCCCCACCAAAAAATTGCCGTATTTTTGACATCCCTGGATTACAGAAATACATAGACATTCACATCTGCCACCATATACACATCTCTGGATGCCACACACACCACACACCCTTCCCGACACACATTGATGCCATATCTCACAAACACACAGACCACCCACCAGGTCAGCGTCCAGGCCATAGAGACAGTGGCGTGTGTTTGGGTTGTGGCCTGGCTTGGCGTTTTCCGAGCGGATAAACTCCATGATCTTGTGCTCTCCTTCTCCTGGCGTCTGGGGGCAAACAAACAAAGGGTTACAGGCAGTTAAAAGCATGTACAGTCAATGTCAGTCATTCACATATGAAATCTAATAAAATAAATGTGCAATAGAAACCCCCACACTGACACACACACAGTGTCCCCAGCCCTCACCTCGTGTCCAGAAAGGTAGACGTTGACTCCTTTCCAGGCATTATCTGTGGATAGTTTGCTGTTGACAAAGTACTTGAGCTGCTCCTGTAGCCTGGCCATAAAGTCCGTCCCTACAAGAGAGGCATGATGGGTCATATTCATTAGGCAGCAAACAGATTAAAACAGGGAGGGACTCAATTTCATTTTCCATTGGAAACTGTTTTGAAACTGTTTTGCCCTAATGAAAACAACCAATGCTTCATTCATATGCATTCACATGCATCCTAACCCCTAGGAATTGGATGAGGGTATGAGTGGACAGATTGGTGGAGAAGTGATGGATTGTGTAGTGGGCTACATACCAGGTGTGATGCAGTTGGAGTCAAAGCGGGCCTCAGAGGGTAGGACCTCTCCTTTCTCAAGGGCTTTCTTTATCTTGTCCTCTGCTTCTTTGGCCGACCTTCACAAGAAACATATAAGTGATTGATTGGTTGATTGAGTTATGACATTTTTTGATCCATGCCACCATGCCACCGTCACAGATAGTTGTTATCATCATGATCATTACCTGAATCTCCTGCCTCTCTGCTGGTTCATCTTGGCCCGGGGAGCCACTCCGTCCACGGCCATGAAGAACACCTTCCTGGGCTTGATGATCCTGAACAGCACCTCCAAGTAGTGGAAGATGTCTGCAAAGATCTTCTCTTCTGAGATACGGAAGTGGACGTCCTCGTCGTTGGGGTGCGAGCACTGGTGGATGATGCCATTCATATCCAGGTAGAGGTTGTCAAACTCTGGGATCTTGGGAAGAGAGGTAAAGGGGGATGTTAGAGCAGTCTGTCTGTCTGTCTGTCTGTCTGTCTGTCTGTCTACTATCCATAGTAAGAGGACAACAGCATCAATTCTTGAATAACAGAGGGAGTGTATTTATGAGTTGAGGATAAAAAATTATATAGTGGGATTGATTGGAAACAGATATGGACTCTTATTTCAGAAATATGCTGTACATGCAGTAGCTAATCCACATCCGTCGCCAGCCACCCATCAAAACGACGCACAACTCACGGAGTCCAACCAATTCAGACTCCCGATGTTGTGTCCCAAAACTAGGCGTGACTCAGGGCAGAGAGTCAGAGTTCGATTGTGGACAATATTCCACTAATGTATATTGCATACCTGGCAATAGTGATCTCGGTAGTAAAACTCTTACATCTGGTCGACGACTACAATATTTGTTTTTCAGAATGACTTTCTATTTACTTGACAAACCAAACAAAGCATAAATTCAACTATGCCTCGATAAAGAGAACGGAATTGAGCTTTCCTCGGCTAAACTAATATAGGCCTGCCTTATTCACTAACTTAGACTGTTTGATAATCTAACTGGAGCTGATAGCTAGTGGTATTAGCTAGCAAGCTAGCTAACTAGTTAGCTACCTAGAAGGTAAACTGAGTCAAACACGTAGCTAAATTAGTTGGTAAATATGACTATAGTTAGCTAGCTGCATTTTTATTTGTAACTACAATAACAGGTTATCTTATTTAGCTATGACCATAATAATCACAGCTATGAGTAGCGCGTGCAGGCAGAGTGGAAACATCGATACGTCAAGGCGAAACTGTTATGGGCCTGCTATATTTAGCTTGATAGCTTGACTAGTTACCTGCAACAGTAACATTCGCTAGTTAGGTAGCAAAGAAGTAGGCTATGGCTATCATACCTGATGTTCCTTGACAACTTCACTCAGGCAAGGGTATCTTTCTGAAATCCATCGGTAGAATTTCGGCACTCCCATCTTGACCACAAACTTTCTTTTGGGTTAAATTAATAAAAAGGCAAGGGTATAAGAGATAGGTAAAATAACATGAGAAGTTATTTTTGCTACTGAGGGGTTTCGTTTCTGTAGAATGTACCTGTACAGCCAGTAAAACAGTCCGGGTGGAATCAATGACGTAATAAAAAAAAGTCCAGCTCTGTAGGCCTACTCTGTGACTGATTTAGCTAGTATTTCAACAAATATTAATAAACCACGGTAAATAAAAAATGTCAGACAAATATGGCCTTTGTTTTCTTTTCGTTTGGCGCTTTCATTCATGTGCAATCAATTATTTTTTTCCGGCGAGACTCGCAGTTAGTAATTGTTGGTTCCACGTCAGCACAAAGAAAAGAGCCCATCTCCAACGATTTATATATACACTATGCCCTCTCTCTGAATATTATTCACCCTTCCCTATCTCACCCATTGAAGTTGCACCGTTTTCACAAAGCAAGCCAACCTACAAAGCTTACTGACATGACTGAGGAACAATGCAAACAATAAGGCCCTGGCAATCTCCACTGTTACAAAAAAAGGACATTGTTTTAAAATCCATTGTATTTCAGTAAAGGTATTAAAGGGATACTATGTGCATGCCTCTAGAAATTGCTCTAGCCAAGTAATAATGTTACCTCAGCCTTTCAAGTAGGCTTACCCTACTACCTAGCCTACTGAGCTCTTTGCAATTAATGTATTTCAATTTGTTCTTTTGAGTTCATCTGGGTGTACTGTGGTCAATCTATTTGGCATCAAGGACAATTTTGCAATTAAAGATATACTGTACATTTTGCTGTGTACTCCAATACAAAAGTCGCAAACATTTAAATATCTTTAATAAAGTTATACAAAATAAAGTGATAAACATATGTAAATAAACAAAAGTGATAAAATAATTTGTACATCTCAGTACAAAATCTGTCCCCTCATAATCATAATACAGTAGCTTTATATACACAAAGGCACAAAGTGAACATAACATTTCCTCACTGTACACAAAATTTGATTACAGTATTTCACCCAGAATGTGTAACTGAATCAAAACAAAATGTACAACGTTTATTCAAACAGATGGACCACAGTAAATGCTTTTCATATCAGTGTTTTTGGTCAAGGCAAGTTCATTGACAGTGGTTGACTAAATGCAACTGACAGCACTACACAAATATATTTACAGTTACAGTAGTTTTGAGCTATCGAGTGTGTTCATGTGTGTTGTGTTTGTGTGTGTTACTCTGTTTGTATTGACATTAGCTGAAAAGCAACGGCTGAAGAGCATAGGCACCGGTAGATAAGTGAGGAATTACCAGGGTCTGACTGAGCAAAGGTGAGGGAATACATATTAAAAAGTGCATAAAACTGTCTTCATATCCTTTTCTTGTGGTTACCTAGGAACTACTTCAAGAGTTCAAATCACACACAATCCAGTAAGTTGTTATACAAATTGGAATGTCACAGTTCCTGTCATATTCTAAATATCTGTACTTGCTCAAAATGTGTACTTGCTCACTCCCCTCATTGATTTAAAAGCATTGGATTGGTGTAAGCAGTTCCCACCATATCAAGGGGGAGTGAACATACATTTTGAGGTGAACGGTAGGGAATCAGACCGCAACCAAGGGATTTCATGGCCACCCGACTGCTGTGTAGCAAGGAACAGTGGTCATCAGAGGTGGATGAAAGGAGGTGGGTTGAGTTTTAGAGGACCTGGTAGCCTTTTCCTGATTGTGACGCCTGAAGTGTTTCTGTGGCATTCTGAGGGTAGTGGACAATGGAGCCAAGGACACCTGCAGGGAGGAAAATGAAACACACACAATTTAGGAAGATGTAAAACACACCTGAGACATACACACACAGTTAACTCTTGATGTTTACCTCAGCAACAGACACTATGCCAAAAAACGGTAAACACTTGAGAGATGACACAACAGTAAGACAAGAACACAAACACATGCACCAGACACGTGGTAGGAGACATGCAGATGAGTTATAACCACAGAGTGCTACAGCAGTGAAGGGTTCAAGAGTCCTTCATTCTCTCCCTATTGGTAGAGTGTATATTCTTCTGCATTACTGTTCTGCTATAGTGGACTATTTGGCCATTCCCATGATGTCACTGCTTTAGGCAACAATTGCACGTCTGTTGTAGCCTGGCTGACATCACTCATGTGGTACACAGCGAGGGAGAGCTGTGACTCACTGGTCTGGACAGGAGTCCATTTGCTGGTGCCATTTTCACCCAAAAATTGATCGAGCTTTGATTGGCTCTCTCAAACATTTTATTTTCTTCCCCCTGGGGGGTTGAGATCTCTCGTTGTTTGGATTTGAAAATCAAACTGTTGTAATGGAAGTGGGCGGCGCTCTGAGGCTCTGTGTGGCTGTACATGTGGGTGTTTGAGAAAGAAAGAGGTGAGCCAACCAGTAAAATCACAGCCCCCTTGTCACGTTCGTCGGGAACAGAGGACCAAGGCGCAGCGTTGAAGGCAAACATATTCTTTTATTAGTGATTACCCGAACAAAACAACAAACGATAACGTGACGTCCACGGTCTAACACAAACCACACTGGAACAAGATCCCACAACCACTGTGGGAAAACAGCCTGTCTAAATGTGGTTCCCAATCAGAGACAACCAGCAACAGCTGACACTCGTTGCCTCTGATTGAGAACCACTCTGGCCAACATAGAAATTCAACAACTAGAATACCCAAAGGAAACTCACACCCTGGCTCAACATACAAGTGTCCCCAGAGCCAGGGCGTGACAGTACCCCCCCCTAAAGGCGCGGACTCCGGCCGCGCCAACCAAACACCACAGGGGAGGGACCGGGTGGGCACTCCGCCTTGGCGGCGGATCCGGCTCTGATCCCCACTCCCTCTCCAACCCCCCAAAGTACCCCTGGTCCAGTCTGGCCCCGCTGGCCGGAGCTGGACTGCACACTGGTGGAGCGGATTGCTCTAGCTCCGGCGTGAAGCAGCTGACCGGTGCCGGACCAGGCACGGGCCGTGCCGGACTGACGACGCACACCACTGGCTTGGTGTGGGGAGCAGGAACGAACCGGACCGGGCTGGCGACGCTCACCATAGGCTTGGTGCGGGGAGCAGGAGCGGGCCGGGCCGGGCTGGCGACGCGCACCATTGGCTTGGTGCGGGGAGCAGGAACAGGCCGGGCTGGCGACGCGCACCATAGGCTTGGTGCGGGGAGCAGGAACAGGCCGGGCCGGGCTGGCGACGCGCACCATTGGCTTGGTGCGGGGAGCAGGAACAGGCCGGGCCGGGCTGGCGACGCGCACCATTGGCTTGGTGCGGGGAGCAGGAGCGGGCCGGACCGGGCTGTCGAAGCGCACCACTGACTTGGTGCGGAGAGCAGGAATGGACCGGACTGGGCTGGCGACGCGCACCACAGGCTCGGTGCAAGGGACAGGAACAGACCGGACCGTACTGGGGACACACACCACTGGCCCTACGCAGGGATCAGGAACGGGCCGGACCGGACTGGTAACACACCCCAGTACCTCTCGCCGTGCCTCTACACCTTCCTTTCCCTCTTTGACCAGTGGCCCCCGTAACCTGGCGGCCTCCTCTGCCAACCCGCTGGGCCGCTCTATCGCGGTCTCCTGCTGCCCCGTCGTCCATGGCGTGAGCCCCCCCTGAAAAATGTCTGGGCTTCTCTCCTACCCGTGGACCAGGTCTCCATATTTTTCGCCAGCCTTTCGCCCTTCTGCTTCCAAGTCAAGCCCCTCTCTTCCTCACACGGCTTGACCCAGTCGAGGAGGCGAAGGAGATCCGCTAGAGATCTCCCTGGCGATGGCTCCTGGACACGCTGCTTGGTCCAGTCTTGGTGGGATCTTCTGTCACTTTCGTCGGGAACAGAGGACCAAGGCGCAGTGTTGAAGGCAAACATATTCTTTTATTAGTGATTACCCAAACAAAACAACAAACGATAACGTGACGTCCACGGTCTAACACAAACCACACTGGAACAAGATCCCACAACCACTGTGGGAAAACAGCCTGTCTAAATGTGGTTCCCAATCAGAGACAACCAGCAACAGCTGACACTCGTTGCCTCTGATTGAGAACCACTCTGGCCAACATAGAAATTCAACAACTAGAATACCCAAAGGAAACTCACACCCTGGCTCAACATACAAGTGTCCCCAGAGCCAGGGCGTGACAGTACCCCCCCCTAAAGGCGCGGACTCCGGCCGCGCCAACCAAACACCACAGGGGAGGGACCGGGTTGGCACTCCGCCTTGGCGGCGGATCCGGCTCTGATCCCCACTCCCTCTCCAACCCCCCAAAGTACCCCTGGTCCAGTCTGGCCCCGCTGGCCGGAGCTGGACTGCACACTGGTGGAGCGGATTGCTCTAGCTCCGGCGTGAAGCAGCTGACCGGTGCCGGACCAGGCACGGGCCGTGCCGGACTGACGACGCACACCACTGGCTTGGTGTGGGGAGCAGGAACGAACCGGACCGGGCTGGCGACGCTCACCATAGGCTTGGTGCGGGGAGCAGGAGCGGGCCGGGCCGGGCTGGCGACGCGCACCATTGGCTTGGTGCGGGGAGCAGGAACAGGCCGGGCTGGCGACGCGCAACATAGGCTTGGTGCGGGGAGCAGGAACAGGCCGGGCCGGGCTGGCGACGCGCACCATTGGCTTGGTGCGGGGAGCAGGAGCGGGCCGGACCGGGCTGACGAAGCGCACCACTGACTTGGTGCGGAGAGCAGGAATGGACCGGACTGGGCTGGTGACGCACACCACAGGCTCGGTGCAAGGGACAGGAACAGACCGGACCGTACTGGGGACACACACCACTGGCCCTACGCAGGGATCAGGAACGGGCCAGACCGGACTGGTAACACACCCCAGTACCTCTCGCCGTGCCTCTACACCTTCCTTTCCCTCTTTGACCAGTGGCCCCCGTAACCTGGCGGCCTCCTCTGCCAACCCGCTGGGCCGCTCTATCGCGGTCTCCTGCTGCCCCGTCGTCCATGGCGTGAGCCCCCCCCTGAAAAATGTCTGGGCTTCTCTCCTACCCGTGGACCAGGTCTCCATATTTTTCGCCAGCCTTTCGCCCTTCTGCTTCCAAGTCAAGCCCCTCTCTTCCTCACACGGCTTGACCCAGTCGAGGAGGCGAAGGAGATCCGCTAGAGATCTCCCTGGCGATGGCTCCTGGACACGCTGCTTGGTCCAGTCTTGATGGGATCTTCTGTCACTTTCGTCGGGAACAGAGGACCAAGGCGCAGCGTTGAAGGCAAACATATTCTTTTATTAGTGATTACCCGAACAAAACAACAAACGATAACGTGACGTCCACGGTCTAACACAAACCACACTGGAACAAGATCCCACAACCACTGTGGGAAAACAGCCTGTCTAAATGGGGTTCCCAATCAGAGACAACCAGCAACAGCTGACACTCGTTGCCTCTGATTGAGAACCACTCTGGCCAACATAGAAATTCAACAACTAGAATACCCAAAGGAAACTCACACCCTGGCTCAACATACAAGTGTCCCCAGAGCCAGGGCGTGACACCCCTTCATTATCCGCGCATTGTGCCGACAACATCAAACAGCCTCTCTAGACTCTGAAGTCAGGAGGACTTCGAGTTTGTTGTCAGCCAGACTAAGTCTGTTGTGCAATGCACATAGAGTACATGCAAATACACATCACTCGTGTTGTGTGCACGAGGCACAAGTGACATAGACCTACAACTGGGACACAATCAGGATTTACCAAAACAGCTGTTCACAATGTTGCTCAACATGTTTGAACATCAGCTTTCTAAATGTAGAAATGTCCAGGAAGTATGGAATCTCAATAATTCACTGTCAACATATGCATTGACACCAAACGCTGTGATCATGAATACTACCCTCGGCCCTAGGATTCACACCTTTGACAAAAAGGGAACTACCTGTGTAAGAAAAACAAACACACACCAACGAGAGAAGCACAGAGAAAGCCAGTAGCATCAGAAGATAAGGAGACTGTGCCCCGTCATGTTAATGTTTACAGGGTGTGGTTTAGGAGACAGCAGTACCTAGTCAACAAACTAACCCATCTGTTAATATTGAATGTTCTATTAATCGTTCCATACTCCTGTTAACCAAGAAACCGATTGGGACAATGAGATGGAAGTGAAAACATCTTTACCTCCAGGGTGTCCTGAACCGTTGGGATCTGAAGAAAGATAGAGAAACAATACATATTTCCTATTGCCATGGGGAATATAACTTTCATAATTGTACAATAATGTTACGAATCGAGATGCAAAAGTTAAATATAGAATTGTATATCAAGTATAATTTAGTATCTAAAAATGTCATTGCAGGCAATAAACTTTCTACATAGCTGACACACTTTGATCTAAATCTGTCATTTAAATGTAAATTCCCAGACTGGGCAGTATGATATAGGATTGGATGAACTTTAATATCCCAGAGAGGGAAATTGTCTTAGACACGTAGTACTGCTGCATACAAAATATGCTTTATAATGTCACTCACCTTGTCGTTTAGAGATGAGGAAGCTTGCAATAACCAGGGCAATAAAGGCCAGGCATGCTAACAGTGGAGCCAGGACAGTCAGCATGGACATCCCTGCTGAAACATACAACAACAGGAATTCACCGGATTCACCTGCAAGACCTACTGTACTTCAGAAATTGTTAAACAAGTGACTAAAGAAAGGGAACATTCTGTGGATCTTGTGGCGTGTAGGCTGAGGGTGTTGTTACACCCGACACAAGCTTGACATACACACACATACTTTACATAAACAGATGCACGCATGCATACACACTGTTGCCTTCTAATCTATACAATGCTCTTTCAGTGTACACTGTAAGCATAGTGGCACCAAGTATTCCTCCTCCTGTAACCTTACCTCCAGTGGTGGTGGGCTCAGAATATGTGAGCTCCTTCATCAGTTCGGTACAGCTCTCATGGAGTTGTATCCTCTCCCGCCTCATGCGCTCAGTGTCCCAGTCCCAAAGCTGTTTGAGGGCGAGGGCCTGGGGTACCTCAGCTGTCCAGGTGTCCGTGGATCGGTCCAGAGTCAGAAAGTCATTGCCGTTGACAAGGATCTGGTCGGTCAAACGCACCACTCGAAATCCATCCAGTTTGCATTCACGCACACGGAGGTAATGGTAAGTATGATTTTCTGGTCATTGAAGGAAATAAGGAAAGGAATGGTTAAGGATGAATGTATCCTTTACCAGAATATATGTCTGATTGTATTCCTTGTCAGTCAAGGCGGTAGATTTGTCCTGCCCTATCTCAGGTAACTGCCATTGTGCCCTTGAGCAAGTCACCTATATAGAGGTAAAATGTGTTTTATACTGGATATTTGGTGAATATTCGGTTCTCTCGTCAATAGCTATTGAACCAAGCATGCCATGACTATGAAGATGGTATATTCTTAGTCAAGGGAGGATGGACAAAAATGCACCGCTTTTTTGTTGTTGTTGTTGAATTTTTTTAAATATATTTTTTGTTCAGTCTTCAAAAGCTCTTACACAAAGCGTGCCATGACTGTAACAATTATATATTCTGAATCAGGGGAAGATGGACAAAAATCCACTGTTCATTTATTTATTTTTTATTTAGATATTTCTTCCGTCTTTCAATCTTCAATAGCTCTTACACAAAAAAATTAATCTGTGGATTTTTGTCCATCCACCCCTGATTCAGAATATACCATCTTCATAGTCATGGCATGCTTGGTTCAATATTGACGCGAGAAAACAGAATATACACCGAATATCCATTATAAAACACATTTTACCTCAGTGGCTGTGTGTTTGTGTACAGTATTAGTGTGTTGCAGTAAGTTCATTCATGCATTAGGCCTACTTGTCATGGTGTTGGGGACATTTTCTTCTATCTCGAACGCCTGTTGAAAAGACTCGCTGTAGTTGTCCAGCAATACATCACGGATAATGCCACTGACGTCTTTCCCGTAGCTGGAGAGAGGTGCTCCGTTGACCAAGACCTGTTCGACGGTCTCCACCTCGCCGACCACTCCCGACCGCTGGAACTGAATGACCGTGTCTATAACAAAACACATCAACAAATTTAATTTTGTTTGTTTGTTATAAATAGCCTAATATTCATAACACAATAGTGGAGAATGTTGTGCGTAAAATGAACAAATTGTACATCGGAATGAAAAAAGTAAGCAATGGAAAAACGTACCATTTGGAAGACCCCAATTTAACTTGAAAAGCAGAATGAATGTAAGTGGAAGCCGCATCTTTGCACTCTGTGAGAACTGGTTTTGGAAATGATGTACTGTAGCCTAAAAGAACCTCCAATACGTAAGCCAATTGTAATAGATTAGTTATAAATAGAATTTCCAATAGCAAACACGTAGAGTGATAAAGGATAGATCAAGGGCAAAGTGGTTATCAATCAAACGTCCATATGTGTGTAGCCTCAGAATTAGTCGCTACAAGTGATCGGTCCCTATGTTGTCTTTTAAATGCGTAGCTAGCCTACTAAGGTTTTCAGTAGTTTTGATGTGATTGGCTGGTGGTAGGTGGTTCCGTATTAGGCTACGTAACACAATCCTATCAGATGAAAAGGATGGCTACCTCATAGGAGTAAGGACATAGGGACAATCACATAGACAAACAGACATGTAAAATATTAAAATTATAGTTATAAATGCCCCTGAATTGTTTTCCTCTTGTAACATGTTTTTAGTTAGTTTTGGGATAATCTAAATACTGTAGGTTATAGAAAGTTAATGTATATTCAATTTTGACATCCAGTTAGTGTCTAAAAGTGGAATAGTGGAACTACAAACAGGTGTTTGTTTTCCTAACAAATGTATCTAATTTGAATGGTGAGAAATGTGCATATTTATAAAGCCACCATAGCTCCTCATAGGCTACTAACAGTACATAACAGTTTGTTCCTGGATGTTCTTGTCATTGTTACCAGATATTAGACATACGACAGCAAAGGAGTATGAATGCAATGTCCATATATGTATCTTTCTCTGTTACAGAGGTGGATGTTTTCAAACATCATGACTCTATAGGTACAAACAACACTAGAGCAGAGAGGAGATGTGTAGAGGTCAGTCTATCTGTGTCTGACTCAGCTGAACACAAGAAGGAAGATAGAGGAAGTCATAGACACTATCAAACCACCACAGTGGCTACAGTTTGTGTGTGTGTGTGTGTGTGTGAGTGTGTGTGTGTGTGAGTGTGTGTGTGTGTGAGTGTTTCAAGTTTCAAGTTTGAATGTCACATGCACAAGTATAGTGAAATGCCTTTCTTGCAAACTCAGTGGCTAGAGTGTGTGTGTGTTTTTAAAACACGTCCCTTGTGATTGGTTGACAGTGTGTGTAGGCCTATATTCGTTGTGATTGGTCGCCAGTGACTCATGTGTCTCAGGGTTTGTTGACTGTGGAATGCAGCCTCCGAAGCACTGTATGATTGATTGACTATAGATTAGGCGGGGCTTTGACCAAAGTTCACAGTGGCGTAGTCAGCGAAAGAAGTGTCGTCTTTAGCGATGGCGGCGGTGGCTTCGGTGGGGCAGACAGGGTTCTTCTGGAAGTTGACACTGGCGTAGTGAAGAGAGTCAGAGGCGTAGATGGTGGTCGCCAGACCTGAGTCTGGCTGAAGGGGGCGCTCCTTTATACCTTCAGAGTCACCAATACCACCCTGGAGAGGAGAAAGAGGAGGAGAGAGGGAGGAGGGAGAAGAGAGGGAGGAGGAAGACAGATGGAGGAGAGAAGGAGGAGGAGGGAGAAAAGGATGAGGAGATAAGAGGAGAAGGAGAGGAAGAGGAAAAAAGAGAAGGAGGACGTCGTGAAGGAGAGGAAATAATTGTTTGACACAAACTTACGTAAACACACACATACTCCCTCCCTCCCTCCCTCCCTCCCTCCCTCCCTCCCTCACACACACACACACTGACCTTTCCATTGTTCCCTGCATCTGTGCTCATCCTGTGTGTTGAGGAGGCAGCTCCTGTGGAACACAAAGAACACATTACTCATAGGGAGAGTTACACTGGAAGGACTGTAAGCAGACCAGAGGAGCTGATTGCATGTGGTCTGCTCTGTGTGTGTGTGTGTGCGTGCGTGCGTGCATGCGTGTGTGAGTGTGTGTGTGTAATGGCTGGCTGGAATGGAGTGAATGGTATCAAATATATGAAAACCATGTGTTTGATACATTCCATTGACTCCATTCCGGCCATTATTATGAGACGTCCTCCCCTCAGCAGCCTCCACTGGTGTGTGTGTGTTTAAAAAAAATACTCACCTTTCTCTTTGTTGCGTTTACAACTGTAGACAACGACCAGGATGACAGCAAACACCAACCCACCCAGACTCACAGATACAATGATGACCACAGAGGTTCCTTGAAGACACACACACACACACACACACACACACACACACACACACACACACACACACACAGAGAGAGTAGACCACAAGCAATTAGCTCTTCTTTTCTGCTTACATACAGTCCTTCCAGTGTAATTTAAGCCTCAATCAGACTTTGTAACTTCATTCTTCATTTTCCTTGCAGCATTGTGTTGCAGAGGCAGTTGCAGTGCATTTTGTGTGGTGCATACGTTGGATTTATCCTATGTATGCATCAAATTGTATGCGTAGACTTGACAGAAATAGAAGCAAAAGAAGATTGTTGAACTTTTGTTGCACACATATCCACTAACAATGTTGGATTACATAATGGAAAAAGTTTGTGTAAAAAAGGCCGTCCTGCACCTCTCCTATCTACCTAACTTCCCCTCACAGTCCCTTCAGTTTCCCTTAAGTCCCGTTAGTTTGGCTGCTCAGCCTACCTAAGTTACCCCTCACCCATCATAGCCCTGCCATTCCCAACCAATCAGAGTGCTTGGAAATGCGCATCTGGACACTGCACCCGCCCACTCAGGTCAGAGTGTTATCGTTGTCCGAAGGGAGAAGACGCATGTTTCTGAGGTCTTTTTGTTGTCGACAATAACACGAATGTCTAAATGTTGTGCATGTATCGAAATAACCACAACAATAAGATTCAAAGTCATTCCGATTAACAAAATCATATAAACATCTTCAAAGGAAACAGCTGTGTCTGTGTGTGTGTGGTGGTGACTATCAAGAGTACAGTGATGGGCCTCAACATCATGTTCTAACCGGACAGCACTATAGAGGGCAGAACCAAACCAAACAGTTATACAGTGCATTCGGATAGTATTCAGACCCTTGAATTTTTACACATTTTGTTACGTTACAGCCTTATTCTAAAATTGATTAAATAATTTTTTTTCCCTCATCAATCTACACACAATACCCCATAATAACAAAGCATAAACAGGTTTTTAGAAATGTTTGCAAATTTATTAAAAATAATAAACGGAAATATCACATTTACATAAGTATTCAGACCCTTTACTCAGTATTTTGTTGAAGCACCTTTGGCAGCGATTACTGCCTCGAGTCTTGGGTATGACGCTACAAGCTTGGCACACCTGTATTTGAGGAGTTTCTCTCATTTCTCTCTGCAGATCCTCTCAAGCTCTGTCAGGTTGGATGGGGAGCGTTGCTGCCCAGCTATTGTCAGGTCTCTCCAGAGATGTTAAATTGGGTTCAAGTCCGGGCTCTGGCTGGGCCACTCAAGGACATTCAGAGACTTGTCCCGAAGCCACTCCTGCGTTGTCTTGGCTGTGTGCTTAGGGTTGTTGTCCTGTTGGAAGGTGAACCTTCGCCCCAGTCTGAGGTCTTGAGCAGGTTGTCATCAAGGATCTCTCTGTACTTTGCAACGTTAATCTTTGCCTCGATTCTGACAAGTCTCCCAGTCCCTGCCGCTGAAAACATCCCCACAGCATGATGCTGAATCCACCATGCTTCACCGTAGGGATGGTGCTAGGTTTCCTCCAGACGTGACGCTTGGCATTCAGGCCAAAGAGTTCAATCTTGGTTTCATCAGACCAGAGAATCTTGTTTCTCATGGTCTGAGAGTCTTTAGGTGCCTTTTGGCAAACTCCAAGCGGGCTGTCATCTGTCTTTTACTGAGGAGTGGCTTCGTCTGTCCACTCTACCATAAAGGCCTGTTTGGTGGAGCGCTGCAGAGATGGTTGTCCTTCTGGAAGGTTCTCCCATCTCCACAGAAGAACTCTAGAGCTCTGTCAGAGTGACCATCGGGTTCTTGGTCACCTCCCTGACCAAGGCCCTTCTCCCCTGATTGCTCAGTTTGGCCGGACAGTCAGCTCTAGGAAGAGTCTTGGTGGTTCTTAACTTCTTCCATTTAAGAATGATGGAGGCCACTATGTTCTTGGGGACCTTCAATGATGTAGACATTTTTTGGTACCCTTCCCCAGATCTGTGCCTCGACACAATCCTGTCTCTGAGCTCTACGGATAATTCCTTTGACCTCATGGCTTGATTTTTGCTCTGACATGCACTGTCAACTGTGGGACCTTATATATACAGCTGTGTGCCTTTCCAAATCATGTCCAGTCAATTGAATTTACCACAGGTGGACACCAATCAAGTTGTAGAAACATCTCAAGGATGATCAATGGAAACAAGATGCACCTGAGCTCAATTTTGAGTCTCATAGCAAAGAGCCCAGACTTGAACCCGATCGAACATCTCTGGTGAGACCTGAAAATAGCTGTTCAGCGACGCTCCCTATTCAACCTGACAGAGCTTGAGAGGATCTGCAGAGAAGAATGGGAGAAGTATGGGAGAAACTCCCCAAATACAGGTGTGCCCAGCTTGTAGCGTTATACCCAAGAAGACTTGAGGCTGTAATCGCTGCCAAAGGTGCTTCAACAAAGTACTGAGTAAAGGGTCTGAATACTTATGTAAATGGGATATTTCAGGGTTTTATTTTTAATACATTTGCAAAAATGTCTAAAAACCTGTTTTTGCTTTGTCATCATGGGGTGTTGATTGATGAATGAAAAAAAACAATTTAATCAATTTTAGAATAAGGCTGTAACCTAACAAAATGTGGAAAAAGTCAAGGGGTCTGAATACTTTCCGAATGCACTGTATAAATATATATGGGGGGTTGGAAATTATGCAGACAATTACACTGATTGACGCCACAATCGATCTGCAATATTAAAGCTGATCTACCCCATAAAAAAAGACAAAAGAAGAAGAGAACCCAATTTACATATCAAGGTTGGATTTACCATTTAGTGGTGATGGAGGTGACATGGATGAAGATGCAGGAGACATGGTGGTCACCGTGGTGGTCTTGGGTGGCGCTAATGGATATGAGAGTCATAGATTGTCAAGAGACAACACCAAAAGACAACACAAATACGTTGTATACACTATTCATATAGACATATTCATATTCACATATACAGTCAAATTCACAATTAAATGAGATGTTATTTGTCTGTTTTTTTTTTAGCTAAACTTGCTGGGCCCACATACAATAGAGGAATATTATAGAGGTGCAATACATAACATCTTCATATGCAAATCGTACTTGATTAATTTTTTATATTTGTAGTGCGCACTAACTTGACGGTAAACATTATTTGTTCACAACGTCTCCTATGAGAACAAACTATAAGCAATGGAGTAATAGGCCCACAGTTCCCTACACTCTTAGAAAAAAATGTGCTATCTAGAACCAATAAAGGTTCTTCGGCTGTCCCCATAGGATAACCTTTTGAAGAACCCTTTTTGGTTGCATGTAGAACCCTTTTGGTTCCAGATAGAACCCTTTTGGGTTCCATGTAGAACCCTTGAACCCTTTTGGGTTCCAGGTAGAACCCTTTTTGGTTCCAGGTAGAACTATTTTGGGTTCCATGTAGAACCCTCTTTGGAAAGGGTTCTACATGGAACCCAAAATAGTTCTACCTGGAACCAAAAAGGGTTCTACCTGGAACCAAAAAGGGTTCTACCTGGAACCAAAAAAGGTTATCCTATGGGGACAGCCAAAGAACCCTTCTGGAACCCTTTTTCTAAGAGTGTACTATTGTAAGACAGTTCATTGGTTGAAATGACCAATAGGCTAAGTAGCTGGAAGTGTTAAAGAGTGTGCTTTGATAGTAAGTCGTTGGCATCATAGAGCAAAGATTATAAGCTAATTGTAAAGTGGACTGCCAAAATCACCAACTCCTTCACAGACCACAATGTCATGACTAAGCATGCCCAGATCTCACAGCTAGGTCACCACAAAGAAACTCAACACAGGAAGTGACAAAAGGAAGTGCTCTTTCCCAATTTGTAATTCCTTGATTCCTTGCATCCTTTGTGACCAAGATACTAGTAGGCCTTGCTCCATAACCTGGATGGTATTACTATTTATCTTTTGTCTAAAAACAAAATAAATTGGTGAAAAAACGGTGCTTGGAGTACATGATATGAATAACAATGCTTACACTCACCATTAACTATGAGTTGTACTTCAGTGATCAGGGTGGTGTAGACATTCGTTTTCCCACCACACCAGTATACCCCTATATCGTCCACAGTCAGGTTGGTGAAGGTCACAGTGAAGGCTCTCTCCTCTCTGTTATCAGACACAAATAATCGACCATGTTTGTTTAATATTTTGTCAGATTTTAAAGTGATCTTGGATTTGCAGATGAAGCGATCATCTTGTTTGCAGAAATACTTGATGCGATTCACATGGTCCTCTGGATACTGGCAGGTGATGGTAGCGTTTCCCCCCAGATAGGCTGTCATCTCTGTGACTGAGTTCTTACAGCAGTCATCTGTCAAGGGAAACACAACCTCAGCCTTTATTACCTCAGTCTCTCCTAAAGTTTTACAGGTGAAACGTACATGCAGCATCTGCATACCAACCATTTGACCTCATATGCATTTAGATCTTCTTGAGTTACACAGTGTTGTTTGAAGTAGCCTACAGTGTTGTTTTGAAATATGTACTGTGGGCGAATTTTAGAGCAGATGGTGTTAACAAACTATAACATAGCCCGTATGTTTATTTTGCCTAGTGGCACACGCTGTTGAGTTTTGGCCACATGAGAGAAAAATGCTGTGGTGTTTTTGTCTTACAATAACTATTATATTCAGTTCTGTTATGTAGAATTCTATCATTATGTCATCTTGCAGACATGGATTCAGCTTTGATCTAACTTTATTCTAGCACCATTCGCCAGAGTAGCCTGTTCTTTACGAGTAGAGCAGAGAATATAATATATATACAGTATGTAAAGTAGAGAATACACATGCGCAGAACGTGATCTGCACATGCAGAAGCTTCGGAATCTTTAGTTCTGAAAAAAAGGTCTTGGAAAAGTTGGATCTACAGCCACTCCAGGTTTTTTTTTACTTTGAATCCTACCCTGTGATGTCACAGAGAAGCATTTTTTAGGACCTTTCTTCCTATCATTTTAACCACAGATCATAGAAACACGCAATTTGCACATATGTAGACACTGGTTTGGTGCTGAAGATAATGAATATGAGGTTGAAAAGTAGCGGAATTGCACTTTAAATTCATTTTTTGGCCAAATTAAAGTCAAAGTCTTTCACCTTCCTTTACTTTCAGCTCCACCTTAGTAAAATGGCCACTTGGTGTATCTGGTGTTCACTTCACATTTGTAGTTCCCTTCATCACTTTTATCCAGTTTTCTGATGGCCACTGTGAAGTGATCCCCGTCAGTGTCACACAAAGATAATCTATTCTTGTTCTCCCAGGTGTTCTTCATCCCACTTCTTATTTTCTCCTCACAACTTTGAGTTGACTCCTTGCAGAAATATTTCTTGATATTTGACTGGGTATTTACAGCTGAAGATGACAGTTCCTCCTGAGAGTCCTTCCACTTCAAGGCAGCTTACACAACCTGAGATGACATTTGAAAACAGTGGTGGCATCATCATATTATCCATACACACTGGTATCCCAGACTCTTGAGTAGAAGTATTTTAAAGAATACTAACTGGGTGTTATTACATTGCTATAGAGTGATATAACAAGCGTATTACCTGTCATGAAGGACAGGATGATGAATATCAGTAGATTCCTCATCTTATGGGTTCTGGGGCTCTTAGCTCTCAGTCAGAGTGTTGGACTCAGTACCGTCTGGTTGGTTCCGCTGTCTCAAGATGTAGTTCCTGATATAATGCTATGTGTATTGAACTCATCCTGTGCTCTCTCTACTTCTCCAAACTTAAGTGCAAACGTTATGTAATTTCCTCCTCTCTTCTGAACCCTAATTCTCTCTCACTCTTTGCACTCAAACAAACTATTTACTTCCCTTTTTCTGCATCTTTCTCTCTCTTCATTTCGCTGCATGTTACATGTTGCATGTTGCATGTTGAGTTTATATTTTTGTTCAGTGTAGCAACTTTGCAACTACTTAGCATGTTAGCTAACCCTTCCCCTTCCCCTAACCCTAACCCTAACCCTTCCCCTTCCCCTAACCCTAACCCTAACCCTAACCCTAACCCTAACCCTAACCTTAATGCCTAACCTTAACCCCTAACTCCTAGCCTAGCTAACGGTAGCCACCTAGCCACCTAGATAACGTTAGCCACAACAAATTGGAATTGGTAACATATCCAATCAAATCAAATCAAATTGTATTTGTCACTGTCACGGATTCAGCCGAGGCTGCTCCTCCTCTTTGCTCGGGCAGGCTTCAGCGTTCGTCATCACCGGAGTACTAGCTGCTACCGATCTATGTTTCTGTGTTCTACTTGTTTTGTCTTCATTGTACACACCTGGTTCCCATTAGGCCTATGATTAGGTCTCTATTTAACCCTCTGGCTCCCACTGTGTTGTGTGCGTGTTTGTTCTATGTTTGGTGTTATCGACTGGTGAGCGGGATTGTCCTCCCTGCGTGGAGTTTATGTTCATTTGTTAAAAACTAGTAAAGTACGTTGTCTACTAGCTCTGTGTCCTGCGCCTGACTCCGTCCTAACGCTACACACTGACACCTGACAGAAACACGCACCTCAAATGGAGTCAGCAGGTACATTCATTCCTTCCGGATCAGTGGAGGAACGCGTCCAACAGCTGGCGACCATGATACAGACTCTCGGCACAGCTATGGAGCGCGTGTTGAACACCATGGAGCGATGGGAGAGAGGGGGTTTTCCTACACCTCCTCCAACTACACAGCAACCCACACCGCTGTCCACCCCTTCACCATCTGGGTCCATTGGGATTCGGCTCTCGCTCCCGAGGGCATATGATGGTACAGCTGCCGGGTGCCAGGGTTTTCTGCTCCAGGTAGAGCTCTACCTGGCTACCATCCACCCGGCTCCCTCGGAATACGAGAGCGTGTCCGCACTCATCTCCTGTCTGTCGGGGAGAGCGCTCGAGTGGGCCAACGCCGAGTGGGGAGGAATAGACGCGGCGTCGGTGCGCTATGAAGATTTCACCCGCCGCTTCCGGGCGGTATTCGATCATCCACCGGAGGGGAGAACGGCGGGGGAATGTCTGCTCCACCTCAGACAGGGGAAGAGGAGCGCACAGGACTTCGCACTGGACTTCAGGACCCTGGCTGCCAGCGCAGGATGGAATGAGAGAAATGAGGAGAGAATTAGTCTCTTTCTGATTGATTCTCCTGCGTTTCTAGTGGTGTTGGGGCTTCGCTGTTTAACCTCTCATGACCCCCACGATTTCATGGCAACAGAGGGCTCTCAAGGGATGGTCACGTCAGTGCTCGTGGAGGTGGAAAGTCCAAACCAGGTCTCCACTATGCACATTCCCCCCGAATATGCCGATTTGGCTCTCGCCTTCTGTAAAAAGAAGGCGACTCAATTACAACCCCATCGACAGGGGGATTGTGCGATAAATCTCCAGGTAGGCGCTGCACTTCCCTGGAGTCACGTGTATCCTCTGTCACAGGAAGAGACGGCTGCTATGGAAACATATGTCTCCGAATCTCTGGGACAGGGATTTATTCGCCCTTCCGCTTCACCTGTCTCCTCAAGTTTCTTTTTTGTGAAGAAGAAGGATGGAGGTTTACGCCCGTGCATTGACTACCGTGGTCTCAATCAGATCGCTGTTAAGTACAGTTATCCACTACCTCTCATTGCTAGTATGACGGAGTCATTGCACAGGGCGTGCTTCTTCACCAAATTGGATCTCAGGAGCGCGTACAACCTGGTAGCGTATCCGGGAGGGGGATGAGTGGAAGACGGCATTTAGTACCACATCTGGGCACTATGAGTACCTCGTCATGCCGTACGGGTTGATGAATGCTCCATCAGTCTTCCAATCCTTTGTTGATGAGATTTTCAGGGACCTGCACGGACAGGGTGTAGTGGTGTATATAGATGACATTCTCATATACTCCGCTACACGAGCCGAGCATGTGTCCCTGGTGCGCAAGGTGCTTGGTCAACTGTTGGAACATGACCTGTACGTCAAGGCGGAGAAATGTCTGTTCTTTCAAAAGTCCGTCTCCTCCTAGGGCACCACCTGTCCGCGTCAGGGGTGGAGATGGAGATTGACCGCATTTCGGCCGTGCGTAATTGGCCGACTCCAACCACGGTTAAGGAGGTGCAGCGATTCTTAGGGTTTGCCAACTACTACCGGAGGTTTATCCGGGGCTTTGGTCAGGTAGCGGCTCCCATTACCTCCTTGCTGAAGGGGGGACCGGTGCGTCTGCAGTGGTCAGCTTAGGCGGACAGGGCTTTTGGTCACCTGAAGGACCTGTTTACCTCGGCTCCAGTGCTGGCTCATCCGGATCCCTCCTTGGCATTCACAATAGAGGTGGATGTGTCCGAGGCTGGGATAGGAGCTGTACTGTCTCAGCGCTCGGGTACGCCACCAAAGCTCTGCCCCTGTGCTTCCTTTTCGAAGAAGTTCAGCCCGGCGAAGCGCAACTATGATGTGGGGGACCGGGAGCTGTTAGCTGTGGTTAAGGCTCTGAAAGTGTGGAGGCATTGGCTTGAGGGGGCTAAACACCCTTTCCTCATTTTGACTGACCACCGCAATCTGGAGTACATCCGGGCGGCGAGGAGACTGAACCCTCGCCAGGCAAGGTGGGCCATGTTTTTCACCCGTTTTGTGTTCACCCTTTCCTACAGACCAGGTTCCCAGAATGCTAAGGCAGACGCTCTGTCCCGGCTGTATGACACAGAAGAGAGGTCCATGGAGCCCAATCCCATACATCCGGCTTCGTGTCTGGTGGCACCGGTGGTGTGGAAGGTTGACGCGGACATCGAGCAGGCGTTACGTACAGAGCCCAGACACGAAGCGTCAAGGGGAGGGTACTGTCACGGATTCAGCCGAGGCTGCTCCTCCTCCTTGCTCGGGCAGGCTTCGGCGTTCGTCGTCACCGGAGTACTAGCTGCTACCGATCTATGTTTCTGTGTTCTACTTGTTTTGTCTTCATTGTACACACCTGGTTCCCATTAGGCCTATGATTAGGTCCCTATTTAACCCTCTGGCTCCCACTGTGTTGTGTGCGTGTTTGTTCTATGTTTGGTGTTATCGACTGGTGAGCGGGATTGTCCTCCCTGTGTGGAGTTTATGTTCATTTGTTAAAAACGAGTCAAGTACGTTGTCTACTAGCTCTGTGTCCTGCGCCTGACTCAGTCCTACCGCTACACACTGACGCCTGACAGTCACATACACGTGTTTAGCAGATGTTATAGCGGGTGTAGCGAAATGCTTGTGCTTCTAGCGCCGACAGTGCAGTAATATCTAACAAGTAGTATCTAACAATTCCACAACATATACCTAATACACCCAAAACTAGTAAGGAATGGGATTTAAGAATATATACATATATGGACAAGCAATGACAGAGCGGCATGGACTAAGATACAGTAGAATATTATAGATGCAGTATATACATATGAGATGAGTAGTGCAAGATATGTAAACACTATTAAAGTGACTAGTGTTCGAATTGCAATCTGTAAAATATCATACAAATTGTAATTCGTAACATACACGAAATGGAAAATGGACGTCCCCAAATGAATACATACCATACGAAACGTAATATATCAAACTAATTGGAGGGAGACAGATTTACGTTTACTATGTTAGGTCTACCCCTGAGTCCAGGATGTAGCTACCCTCTTCCTCCTTATGAGCCTTAAATAAAGGTATGAAGCAGCTTTTGCTGTTGAACTTGGAGATTGGATATGGTAAGATCGCTGGAGACTCTCCAGTTGGAATCCATCCTATGCCAATGTCTCAACTTTTCAATTTCTCAGCAAGGTATCCTTCAAACATACTTGGTTAACCATGTGTGGATTGAAGAGCATTTTCATTCATGTTTTTTATGACCATCTGTAATATCTTTGACTCAACCTCAAGAACTGAGCCCAGTTTGCTGTACAATGCCACTTTCATGTGTACCATCCCAAGAGCCATTAGCTGACCATTTACACGGTAGCACAAATGGTCTACTACAATTCACTCTGAAGATTATGTTCATTGTCCCTTCTCTGTTTCTATGTGATTAATCTTGATCATAGTTTGTCTTGTGTTCTGCTATATTTCTACGGTTTTAATAATCACACTATAGTAGCCTACACACTACTGCCAAAGTTACATTGTATTCCATCATTTTAGAGCATAAGCCTACTTTTATTTTGAAAGCAGTTACATCCCACTGAACATGTAGCTTACAAGAGGGAAGATACATAGTAGAGGAAGTACCCCTATCAAACCACAGTGCTCAGTAAGTGTGTGCGTGTTTGCTCTTGCTCTTGCTTGTGTGTGTGTGTGACTCACCTGTGTTATATGTTACCTGACCTGTTGCAGTAGGCTATTTACACTAATTATGTTAAGACAACAACAGTGAAGTGCATTGTATAACAAGACAAACAAAATAGGTCAAGGAGGCAGCCGCTCATATGAAGAAGTGTTCACAGAGCATGATGCATGATCTAAATGGAAAGTATATTATGGTATCCATGTGATACACAGGGAGTATATCAAAGATTGATCCCTCATATGCTTCAGAGAGTTTTGCCACTGTGTGCTTCAGACAGCACTACACTGAGTTGGGAGTAAAGTAGTCCCATTCACCAGCAGTGTGTCTGAAGAGACCCTATAATGCCTGGCACGCAATGGAGGGGAATATTGTTTTGGCTGTCAACATAACAAGAACAATAGTGTCTCGGTTTCACTCTGTGTACTTCACTTCAAATGGAAAACCAGAAACCAGACAGGAAGCGACTTTATAAACATTGCCTGAGAGAGGGGGCGGTAGGTAGCACGAGAGAGAAAGGAGCTGAGGACAAGAGAGGGGGGAGAGTGTGAAAGGATAAAGAAGGGAGGATGGGGCAAAGAGAGAGATAAAAGGAGAGTGAAAGGGGAATAATGAAATACAGAAAAATACTGAACATGTTTCGTCACAATCTATGATTATTACAACTGCTGACATTCCCATGACAGACCCAATAGCAAAACTGCATTTTGGGCTTTGAAAAACCACTGTATTCGAATGAAGCAGTGTCAGGGGTTAACTTTATGACCTTTTGACTTTTGGGGACTGTTGATGGAAATGTATGCATCAGTTGCTAAAGCCAGTGAAGCCACCAAAAGGATAGTTCGCCTTTACATTTTAGTCATTTAGCAGACGCTCTTATCCAGAGCGACTTACAATTAGCGAGTGCATACATTATTTTTATTTTTTTCACACTGGCCCCCCGTGGGAATCGAACCCACAACCCTGGCGTTGCAAACGCCATGCTCTTCCAAATGAGCTACATCCCTGCCGGCCATTCCCTCCCCTACCCTGGACGACGCTGGGCCAATTGTGCGCCGCCCCATGGGTCTCCCGGTCGCGGCCGGGAACGTTTGATTTCATATCATAAAATGGAGCTCATGCTGGAGTTGTGCCAGGCAGGTCATGCCATATCATGTGCATATCTTTGTAGGTATTACTGTTTTCCATAGCCCAGGCATGGTCACACAGGCCTACCAGGGAAGTAGATAAAGTACATCAACTCATTGTTTTGAAAATATACACCATCCACCTATAGTATGTTTCTGATATGGATGATTGTCCCTGGAACACAGTATTCTTATTCTATTTATCTGTCCTTGTTGAGGGGCTATGTATGTCCTCTTGCGCACGTGTGATTGTGGTGTCCTGTTGTGCAGGAATATGTGTGATTGGCACCATCCTGTGGTCAAAAGGTGCAATTAAGCTGCTCTTTATGATAGTGTCGCAGTTCTTATATTTTCCATGGTAAACCTGAATGGTTTGTCTTTCTTTATGCAAATGTATTCTTGAATATCGCACACAAACGGATAAATGGTATATTGTGGCCAGTGACGCATCCCTTCTGAAGGCAGAGCCCGCACCAAATATGCAGCCTACTGATTGGCTGAGGAGTTTGTCAATGTAAAAAGGGAGGGTTATCAGGAAACAAATATGGCTACCCTGTCTGTTGGAGAGCCTCAAGAGATGGAAGGTGAGTGACAATCTAATATATGGCATCGCAAATAGTTTATCATGAGGGTGGTTAAATGTATATTTACCTATATATTATTGAACCTTTCCCCCAAACTGTACGCCGCAGGGGATGTTATTTTGTGCTACTTTGCCCTTCCCTCCCTGGTCATGCTAGCTAGCTAATGTTGTTAGCTATGTCATTCAATAAGAAGTTGTTTACGTTTGCCAGCATTTATCTAGCTACTAGCACTAGATAACTAAACTAACATGTTTTTTCTGTACCTAGCTAAATGTCATCCTCCTGTGTTTATTGTAGTTAGCTAACATTAGTTAGATAACAAATAATGACCGACTCATCCACTTAATACAAGCAAGTTAGCCTAGCAACTGAGTGTGGCTGAAATGGGAACATCAAGCTACTCTAGCTAGCTGGTTGGTCCTTGCTGGCCAGTCAGCTAGCGTGGAAAATTTACTTTCAATATTGTCAGATTCTTCAACATCTAAAATCAAAATGTCAGACAGACACAGTCGAAAATAACCTTACTAGTTCCTGTATATAGCTTACTTCAAGACAAGGTGTAGCTAAATATAAATATGTTGCTACTGATGAACGTGCTACTGATCAGCTAGCAGTAGTTTGCAGACACAGCCATCCATAGGAAATTAAGAGGCGTCAAAGCAGGTCAGATCATGTGAGCCTGCTACTACATGGGCGCTTTAGTTTTATTGACTCCTCCATGGCTACAACTGTGATAATGTCCAAACTACATTGAACTGATTGACCAGGGCTGTTCCTTCCCATCTGTTCTGTGTGCAGTGGATCGGAAGGGAGAGTCAGAGGAGTCAGGAGATGATGAGACCAGGAGGAAGAGCATCAACGGGGAGGTAGACCCCAACCAGCCTCCTGCCACAGGTGGGGGCTATACACAAGTTATACCTTAAGGCCCTCAAGGGTGATGCACCCAGCATGCTCCGTACAATCATCAGACTCAAACAGCCTGGTCATACCAGCCACAACCCTGCACAGCATGGGTGACAGGTCCTTCTCACATGTTGCCCCTCAGCTCTGGAACACTCTACCTGTACATGTCAAGGAGGCAGCTTCAATTTCCTCATTTAAAATGTCACTAAACACCTACCTATTCAAGCTAGCTTTTACTGTTCTATCACTTAATTTGCCTAAAGTCTCTTTTGCATTAGTAGTTAATGTATTGTGAGTTTTTCTACTTTTTGATGTATTGATGCTGTTTTTGTTATTGTTTTATTTTTGTTTGATACCTTTTGTGCAATGAATGTGGGAAATTATGCAAGAATACAGGGTAAGGTTAAACACAAGTATAGTGTCACATCATACTCAGGTGGCACAAAATGAAGAAAACATGTTGTACTGTGGTAGCTAGTACATACTAGTCTAGTTAGGCCTAGATGCTGTGGCTGTGTTAAAAATTACCTCTTGAAATGTCTCTCTTTTTGTACACAGTTAAAGAGGAGTCTCCCGTTGATATGGATACCATAACCCTGGACCCAGAGGAAGAGGTGATGGAGGGATGGAAATTAGTGTTGCCATACAATTAGCCTCAGGGTATTATGAATGTTGTTCCAATTTAGTTCTCTACCTAACACACCTACCTCTCTTCACAGGATGTTGATCTTGTCCACTGTAGGATTGGGAAGATTGAGGGACTGGAGGTGTTGAGGAAGGCTAAGGTCAGTAGGTTGACTATTGTCTGTCATTCACCCATATGATTGTAAAAACATCATATAGCTATTTATAGAAAACATAGATGACAATCACCCTGGAGTAAAGGAGACTGTGTCTGCACAAACAGTATGACTAGATTAACTCATGTTTGTGTGTGTGTCTCCAGACGCTCTCTCTAAGGCAGAACCTGATCAAAAACATTGAGAACCTGGAGACGTTAGTGACTCTGAAGGAGCTGGATCTCTACGACAACCAAATCCGCAAACTTGAGAACCTGCAGACCCTCACAGAGCTGGAGTGAGTCTGATGGGACCACATACATACATGGATGTATACACACCGGTGTTCCCTCCCTATCAGCTGACCTTGTGGTTGCCTCGATGACCAGCTTTTACTAACCATTAATAAGTGCATTCCTCTCCCCATTTACACTGACAGAACTGAATGAACTGTGTTACTCCATGTACTATTTTACACAAAATGTTTCCTCACAGTAAAATTGAATTAAACCTGAATGTATTTTGACTCTGATCTCTAGCCAGCTGGACGTGTCCTTCAATCTGCTGAGGAAGGTGGAGGGTCTGGAGCGTCTGACGGGGCTGAAGAAGCTATTCCTACTGCACAACAAGATCAGCCACATTGCCAACCTGGACCATCTCACAGGCCTGGAGATGCTGGAGCTGGGCTCCAACCGCATCCGGGTGAGACAGAGGCCAAGGGTCACGGATCATGTGCGACTAATTACATAGGGTGGCTGGAGCCTTTGACAATATTTAGGGCCTTCCTCTGACACCGCCTGGTATAGAGGTCCTGGATGGCAGGAAGCTTGGCCCCAGTGATGTACTGGGCGGTACGCACTAACCTCTGTAGGGCCTTGTGGTTGGAGGCCGAGCAGTTGCCATACCAGGCAGTGATGCAACCAGTCAGGATGCTCTCGATGGTGCAGCTGTAGAACGTTTTGAGGATCTGAGGACCCATGCCAAATCTTTTCAGTCTCCTTAGGGGGAATAGGTTTTGTCGTGCCCTCTTCACGACTGTCTTGGTGTGCTTGGACCATGTTGGTGATGTGGACACCAAAGAACTTGAAGCTGTCAACCTGCTCCACTACAGCCATGTCGATGAGAATGGGGGCGTGCTCGGTCCTCTTCTTTTTCCTGTAGTCCACAATCATCTCCTTTGTCTTGATCACGTTGCGGGAGAGGTTGTTGTCCTGGCACCACACGGCCAGGTCTCTGACGACCTCCCTATAGGCTGTCTCGTCGTTGTCGGTGATCAGGCCTACCACTGTTGTGTCCATGCAGGCCATGCAGTCATGAGTGAACAGGGAGTACAGGAGGGGACTGAGCACGCACCCCTGAGGGGCCCCCGTGTTGAGGATCAGCGTGGCGGATGTGTTGTTACCTACCCTTACCACCTGGGGGCGGCCCATCAGGAAGTCCAGGATCCAGTTGCAGAGGGAGGTGTTTAGTCCCAGGGTCCTTAGCTTAGTGATGAGCTTTGAGGGCACTATGGTGTTGAATGCTGAGCTGTAGTCAATGAATAGCATTCTCACGTAGGTGTTCCTTTTGTCCAGGTGTGAAAGGGCAGTGTGGAGCGCAATAGAGATTGCATCATCTGTGGATCTGTTGGGGTGGTATGCAAATTGGAGTGGTTCTAGGGTTTCTGAGATAATGGTGTTGATGTGAGCCATGACCAGCCTTTCAAAGCACTTCATGGCTACAGACATGAGTGCTACGGGTCGGTAGTCATTTAGGCAGGTTACCTTAGTGTTCTTGGGCACAGGGACTATGGTGGTCTGCTTGAAACATGTTGGTATTACAGACTCAGACAGGAAGAGGTTGAAAATGTCAGTGAAGACACTTGCCAGTTGGTCAGCGCATGCTCGGAGTACACGTCCTGGTAATCTGTCTGGCCTTGTGAATGTTGACCTGTTTAATGGTCTTACTCACATCGGCTACGGAGAGAGTGATCACACAGTCGTCCGGAACAGCTGATGCTCTCATGCATGTTTCAGTGTTACTTGCATAGAAGTAATTTAGCTCATCTGGTAGGCTTGTGTCACTGGACAGCTGACGGCTGTGCTTCCCTTTTTAGTCTGTAAATTTGTCTCCCAGTGTCTGTTGGAAAGCAGACTGAACCAGGTTTTACTCTAGGATTTTGCCTGTGCATAGCGCTATTCAGTTTATTTAATCATAAACTCCCTAGTCCTTGCCGGTGACAAGCATACCCATAACATAATGCAGCCACCACCATGCTTGAAAATATGATGTGGTACTCTGTGATCTTGTGTTGGATTTGCCCCAAACATAGCACTTTGTATTCAGGACATAAAGTTCATTTCTTTGCCACATTTTTTGCAGTTTTACTTTAGTGCCTTATTGCAAACAGGATGCATGTTTTGGAATATTTATTATTCTGTACAGGCTTCCTTTTCACTCTGTCAATTAGGTTAGTATTGTGGAGTAACGACAATGTTGTTGATCCATCCTCTGTTTTCTCCTATCACAGCCATTAAACTCTAACTGTTTTAGTCACCATTGGCCTCATGGTCATTGATGAAATCCCTGAGCGGTTTCCTTCTTTTCCAGCAACTGAGTTAGGAAGGATGCCTGTATCTTTGTAGTGACTGGGTGTATTGATACACCTTCCAAAGTGTAATTTCATAACTTCACAGGGATATTCAATGTGTGCTTTTTTCTTTACCCATCTACCAATAGGTGCCCTTTGTGAGGCATTGGAAAACTTCCCTGGTCTTTGTTGTTGAATCTGTGTTTGAAATTCACTGCTCGACTGAGGGACCTTATAATTCTCTGTATGTATGGGGGACAGAGATGAGGTAGTCAGTCAAATCATGTTAAACACTATTATTGCACACAGTGTGCAACTTATGTGACTTGTTAAGCTTTTGTTAAAAGCAGACATTAAATATCCCTTTGAGCATGGTGAAGTTATTATTTACACTTTAGATGGCATCCTTCCTAATTCAGTTGCCGGAGAGGAAGGAAACCGCTCAGGGATTTCACCATGAGGTGATTTTAAAACAGTTTAATGGCTGTGATAGGAGAAAGCTGAGGATGGATCAACAACATTGTAGGTACTCCATAATACTGTAGATCATTGACAAAAAATGACAATAAAATCAATTTAATCCCACTTTGTAACACAAACAAATGTGGAAAAAGTCTAGGGGTGTCACTTGTTAAATCCACTTCAATCAGTGTAGATGAAGGGGAGGAGACCGGTTAAAGAAGGATTTTTAAGCCTTGACACAATTGAGACATGGATTGTGTATGTGTGCCATTCAGAGGGTGAATGGGCAAGACAAAATATTTAAGTGCCTTTGAATGGGGTATGGTAGTAGGTGCCAGGCACACCAGTTTGTGTCAAGAACTGCAATGCTGTTGGGTTTTTCACACTCAACAGTTTCCCGTGTGTATCAAGAATGGTCCACCACCCAAAGGACATTCAGCCAACTTGACACAATTGTGAGAAACATTGGAGTCAACATGGGCCGGCATCCCTGTTGAACGCTTTTCGACACCTTGTACAGTCCATGCCCAGATGACTTGAGGCTGTTCTGAGGAGGGGTGCAACTCAATATTAGGAAGGTGTTCTTAATGTTTTGTACACTCGTTTAGATTTGGATTAAGCAGAGCATGTCTCACAATTGGCAGCCACTTGGAACTCGTGAAAAATCTGTCGATGTGCCCTTGAGCAAGGCACTTAACCCTAATTGCTCCTGTAAGTCGCTCTGGATATGAGCGTCTGCTAAATGACTAAAATGTAAAAATGTGTGTGGGTCTTTGTTTTTCCAGGTAATCGAGAATTTGGACTCGCTGTCCTCCTTGACAAGTCTGTTTCTGGGCACCAACAAGATCACACAGTTTCAACATCTGGAGGGCCTACACAACCTGACAGTCCTCAGCATCCAGGTACACACACATACTGTGGCTTGATAGTTTCTGTGACTTCCTCCATCTTAAGTTTTGTGTTCAGTGTGACAACGAGTCATATAGACTGCAGTATTTTTTACACACAAATGCTTGTGTTTAGTGAAACTACTCAGTAGAAGTACATCTACTCATGAAGACAGTACAATATAAAAGACAAGTGGATGTTTTGGTCTCTGAGTATATGTTGTGTTGTCTTTCCTCCAGAGTAACCGCATCACCAAGATGGAGGGTCTGCAGGGTCTGGTCAACCTGAAGGAGCTCTACCTGAGTCACAATGGCATCGAGGTCATCGAGGGCCTGGAGAACAACGTGAGTCAACGGCAACCTGCACGACTGTAGGGCCATGCACATTGCCATGGCGACCAATAAAATCAGAGCAGGAATGCAATGTTTATGGATCCCTAATGAATTAATGTGGTGGGAGTCTGCTAGATGACTGAATGTAATGTAAATGTTGAGCGGCTTCACTGCAGGTAGATTGTATGTTTTTAAAATTCAATAATACATTTTTTTATAAAATATGTGGCATAATGCTCCAAACGTAGTCAATACATGTTGTCATTGCGATTATATGTAGTTATTGCAAAATCAAGACTTGCCGTGTCTGCGTGCTAGTTTAATGGCAAGTATTTAAAAATATTTAAAGTGGTGACTAAATTTATGCTGTTTGTCCACATACAGAAAAAGCTGACAACTCTGGACATCGCAGCCAACCGGGTAAAGAAAATTGAAAACATCAGCCATTTAACAGACCTACAGGAATTCTGGGTAAGAGGGAAGGAGAGATTGAAAAGAGGGATGTGGGTCGCATGGATGAGTCATTTTAAAGTAGATCACTGTCAGTTGTTTGAGAAATGGATATGTCCAAGGTTGCAGATAGGAAACTTCTCTATCATACACTACCGGTCAAAAGTTTTAGAACACCTACTCATTCCAGGGTTTTTCTTTATTTTTACTATTTTCTACATTGTAGAATAATAGTGAAGACATCAACACTATGAAATAACACATATGGAATCATGTAGTAACCAAATAAGTGTTAAACAAATCAAAATATATTTTATATTTGAGATTCTTCAAATAGTCACCATTTGCCTTGATGACAGCTTTGCATACTCTTGGCATTCTCTCAACCAGCTTCAACTGGAATGCTTTTCCAACAGTCTTGAAGGAGTTCCCACATATGCTGAGCACTTGTTGGCTGCTTTTCCTTCACTCTGCGGTCCAACTCATCCCAAATCATCCCACTTTGGTTGAGGTCGGGGGATTGTGGAGGCCAGGTCATCTGATGCAGCACTCCATCACTCTCCTTCTTGGTCAAATAGCCCTTACACAGACTGGAGGTGGGTTGGGTCATTGTCCTGTTGAAGACAAAAAAGATAATCCCACTAAGCCCAAACCAGATGTGATGGCGTATCGCTGCAGAATGCTGTGGTAGCCATGCTGGTTAAGTGTGCCTTGAATTCTAAATAAATCACAGACATTGTCACCAGCAAAGCTCCCCCACACCATAACACCTCCTCCTCCATGCTTTACGGTGGGAAATACACATGCAGAGATCATCCGTTCACCCACACCGCGTCTCACAAAGACACTGCGGTTGGAACCAAAAATCTCCAATTTGGACTCCAGACCAAAATACAAATTTCCACCGGTCTAATGTCCATTGCTCATTTTTCTTGGCCCAAGCAAGTCTCTTCTTCTTATTGGTGTCCTTTAGTAGTGATTTCTTTGCAGCAATTCGACCATGAAGGCCTGATTCACACAGTCCCTTCTGAACAGTTGATGTTGAGATGTGTCTGTTACTTGAACTCTGTGAAGCATTTTATGGGCTGCAATTTCTGAGGCTGGTAACTCTAATTAACTTATCCTCTGCAGCAGAGGTAACTCTGGGTCTTCCATTCCTGTGGCGGTCCTCATGAGAGCCAGTTTCATCATAGCGCTTGATGGTTTTTGCGACTGCACTTGAAGAAACTTTCAACGTTCTTGAAATGTTCCGTATTGACTGACCTTCATGTCTTAAAGTAATGATGGACTGTCGTTTCTCTTTGCTTATTTGAGCTGTTCTTGCCATAATATGGACTTTGTCTTTTACCAAATAGATCCATCTTCTGTATACCAACCCTACCTTGTCACAACACAACTGATTGGCTCAAACGCATTAAGAAGGAAAGAAATTCCACATATTAACTTTTAAGAAGGCACACCTGTTAATTGAAATGCATTCCAGGTGACTACCTCATGAAGCTGGTTGAGAGAATGCCAAGAGTGTGTAAAGCTGTCAAGGCAAAGGGTGGCTATTTGAAGAATCTCAAATATAAAATATATTTTGATTTGTTTAATACTTTTTTGGTTACTACATGATTCCATATGTGTTATTTCATAGTTTTGTTGTCTTCACTATTATTCTACAATGTAGAAAATAGTAAAAATAAAGAAAAACCTTTGAATGAGTAGGTGTTCTAAAACTTTTGACTGGTAGTGTATATCAAATCTCTCTTTCTCCCCCTCCCAGATGAATGATAATCAGATAGAGAACTGGTCAGATCTGGACGAGTTGAAGAATGCCAAAGCCCTGGAGACGGTGTACCTCGAGAGGAACCCCTTACAGAAGGACCCCCAATACCGCAGGAAGATCATGCTGGCGCTGCCCACCGTACGCCAGATCGATGCCACCTTCATCCGCTTCTAACCGGCCCCCGCCCGCAGTGCCACGACACATCTCGCTCCCCCACTTCAGTGTTCCCCCACCTGCACTCACCGTCCTTCCCCCGCAACCGCAAAATTAACCTCCGCTCACTGCACTAATTCCCCACAGGCACACACATACTGATACACACAGACAAGGGTGCCCTTGTATACCACGCACACACACATTCTGACCATCACTTCTCTCCTTACCCTCTCTCATACACATGTGCATGCACGCATGTACACACTAACTCACGCGCACCACTTGACCTATGCTATTGTGTGAACGTTTATTAATTTATTCCCAGAATTGGACTGGATACGGGCTAGGAGGAGTGGGAGCTGCAGGGATGTCAAAAAGACCCCATCTTTCCCCACTGTCCTCCCTCCCCTCCCTGTCTTTTCTCCCGCTCTCCTCCCTTTTCCTTTCCATGTGGAGTAGGGAATGATTGCCCCGCCTGATTGGCCTTTGTCTGGATGATAAAAAAGAGAAGGCAGGCCGTTTTCTATTTGTTATTGAAATTACTGCACCTGGCGGAGAGGGGGATGAGGGTCTTTTTGAGTGGTCGTGCGAGTGTTTATCATATTTTCTTCAGGAAGGTCTACTACGCTCACCAGATATCAAAGTCTTATTTTTTTTATATTCTTTTAATGAATTTTAAATGATCAAATGTGTAAAAAAAAAAATAACATTGACTACTGTAACTGCTGTCCTCTGGTGCTGACACAGGGTCCATGTTGGTGTATGATACTTAGTGTTTGCCATAGGGATATTTAGATCATAACACTGGACTGCTTACATACTGTAGCTACATTACAGACACTGTCTCGTGCACGTGGTGTCTTGTTCAAAGTGAAGGAATTAACTTAATCCCCACCCTGTCACATCAAAGAAGCGTACTCTTTGTACTCGATCTGAAACTGGTACGTCTTGGGACAATAAGGCAAATGTACTGTTCTGAATGCTAATTCATGGTCACCCGAAGGAACAAACCAGGTTTTTTTTCATTTCACGCAAAAAGAAAATTTATGATTTTGCATTGGACAAGTTTAGATTGTTTCACTCTGTTTTGTGCCGTTTCTTGCCTAATGAACATTACCCAGTTACCATAGACTGGAGAGTAGGACCACATGTCAAGGGGGAGGAGTGGGATTTTGCCATAGGATTTGCCCTCAACGATTTAACTTGTTTTTGTGTTATTGATTTCTATTAAGTTTCTTTTAAAACATTTTTGAATGGTAATCCTTGGGCAAACATCCCCAGGAGATCATCGTCTGCTTTTGATTGTAAATAATCAAACTTTATCTTAGACTTTGACTCAACATCCTAATTCAAATAAGTCTGCAGTCTGAGCTATTAATCCATATGTCAATCTTGCTGCTGTAAAATGCAACTAACATTCAGTGATGGTGGCATTCAGCACTCCTTTCTTTTCAGGCCATGATCCTAAAATATTTGAAGTTGGGAGATAATGTAAAGAAAAATATGACAATCTGTTATCATATTTCCAAGTCAATACTCCATGCATATACATGTATGGAGTAACCTATAGTTGTACACTTACAGGGAAAGTTTAACAGAAGTGAACCGTGGTTGTGAACAGAAATGGACTCCGATGACCTATTGACCTGAATCAGTGGGGTCTGTCAGAGTGAAGGTGTGTGGTATGTGGAAGGGAAGGAGTGTGTTTGTGACGTAAAGCGCTTTTAATCACATTGCTCAGGACCTTACTATCGCCATGTAGTGGACCAACAGGCTCAGAAGTTGCCCCTAACCACAGATCTAGGATCAGATAACCCTTCTGTACCCCCAATCAGATTTGAACCTTAATCAATAGTGTAATGACCCTGTATCAATGGTTAGGGAAAATGTATATTCCCTCCTGCAGAGCGAAAGGTGACCCATACAACTGGGACTTATTCAAGAGGGTGCAACATTTAGAATGTTACAGATAAAAATGCAATGTATATAATTTCAACTATTGACTCCTCCCGTTGCTAGACAAGTTGGCAGTTCTATACATTACATTTTTATCTGCCCCACTTGTCCCAGTCCCTCAGATGGGTTCAGAGAGCAACGCTACACAACTCAATTGTATTTTTTTGCTTGTTTTTAATTACGCTTGGCAAAGCGCTTGGTTGACCGTTCTTGAACTGAATGTATTATTAAAGACTAAAGAATAAAGTTACTTAAATTACATGTTTTCCCACAAATGCTTACACCACTAAACTGACATATTAGTGAATAGATTGTAACTACTATTGCATGCACTGTATAAATTAGATTACATGTATTGACTAAAACTACTGTACTATTGTCAGTACTGTGAAGAGAAGAAAATATAACTGTTTCACTTGAAGGGATACCCTTGTATGGGCCACTGGTTGGGGCGGCCTACTACTCAGCCAACGTAGTCAAACCAGAGACAGGGCAATGAAATACATTACCCACAATCCAACACGAGTCTGTGTGACGCAGGCATCCAGGCAAAGCTCGCGAGTACAGAACGGCGGTACGCACGCGCATGATTTGTGTTGTTGTTGGTGGCGGTAAGATGGCGGCGCTCGGGGACGCATCAACTCCGGGGGTGAATGGGTTAATTCAACAGTTCACATCTATTACAGGTAAAATGTGTTACCTTTTATTGTTAGAATGTTCATTTTTCATGAGTTATCTTCCGAAAATAATCATGTCGCCCCAGTATCACAGAAAGCTGCGCAGGAAAATCAGACGGGGCATCAGTGCTTACTTACTGCCCCCTCTGTCATACAAGGGAAAATATTACTGGAGGTAGCTAACTAGCAAGCTAACGACCGTCAAGTGTGTGGTCACCAGAATGCAACATTAACTTTTAAACATAAAATGACCCCCAGGAAAGACTACTCAGAATTGTCCTGGGATGATGTCTGACGCAAAAACGGCTTTCTAGAGTTTCCCCAAAAGTCATTTTGAGTACCTGGAGGTGCAATAACTAGCCTTATTTTCTCTCATTTCTGTGGAATGGACGTTGGGTGCAACATTTTCCTCTTGTCGAGCTAACCTAGCCTAGGCTCCACCTAACCATGCAATGGTGGCTGAAACATCTCCCGCCTGTCATGTTCAAGTGATCGGAACGGAAGCACCACACCAGCCTCCCTCTGCTATCATTACTGTTACACAAAGTTTGCGTTCAAATTGTAATTTAATTATGCTATGTTTAATGTTATATAAATGTAGATAGCAATTTGGCCAAATCCATCCCATTTTTTGTGTGATCCTATCATGTTCTGTCGAGAAGACATGAAAAGTGAAACAGACATGCGCAGTAAACATGACAAACTCTAACCGTCTATATATGCAGCAATGCTTGCATGCAAGTTTAGATTGCATGTAAATTGCACATTATTTTACGCAGTTCTTGATTACAATGCATGGAGATAAAACGTATAGTGAAAGTGCCATTATCCTTCTGCCAGTGCGTTTAGCTCTAACCGTTCGCTGCAGCTAGCGACTGGGACGAGCTGCAAAGAAACACTCAAACTGGACAGTTATCTCCATCTCTTTTTAATTCAAAGACTCAATAATGGACACTCTTACTAACAGTTGTGGCTGCTTCGCGTGATGTTTTGTTGTTTCTACCTTTGTGCTGTTGTCTGTGCCCAATAATGTTTGTACCATGTTTTGTGCTGCTACCGTGTTGTGTTGCTACCATGCTATGTTGTTGTTTTAGGTCTCTCTTTATGTAATGTTGTGGTGTTTCTCTTTTCGTGATGTGTGTTTTGTCCTATATTTTTATTTGTAATCCCAGCCCCCGTCCCAGCAGGAGGCCTTTTGGTAGGCGTCATTGTAAATAAGAATTTGTTCATAACTGGCTTGCCTAGTTAAATAAAGGTTAAATAAATAAATAAAAACAAGACTAATGCATGCACATAAATCAGGTTTTTTTGTGAGTGATCCTAGTTGGGGTTCAGATCTCGTAAAACATTTAATAAAATGGCTTATGTCAACCAACCAATAAATTATTAAATGCATCAAAATATATTTCAGATGTAAAACATCAGGTCACTTTTTGTGTGTGTGTGTGTGTCATCCATATTATTTATGACCTTTCCCCAGGTGCCACAGAGAGTGTGGGGAAGCATATGCTAGAAGCATGCAACAACAATCTAGAAATGGCAGTGACCATGTTCCTGGACGGAGGGGGGATCACAGAGGAGCCCAGCACCAGCTCCAGTTCAGCAGGGGCCTCCAGCAGCAAAGCCCCCGCAGAGTAAGTCAATGGCCTGCTCCACCACACCAACCACTGCAGGGTCCTAAGAGATGGAGCCGGTGTTGAAACAAACCCAAACTTTGAGAGATCGCCAATCCTGGTCCTGCTGTTTTCATTGAAAGCACATTAATGAGAAAGAAAAAGGTCTCCTGGAATTGAAGTTGAATATTGTCTGTCTGTTTTTGCAGTGACGAAGTGCGGGCGCCTATCCCACAGAAGCAGGACATACTGGTGGAACCAGAGCCTATGTTTGGAGGTACAGTACTGCAGAGCAACCCCATAATATAGCCTACCTCACTACAACTTAATTGTAATGGATCTCAATGAAGAGCCCATCTGCTCCCTCTGTCTCCCCCTCTCTGTCTCAGTCCATCTAACAGTCTCTCACTCTCTCTCCATCTATCACTCGCAGCGCCAAAGCGACGAAGACCTGCCCGCTCCATATTTGACGGTTTTAGGGACTTCCAAACAGAAACCAGTAAGTAGCCTACATGTGTATGTGTCTTTATGCGTGTATGTGTTTGCGTAGAAAATAGTGCCACTCAGGCATCAGGCAAAGCACTACTTGTGTTGTGATCATGGTCAGGTTGTGGTATATACACTATCGGCTTCTCTGCCCTCTTTAAGTCCGCCAGGAACAGGAGCTGAGGAACGGCAGTGCGGCGGACAAAAAGCTCAGCACCCTGGCGGATCTGTTCCGGCCCCCCGTCGAGCTCATGCACAAAGGCAGCTTTGAGACGGTGAGGAGCCCCCTCCCCCCTGGACACCCAAGCTCCCTAGACCTGGAGGACTGTCAGTCGACCCTCATCCAAACCACCCTTAGCTGAAAGGATAGAATAGGTCTCTAAGCAGTACGGCAACAATTCCACCTAGCCTGCCAGAGGGCAAGGTGGAGCTTTTACCATATTGATTATACCTATCTGGCTCCTTTCTCTCTCTAGGCGAAGGACTGTGGTCAGCTGGAGAGCAAGTGGCTGATGATCAACATCCAGAATGTGCAGGACTTTGCCTGCCAGTGTCTCAACAGAGACGTGTGGAGCAACGACGCGGTCCGGACCATCATCAGGGAGCACTTCATATTCTGGCAGGTATGAATGTGCACTCACACATGAAATATCACCTTCCCATTCAGAAAAAAATACTTTGTGGTTCAGTAGCTAGGTTTCCATCCAATTTGCGACAGATTTTCATGCAAATATTCAAAAATCTGCATAAAACATTTTTCCACCAGAGATGTGTTTACATCAAACAGACTTTTTGTGGATAAAAGGCTGTGCGTGATGAAAAAACGGTTTTATAGCAAATGGGCCCATTCTGGTCTTTGCACATGTGCTCTAGCCAACAGCTTGCAGATACAGTGCGGGTACTCTACCTACATTATAAGATTATTATGGATAAGAGCAATATTATTTGAAGTTGTAAAACGGCAGCCAAGCATCAATCATCATGTCACCAGACTAAGACCCTCAATATTTATTGGAAAGGAGCATCAAGTTTTTTACCTTGCACATTCACCACCCTGTGAAGTTATTCATAAATTATTTCATCTGTACCGGCATTTCATGTTTCCATCAGCCCGGTTGTGACTTTTTCCATGTCAGGTAATTCATCTGCATGAAATGGTTGGATGAAAACGTGGTTACTGTCACAAAGTTTTTCTCCTTCTTGTCATAACTGTACACAGTACACACGCTGTCACTTACACACACACACACACACACACACACACACACACACTGTGTGCCGTAGAGGCGTGTTGAGAGGAGCTGACCTGCTGTGTGTGGGTGCGTTGACAGGTTTACCATGACAGTGAAGAGGGACAGAGGTATATCCAGTTCTACAAGCTAAACAAGTTTCCCTATATCTCCATTTTGGACCCCCGCACAGGTGAGGCCTGCTCTGGGTTTCTGAGTGCTTGATCAGTTACTAACACTAAAAAGGTTTTGAAAGTCTAACTGACGATGTTCGTGTTTGACTGTTCTGCAGGTCAGAAGATGGTGGAGTGGAACCAGTTGGACGTGGCTTCATTTCTTGAACAGGTGACGGGCTTCCTGACGGAACATGGCCAGCTAGACGCCCCGGCGTCCAGCCACCCGCCCCCTGCCAAACGTGCCCGCTCCGTGAGTCACGGTTCACTCTCTTTTTCACTCTCTCTCTCTCTGTTCATTTCATATTTCACTTTCTCTTCTTTGTATTTTCTTAAATAATGTCCATATTGCTCATTCCAGTCACTCTTTCACACCTCTGTTTGATGTATTCTCTCTCTCCTCTCTCTCTCTCTCAGGAGAGTCTGATAGACGCCAGTGAGGACAGCCAGTTGGAGGCAGCCATCCGAGCCTCTCTCCAGGAGACCCACTATGAGTCATCCTCCGCCCCCGAGCTCCCTGACTCCCCCCATTCTGCAGATGCAGACTCGGACGGAGACTCAGAAGCGGAGCCCTTCTCTGACAGCGAGGGCCTAATCTCTGTCGACGGCTCGGACAACGAGACAACAGAACCCAGGGAGGGTAGTTCCTACTCCACGGGCGGACACACCCCTCCGGGTCCAGCCCCTCCCACGTCTGCAGCCGCAGCCCCCCAGCCCCCGCCACAGCCGGACAGTCCCCCCGCCCATCACAGGAAGTCCCCCCACAAAGAGAACAGCCACAGGAAAGAGGAGAGCAAAAAGAACCACCTGGAGCCTCCGGCGGCCGCCATGGCCCGCTCCCAAGCCGACCCAGACTCAGAGCATCGTTCTGGGGAGAACCATCGCACCTCAGCGGGCCAAAGCTCCAGATCTGTTAAGACGGAAACCTCTGACCTCGACTGCCTTGATGACAATGGTATTAAAACTACTGTGTGTTTCTGCGCATCATGTTCAAGTGTGTGGATGTGACTGTTACTCTGAGATTGTAGCCTAGCGGTTAAGAGCATTGGGCCAGTAACCAAAAGGTTGCTGGTTCGAATCCCCGATCTGACTAGGTGAAAAATATGTCAATGTGCCTTTGAGCAAGGCACTTTAGACTAACTGTTCCTATAAGTCGCTCTGGATAGGAGCATTTGCTTAATGACCAAATGTAAATTGTGTGTATATTTGTGGCTACGTCTTCATCCATCTCTACCCTGACTGCATTCTTCCTGTATTGTGTCGCCAGGTCCCAAGGCCAGACTGATGCTGCGCTACCCAGACGGACAGAGAGAGCAGATTGCCCTATCGTTCAAGGCTAAGCTTATGGTGAGAATGTACTCTTGTGTTAGGTCTTCAGTTCAATTCATGAGCTGAAATAAGTCTGCATAGAAAATCCTGGTCAATTTTCAGTTCAAGAATAGATTTTCAATTAATCCTCTGAGTTGAAATGCAACTGACCCCAACTCCCTGGGACATTAACATATTATAGGACATTATAAAGGCTCATACATGCCTATAACTAATTATAAAGCCGTTATAAAGCATTATTTAGTAAGCTGTTACCATGACTTGTTACTTACCTTCTTCCTCTGTGTCCTCCACCCCATCCAGGCTCTGGTGAGACACGTCCAGTCGAAGGGTTACCCCAATGAACGCTTTGAGCTCGTCACAAACTTCCCCCGGCGGAAGCTGGCCCACTTGGACTATGAAATCACACTTCAGGAGGCGGGGCTGTGTCCACAGGAGACTGTATTTGTGCAGGAGAGGAACTAAGCCCCGTCTTTTCTATCTCTTCAGACCACGCCCATATCACCAATGACCCAGGAGGACGTTACAGGCCGCGACCCCTGACCCTTTGTTCTTTTGGAATTACACCATACCCCTGTTCCGGGACACCGAACAGTGGATGGACTCAATTACCCATCATTCCACTGGGAGGAAGTTGCTGGCCTGTGTACTTTGTTAGAGGGCATTGTTGTTCATCATCAATTACCGAAGGCATTCTATTCTGATTTTAGTTTTATTCTGAGGTAATAAACCAATCGGAGTAGAATACATTAGAGATACAGTTAGAAATAAGCTGAGGGCCCGAATAATAAGCAGAGCTGGCATCAGAGTTGGCTCAGGAAGACTTAGCAGACAAAATACTTTTATCCCCCCGAGTTGGTAATACTTCTTTTTTTGAGTCATGGACACCTACAGCCGGGTAAAGGAGGGGCTTGAACTCTGACCCTGAGCTCAGATGGGTCCCAAATTTGCTCTTCTACGTGTTGATTGGGCGAGGAGGTGTTGCAGCAGTGACCGTGAGAAAGTGGGTGATTTTGAATATGGGAATTGATGTAGAGGGGAGGAGGGTCGTTCAAGGGATTTTGGGGGAGGGGGATGAGGTGTCCTTAACTGTCAACCTGCACTGTACAGGGGTGGTGTAGCAATTGACATTTAGTCTAGTTTTTTTCTTATTTCATTAATTTTTTTATATGCTGCCACATTTCCAAGAAAAGATGCTGATGCTTAAATATAATCATCAAAACAAAGGGAACTTTGGCTTGTTTGTTCTATTCCATTTCTACCATGTTGTGTATCTGCAATCTGTCTATGTGACCACGACCTCAGAAGTATAGTGTTAGTGATGATGCAGAGAAACCCAAATTGACCCCTTGAATCTACAATATCACTCAGGTATTTCTTGATACCCCCACCCCAATGACCTGAACGATCTGGGTCAGTGTAAACAATGGGTTGTGGTGTTATCACTCTTTCTAGCCCAGGGCTGTTCAATGTTGGTCCTGTAGGGCCAAAACACTTCTGCTTTTCATCCTCTCCTTCTAATCAGGGACTAATTCAGACCTGGATCACCAGAGTGGTATAATATGAAGCAAGCTAGATCTACTCAGGCTTTTTTTAAAAGCTAACCAGCTTCAGTTAGCTTCACATTCCAGGTCAGGCTTTATCCGTACTACGACGGTAGATATTTCTCGTTAAGCTGCCAGCTAACTTTTGCAGGCTTGTAACTGCGCTTTAATGACGCACATGGCTAGTCGAACACTAAACTCTTCATTGAGACAATGCTGAAACATCAATCCATGGGCGAGTCAGTGCCACATTTTCATTTGTGCCGAAATCAAAATGAAAGAAAAGTTCTTAAATTCAGCAGGCTATGGGGTGAAATACGCTTTTAGACTTTACGTCTTTATTTTATTATCCAATCACTCCTTCTATCTGTGGAACAGCTTGTTGCATTGTGGCCATACACATATAACCCATAGAAGGGTTTTTGAACCTCTAACCCTGCCAATTTGACTGTTAAACTCATGGGTACACTAGCAATGGCTGCCAGTCTTGGCTTGAATGGGAAATGCCATCCTATGGATTATACACTGCTCAAAAAAATAAAGGGAACACTTAAACAACACAATATAACTCCAAGTCAATCACACTTCTGTGAAATCAAACTGTCCACTTAGGAAGCAACACTGATTGACAATACATTTCACATGCTGTTGTGCAAATGGAATAGACAACAGGTGGAAATTATAGGCAATTAGCAAGACACCCCCAATAAAGGAGTGGTTCTGCAGGTGGTGACCACAGACCACTTCTCAGTTCCTATGCTTCCTGGCTGATGTTTTGGTCACTTTTGAATGCTGGCGGTGCTTTCACTCTAATGGTAGCATGAGACAGAGTCTACAACCCACACAAGTGGCTCAGGTAGTGCAGCTCATCCAGGATGGCACATCAATGCGAGCTGTGGCAAGAAGGTTTGCTGTGTCTGTCAGCGTAGTGTCCAGAGCATGGAGGCACTACCAGGAGACAGGCCAGTACACCAGGAGACGTTGAGGAGGCCGTAGGAGGGCAACAACCCAGCAGCAGGACCGCTACCTCCGCCTTTGTGCAAGGAGGAGCAGGAGGAGCACTGCCAGAGCCCTGTAAAATGACCTCCAGCAGGCCACAAACACCTGCTCAAACGGTCAGAAACAGACTCCATGAGGGTGGTATGAGGGCCCGACGTCCACAGGTGGGGGTTGTGCTTACAGCCCAACACCGTGCAGGACGTTTGGCATTTGCCAGAGAACACCAAGATTGGCAAATTCGCCACTGGCGCCCTGTGCTCTTCACAGATGAAAGCAGGTTCACACTGAGCACGTGACAGAGTCTGGAGACGCTGTGGAGAACATTCTGCTGCCTGCAACATCCTCCAGCATGACCGGTTTGGCGGTGGGTCAGTCATGGTGTGGCATTTCTTTGGGGGGCCGCACAGCCCTCCATGTGCTCGCCAGGGTAGCCTGACTGCCATTAGGTACCGAGATGAGATCCTCAGACCCCTTGTGAGACCATATGCTGATATGCTGGTGCGGTTGGCCCTGGGTTCCTCCTAATGCAAGACAATGCTAGACCTCATGTGGCTGGAGTGTGTCAGCAGTTCCTGCAAGAGGAAGACATTGATGCTATGGACTGGCCCGCCCGTTCCCCAGACCTGAATCCAATTGAGCACATCTGGGACATCATGTCTCGCTCCATCCACCAACGCCACGTTGCACCACAGACTGTCCAGGAGTTGGCGGATGCTTTAGTCCAGGTCTGGGAGGAGATCCCTCAGGAGACCATCCGCCACCTCATCAGGAGCATGCCCAGGCGTTGTAGGGAGGTCATACAGGCACGTGGAGGCCACACACACTACTGAGCCTCATTTTGACTTGTTTTAAGGACATAACATCAAAGTTGGATCAGCCTGTAGTGTGGTTTTCCACTTTAATTTTGAGTGTGACTCCAAATCCAGACCTCCATGGGTTGATAAATTTGATTTCCATTGATAATTTTTGTGATTTTGTTGTCAGCACATTCAACTATGTAAAGAAAAAAGTATTTAATAAGATTATTTCATTCATTCAGATCTAGGATGTGTTATTTTAGTGTTCCCTTTTATTTTTTTGAGCAGTGTATGTCTATGGTTAGTTGTGGCTTTGGCAAATTTTTAAATACAATCGAGCAAAAAACGTACAGTTTGGAAAGCAAACGCTGTCATTACTAAATGTGTGATGTGATTAGGTATTTTAATATTACAATTTTTTAACACAAACCGTTGATTAATAAAATATTTAATCAGTTGTCTTTTTCAAATGAAGGGGATGATGACACAATATTTGCGAGAGGGAGGGTATCTGAGTTAATTGGTACGCAGTCACTTTATTCAGGATAAATTGAGTTTGCCCTGAGTTAGCCTGCCCCAGAACAGGTTAGTTCTAAACGGTTTGTTGCCATTGAAATGTACCTGGCTAAAAGGTGAGCCACTTTCATTGTACCGATTTATCCCGAGTTGAACTTAAAATTGACCAAAGTTGCCTCGCTAACTCCTCCTCGAACCTGATTCGTAGTATAGGGCTCAGGTGAGTGCAACTAACTACCAGGTAGTATCTAGCCCAGCAGATGGTTCGCTAGGGGAAGCTGTCGCAACGTAACTAATATCTATCTAGTCTAGTCAGATATTAGAGGGAGAGATAACAAGTAGCTTGTGATTGGGGGCATGTACAATATCACTAATCTAACTTTGACCCTTACTCACAGTTTGGATTTGTCTGTCACAGGGTTCATCAACTTTGCAGTTAGCTAAGAATCTTAAAAGTGGGAGAGCTATCAAGCTGTTGAGTTCTGATCTGAGTAAGTAGTTTAACATGGGGTCTTGTTGCATACAACTGTCCTGAATAAATGTTGGCGTATTTGTATGATGATTTCTAGATTCCCAGAACCCATGAGTCCATTTAATTTCACCCAAATCTAATTAAAATCTGCTGGACAAGGTTAGTCATTTTGGGAAATCAAAATCCCCACTTTAGTTATGTAGACTACCCAGAGGTTGGGCCTCCATAGAAATACTGCAGAGATACATACACTATATATACAAAGGTATGTGGACACCTTTCAAATTAGTGGATTCAGCTATTTCAGCCACACCCATTGCTGACAGGTGTATAAAATCGAGCACACAGCCATGCAATCTCAATAGACAAACATTGGCAGTAGAATGGCCTTACTGAAGAGCTCAGTGACTTTCAACGTGGCACCGTTATAGGATGCCACCTTTCCAACAAGTTAGTAAGTCAAATTTCTGCCCTGCTAGAGCTGCCCCGGTCAACCTTAAGTGCTGTTATTGTGAAGTGGAAACTTCTAGGAGCAACAATGGCTCAACCGCAAAGTGGTAGGCCACACAAGCTCACACAACGGGACCGCTGAGTGTTGAAGCGTGTAGCACGTAAAAATCGTCTGTCCTCGTTTGCAATGCATTACTGAGTTCCAAACTGCCTCTGGAAGCAACGTCAGCACAAGAACTGTTAATCGGGAGCTTCATGAAATGGGTTTCCATGGCCGAGCAGCCGCACACAAACCTAAGATCACCATGCGCAATGCCAGTGGTGTAAAGCTCGCCACCATTGGACTCGAGCAGTAGAAACGCGTTCTCTGGAGTGATGAATCACACTTCACCATCTGGCAGTCAGAGGGACTAATCTGGGTTTGGCGGATGCCAGGAGAACGCTACCTGCCCCAATGCATAGTGCCAACTGTAAAGTTTGGTGGAGGAGGAATAATGGTCTGGGGCTGTTTGTCATGGTTCTGGCAGACCCCTTAGTTCCAGTGAAGGGAAATCTTAACGCTACAGCATACAATGACATTCTAGACGATTCTGTGCTTCCAACTTTGTGGCAACAGTTTGGGGAAGGCCCTTTCCTGTTTCAGCATGACAATGCCCCTGTGCACAAAGCGAGGTCCATACAGAAATGGTTTGTCGAGATCGGTGTGGAAGAACTTCACTGTCCTGCACAGAGCCCTGACCTCAACCCCATCGAACACCTTTGGGATGAATTGGAACGCCGACTACGAGCCAGGCCTAATCGCCCGACCTCACTAATGCTCTTGTGGCTGAATGGAAGCAAGTCCACACAGCAAATGTTCCAACATCTAGTGGAAAACCTTCCCAGAAGAGTGGATGTTGTTATAGCAGCAAATGGAGGACCAACTCCATATTAATGCCCATGATTTTGGAATGAGATGTTCGAGGAGCAGGTGTCCACATACTTTTGGTCATGTAGTGTATATATACACTATCTAACTTCTGTTACATCCATAATTCTATGGGCCCCCCAATGTTGATACTTTTTGGCCTTTCAACCCTTGTTGACCTCCTTGCACCTAGTTTTGTGAGAGCAAAGGTCAGAGTTGAAAGAGCGGTATCTGCAGCTGATCAAACAGGTGAGGTTGTTGACCTTACTTCACTCTTTTTGTGCAGGGAGTGAAGGGCATCCCTTACTTCCCCTCTTCTCATTTCTAGGAATGGAACAGTGCCAGATTGAGAGGACTGAAGGGAGAGGAGGCTGATGCACACAGGAGCAAAGAGAGAGAAATTAGGATATCCTAAATAGGACACCGTTTTATAGGACTTGAGGATGTCCAAAAATGGACACCAGAAACACCCTCTTACCTTTATGACAACATTATTTCCATATCTAAGAGACCTGAACACTATTTGCAGGTAATTCAGTAGAATATGCCAAGTAGACAGGGCGGTTCAGTCATTCTGTCCCCAAGCAAGTTGATTTGCTGATTTTAACCATTAGACTTTCAAATAGCTCTTTGTTGACTGTTGCTGGTGTTATCGTCCACCATCAGCACCGGCCTGTACCCTACCTGCCCTAATCTCTCTCCTGGCCCCTTACACTAAGTCTGAATTTGTCCTGCTAGGTGACCTAAACTGGAACATGCTTAAACCACCTGACCAAATCCTAAAGAAATGGGACTCCCTAAATCTTTCTCAGAGTATTACCAATCCCACAAGGTATGACTCCAAACACCCAGAAAAGGCTACTCTCCTTGATGTTATCCTCACAAATCATCCTGATAGGTATCAATCTGGCATTTTTGCTAATGACCTTAGTGATCATTGTTTTACACCCTGTGTTCGTAATGGCTGCTCAGTTAAACGACCTGTCCTGATTTGTCATAGACACTTCCTAAAAAACTTTAATGAGCAAGCCTTCCTTCATGACCTGGCCTGTAAATTGGTATAGAATCAGCTTGATCCCCTTTGTCGAAGACACTTTGACCTTTTTTTGATATTTTTAGTGGTATTGTTAACAAACGCCCCCATAAAGAAAATGAGAATTAAAAACAGGTTCAGCCCCTGGTTCAACCGTGATCTGGCAAAGTTACTCCACCTCAAGAATTCCATTTGGCGAAAGGCTCGGCACACGCATACTCAGGCTGACTGGCTCTCGTTCAGGCAAATGAGAAATAAGTGAACTCAGGCTATCCAGAAGGCCAAAGTTAGTTACTTTAAAGGAGCAGTTCTCTCTCTGTGGGTCTAACCCCAATGAGTTCTGGAAAACGGTTAAAGCCTGGAGAATAAATCCTCCTCCTCACAGCTGCCCATGTCCCTTAATGTTGATGATGTGGTTGTTACTGACAAGGAGCACATGGCTGAGCTCTTTAATCACCACTTCATTAAGTCAGGATTCCTATTTGACTCAGCCATTCCTCCTTGCCCGTCCAACATTTCCTCATCTCCCACCCCTTCTAATGCGACTAGCCCCGATGCTCCTCTCTCTTCCCCCAGTCCTGCTACAAAGTTTCTGCCTGCAGGCGGTCACTTAGTGCAAGGTGCTAAAGGAGCTCCTTAAAATTGACCCCCAAAAAACATCTGGGTCAGATGGTTTAGACCCTTTCTTTTTTAAGGTTGCTGCCCCTATCATCGCCAAGCCTATCTCTGACCTTTTTAACCTGTCTCTCCTCTCTTGGGAGGTTCCCATTGCTTGGAAGGCAGCCATAGTGCGTCCTTTATTTAAAGGTGAGATCAAGCTGATCCTAACTGTTATAGGCAAGTTTCTATTTTGCCCTGTTTATCAAAAGTGTTGGAAAAACTTGTAAATAATCAACTGACTGGCTTTCTTGATGTCTATAGTATTCTCTCTGGTATGCAATCTGGTTTCCGCTCAGGTTATGGATGTGTCACTGCAACCTTAAAGGTCCTAAATGATGTCACCATTGTCCTTGATTCTAAGCAATGTTGTGCTGCTATTTTTATTGACTTGGCCAAAGCTACTGATATGGTAGACCATTCCATTCTTGTGGGCCGGCTAAGGAGTATTGGTGTCTCTGAGGGGTCTTTGGCCTGGTTTGCTAACTACCTCTCTCAAAGAGTGCAGTGTATAAAGTCAGAACATCTGCTGTCTCAGCCACTGCCTGTCACCAAGGGAGTACCCCAAGGCTCGATCCTAGGCCCCACGCTCTTCCCAATTTACATCAATAACATAGCTCAGGCAGTAGGAAGCTCTCTCAACCATTTATATGCAGATTATACAGTCTTATACTCAGTTGGCCCCTCCCTGGATTTTCTGTTAAACGCTCTACAACAAAGCTTTCTTAGTGTCCAACAAGCTTTCTCTGCCCTTAACCTTGTTCTGAACACCTCCAAAACAAAGGTCATGTGGTTTGGCAAGAAGAATGCCCCTCTCCCCACCGGTGTGATTACTACCTCTGAGGGTTTAGAGCTTGAGGTAGTCACCTCATACAAGTACTTGGGAGTATGGCCAGATGGTACACTGTCCTTCTCTCAGCACATATCAAAGCTTCAGGCAAGGTTAAATCTAGACTTGGTTTCCTCTATCGTAATCGCTCCTCTTTCACCCCAGCTGCCAAACTAACCCTGGTTCAGATGACCATCCTACCCATGCTAGATTACGGAGATGTAGTTTATAGATCGGCAGGTAAGGGTGCTCTCGAGCGGCTAGATGTTCTTTACCATTCGGCCATCAGATTTGCCACCAATGCTCCTTATAGGACACATCACTGCACTCGATACTCTTCTGTAAACTGGTCATCTCTGTATACCAGACCCACTGGTTGAAGATTATTCATAAAACCCTCTTAGGCCTCACTCCCCCCTATCTGAGATACCTACTGCAGCCCTCATCCTCCACATACAACACCCGTTCTGCCACTCACATTCTGTTAAAGGTCCCCAAAGCACACACATCCATGGGTCACTCCTCTTTTCAGTTCGCTGCAGCTAGCGACTGGAACAAGCTGCAAAAAACACTCAAACTGGATAGTTTTATCTCCATCTCTAATTTCATGGACACTCTTACTGACAGTTGTGGCTGCTTCGCGTGATGTATTGTTATCTCTACCTCCTTGCCCTTTGTGCTGTTGTCTGTGCCCAATAATGTTTGTACCATGTTTTGTGCTGCTACCATGTTGTGCTGCTGTCATGTTGTGTTGCTACCATGCTGTGTTGTCATGTGTTGCTGCCATGCTACGTTGTTGTCTTAGGTCTCTCTTTATGTAGTGTTGTGGTGTCTCTTGTCGTGATGTGTGTTTTGTCTTATATTTTAATTATTTATTTATTTTTAATATTTTTAAATAATCCCCTGTCACCGCAGGAGGCCTTTTGCCTTTTGGTAGGCTGTCATTGTAAATAAGATTTTGTTCTTAACTGACTTGCCTAGTTAAATAAATAAAATTATGCCACGTAAAAAGGGATGGCGACCCCGTTCATCTTGACGCAACTCCCAGTGCTTTCTCAGAAACCAGTCAATGGATGTTAATGGCTGTGTTCGAGTGCATCAAAACCATAACGTATCATGGATTAATTGTGACCGACTGACTGATCTACAAATAATATTGAGTAGTTATTTATGATGACATATGGAAGCCACATGTTTGACTCACTTCCATTCAGTCCATTACAGCCATAACAAAAAGCCTGTATTCCTATAGCTCCTCCCAGCAGCCTTCACTGGTGACCACTGACCTGTCTGGAGGCTGAGCAGTTCAGTCATACACCCACCACAGGAGCAGCTCAGACCAACACAATCAGATATATTTTCTAGGATCAGATTAACCTACCCACAATCCTAACCTTAGCCTTTAGGGGGATAAAAGTCCCTAGGGGGCAATTTAGTTATAAGTTCAGTGCAGGTAGAGTTTGCAAACTCCGGTTTCAGTGTTGCCAACCCATGCACTACACTCGAGCAAGAGGCTAGCTTGTCGCTACTGTGACCATAGTTGACTTCTGGTCTTATCTTTTTCTCATGAAGGTGTCTCTCCATGGACTTTCATCTGTGAACAGTCCCACATTTTTCTGAGAGAGAAATGGATAGATGAACACTGTTCGGGTAAAAGGTAAATTAAGTGCATCACATGTAACATGCTTTCCACAAACTCGTGGCTGTATGTTGTCTATGTTAGTGATATCTATTTGCCAAGAAGAGCAGAAGGGTATACTACAAAGCAGGATCAAGGAGTTAGCTAGCTAACTTGCCTAAATATTCTCATATTACTTTGTATTTTTTAGAGAAATAATCTTGAAATGGGCATGGTCTATTTCTGGTTGCTTATCAAAGTTAGCTGGCTAACTCATTGATCTTGCTCTGTAGTATGCCCCTCTGGTGCCAGCAGGTACGCCTTGCTGAATACACACTATGGCTCACATTTGCCATATAATAATATACATACAGCACTCCCTACTCTGCTCATAAGATATCCTTGTTGATAAGCATATCTGGTTCTGTACAGTCAGAGAGGCCTAGTGGACCACTACTTTTAGACCCTCCTCTCCCACTCTGCCTTATAGTTAAACAGCGGGATGACGCAGCAATTTCCCTTCATTATGTGCACATGGACATGAGCCAAAAGTTGGTGTAGATGAAGAATAAGAATAAAGAGTCAGTAAATCTTTCAGTGAAACTCGAGTTCTATACATGGAAAGGCTGTTCTCCATGTTGACCCAGAGCACCAATTAATGGTGTGAACTTGTGCAAGTTGGCCCAGTAACTAACATAAGTCTTTATTGCTGGCCGTGTACCAGGAGCTGTCACTGCACTCTGACACTGCTGACTACTCAGAGGTCACAGGGTCAACGTTCACATGATACTGTGTGTGTGTGTGTGTCAGAGAGATAGCAAGAGAGTGTGTGGGTATTTGTCCAGCTGTGGTTATGTATTTGACCAGCCACTTGGTTCAAATCAATGGTCATGTCCTTGTCAGAATGTTTATAGTTTGAGTGTTTCTTTCTCAGAGTGCACTGCGGACACTGTTATCCCAATCCCCTGAGACACACCCATGGAGAGGTTGGAGCACAAGGTCAGTCGTAGTGCAGCACGCATGGTGCAGTTTTGCACAATGGCCCTTGGCATCTAGGATTTAAACTGGCAAACCTCTGATTGCTGGCTCTAACTTTTAGGCTACCTTTTATTTATTTTTTATTTAACCTTTATTTAACCAGGTAAGCCAGTTGAGAACAGGTTCTCATTTACAACTGCGACCTGGCCAAGATAAAGCATAGTAGTGCAATAAAACAACAACACAGAGTTACATATGGGGTAAAAAACATAAAGTCAGAAATACAACAGAAAATATATATACAGTGTGTGCAAATGTACCTACATTAGACTAAAGAGCCCTGGATGTCTCTAATTCCATGGTAGACCTTGTTTTCACTGGCCAGTCCTCTACATGAATGAGGAAATAGGGCATGGGTAAAGAAATACAGTATCTGTAGCCACTGGCCACTTTTGATTATTGAGAGGCCAGAATGGAAAGCCCTGTCCCATTTCAGGGCCCAAAGGGTGCTGATCTAGGATCAGGTCCCCCCCTGTCCATATAATCCTAAAAGGCTAAACTGATGTTATATCAGCATTCCTACTCCAAGACTCTTTATGAATACAGGGCCAGAAGGTGTTTTGGTGAGGGGGTTGTTTGTTTTTGTTGTATTTTTCTGCAGCAGACTTGGAGATTCCAAAATGTCACCACTTGCTGCTCATCCAACCCCTCCCAATACACTCCCATACTATGATAAAGATCTAGGAAATAAAGGCACTTCCAGTCAAGGGAGGTTATAATAACACTGACCCATTGTGAAATAATAGTTGATTTTAATAAGTAAGCGTTGGCAGAAAAGGACAAAAAAGATTGACAAAGGCAGGTGCAGGACTTCAGAAATCAAAGGCACTCCCATATAAAGTCGTTTTTGATGAAAATGAAAACGTGTCACTTTCATGTTCAACTACTTAAGATATTGGCTCGAATCTAGGTTGTGCCTTTAGGTTTGGAGAAAATTAACAACTAAGGAAGAACTTTTCACTGGTCTCATTGACTTCTCAAACCCCAAACCCGATTTGGTCTGTTTCGCAAGCGATCCCAGAAGTCTCGCGATGTTGCGCCTCTGGGTTTAGAAACATAATGGTAAGAGTAGGGCGGTCCCAAGGATTCCGGATAGCGCCAACCATTTCTTCTGTACTTAGCTACAGCGTATGCTGCCCCATCTGAAGAAAAGGTGAAATGGTGCGTAAATTCGGACCAAGAGTGGAAGACATGCAACCGCCTCACAGCCAAGTCGCCAGTGTTGCCATGTTCGCTGTTTTCCTGGAAATTGGGCTACTTTGAAAACATTGTCGAAGGTGAAAATGTATTGGCCGCGAGTTGCGGGTTTTTGGGCTATTTCTAAGTTGCACCGCAGCCCCCATGACCTTTCTCTTAAAATATATATATATTTCACTGTGACAGTATTCCCTCCCAAATATGCCCCCCTAGACACAACTATGACAAAACAACCTTTTGCTGTGAATTTTTTTTCAGGCCTTTTGGGTAGATTTTGAGTGGTCATTGGGCTAGAAATTTAAGCTTGACCTGGCAACCCTGCAATGCGCTGCAGTTTTCATGTGTAAAGAGAAATGGCTCTCTTTAACGCATCCAAGCCATCAATGTAAAAATCTCTACTATCAAACAGTATTTTAATTTCTGACTTTTGCCATTTCTGACTTTTGCAATAGCGCGCGTGTTCTTGTGTGTTTTACCTTTGCACCATCAAGGCGAATATAAAACAAAGCTTCATGGTTATGCACCTGGCACATGCATGGTTACACACAATGTAAAGAGAGCGTTTAATTTATGCATTTCATAGTTTGCATACTATTTTGACTGATAGTTTCTTGGAGTTCAACAAAAAGGTTCCAATTAGCCTCAGGAAGAATAATTTTAAGCGCAGCACCAGTTGATATGCTTGCATAATGTAAACAACCTTGCGAGGAGCACATCTAGTGTTCTTTCTCTCTTACCAACGTCTCTCTCTTTTTCTCTGCCAGGCAGGTGAGGCCGATGCCATCACTCGGGATGGAGGAGACGTCTACACAGTGACAGCCGGCCTCAACACTTACTACCTGCAACCCATCATTGCAGAGGACTACTGCGAGTGTTGGCATCTCACGACCAAGTTCAATAATGGAAGAGACTGGGTACACAATGGCCCTTAGCACTTCAGTTGCACAGAAAGGCCTACAGAAAGTTGATGGTTCTATACTTTGAATCGGATCAAATGTATTCTGGCAAAATCTGGTTTCTGACTGTTGTATTGATATCTCCTCTCCTGTCCATCAGACTCTGACATCTGCTATTAGGCTGTGGCCGTGGCCAAGAATGACACTGGCTTCGGGTTCAACAATCTCCGGGGCAAGAAGTCCTGGCACACGGGGCTCGACAAATCTGCAGGCTGGAACATTCCCATTGGCACCCTGGTGACTGTGGGCCAGATCAACTGGGCCGGGATCGAGGACAAACTTGTGGAGGAAGGTGGGTGGGAATGAGTGAAACTTGATGATTGTGCTTGATGGTCTGTAGTTGACTCCCTGGGAGTGAGGAATGTGTGTTGGATGTACTTAATACTGTATCTCTGTCATTGCATGGTGTGGTTTTTCCTCTGTGTGTGTGTGTGTGTGTCAGATTATTTGTATACATATTGGGCTTTATATTTTGGATCTATCTATATAAATTATGTTTGTGTTCTGTTGCTATAGTTTTCATGGCCTGTCAGATATGGATAAATCAGATGTTTGTATGCAGCACATTACTTGATGTGCTTTGTCATATTGATGTACTTCGTCAGCCAGTTTCTCATGTGTTTATTTGTTTTGCAGTGGTGAGATTTGACTTCATGGCCAGCTTCGCTCCAGGCACCACTAAGGGTTCTAAGGGTTCATGTCCTAGCAGTGCAGGGGCCTAGCCAGGCCCACCCATGCCTACACCCCTGCAGCTGGGTAAGGGAGACTGCTCCAGGTCTCACAAGGAACCCTACTATGACTATGCCAGGGCCTTCCAGTGAGTAGCAACCTCATAGAACCTAATAGAAAACTCTAGAACCTCCTAGCCCTACTATGTACAGCCATAACCCAACAATCCCCTACTACACCCTAGATCTCACATATATGTCAGTTTTTGAACCTCTAACTTTTTCAGTCTATCCTTGTTTTGCTCTGTCCTTCCTCATTCTATCAGTACTCTCTGCCTTTCTCTACTCACCCCCGATCAGTCACTGATGAGGTACCTTTGTGTGGTCATTGATGATGTAACTGTGTCGCTCTTCCCACACCAGGTGCCCGAAGGATGGAGCTGGATAATTTGCCTTTATCAAGCACCTGACAGTACCTGGTGAGTATCAAAGCATTAGCTAGCGTTCAGAATCAGTATTTCCCCTTAATGCATCCGTCGCCCCCCGCAGGCAGACCCCAGGAAGACCCCCCCCCCCCCCCCCCCCCCCCCACTAACTGCCACCACTGCTGAAAAATCTCCTAGGGGAAACGCTGAGAATACTAACAAACCATTTTTACAATGCTAACAATGATATTGACTAATGATTATAGAATGGCTTTCTGTTCACGCTAGCAAGATTGTCATCGATAATGCTAGCAATAGCCCTGATGATTCAAAATCTCTTTCTGGCATCACAACCTCGTCAATGCTTACAGTGCAAAAGTTCAAGCCACTCACACCTCACCTTCAATCTCCTTTTACCTACCTACAGCCGCAGAGAAGGTCAACTACGAGCTGCTGTGCAAGGATAGCACCAGGGCTACCATCGACAGCTACAAGATGTGCCACCTGGCCAGAGTACCCTCCAGCGCAGTGGTCAGATGCAAGGACCCCGACCTGGTCAAGAGCATCTACAACAACCTGGAGGCCGTCAAGGTCCTGGACATCACTGTCACCTGTCCCCCAGACAAATACAACATCACTAGGAGCAGAGCAGGATTGCTGATCCAGGATCAGTTTAGCATTTTAGATCATTATGAATAAGATCACAGACATGAGGGACCTGGTCCCAAACCAGCACTCCTACTCTGAGATAATTTTTTAATACAGGTGTTTTTCCTGACCATGTGATCTGACAGGAAAAACTCTGGAACCCTAAACATCACACCTGACACTGGCAAAGATACAGCAGGATAGCATAGTCAAACACATCAATTTCACGGGGTGCTTGTACTGAGATTCAAAAGCCTGGCTAAAAATGCAACCAATCAAGCTTTCTCACGCTTTTCTAGCTCAAGAAATTGATCATAACACATTGACAAAATCATACAAAAATGTTTGAAATCAGCATGTGACATGGATGGAGTGCTTACTCGTTTTCTCCCCAACAGGGCTTCAACCTGTTCTCTTCAGATGGCTACGCAGCCAAGAACCTGATGTTCAAGGACTCCACTCAGAAACTGATGCAGCTGCCCATGAACACTGACTCCTTCCTCTACCTGGGAGCTGAGTACTTGAGCACCATCCAGTCCCTGCAGAAAGGTGAGGCCACACACACACATTCTCTCTCTTGACCATTAGCTCATTGTTACCTCCCCAACCGTTGCTTCTCAGAGCAGGCCACAGGTGCCAACTTCAGGGCCATCAAGCGGTGTGCCGTGGGCAATGCCGAGACGGCCAAGTGTGACACCTGGAGCATCAACAACATCGGAGAGAGAGGAGCCATGATTGAATGCCAGAGTGCACCCACAGTAGAGGAATGCATCAAGAAGATCATGGCTCTATGGGAGAAAAGAGGGTGGGGCTGGAGAAAGAGGTGTATAAATCAGGCGTGATGTGTACTTTATAGTTTTCTTTCGATAATTTCCTTACTCTCATTTTGTTTGTGTGAGCCATCCAGAGGTGTGGGGGTCAATGGGAGACAGAGGGGCGGGAGCACTTAGGGAATCACCGCCGACTTCACAGGATTCCCCGAACACACCCCTTATTACCGGTGCAGGTGAAGGGACGGGGGCTAGTACGCATGGGGGGGAATGGAGACAACAATGGGAGGAACAAATGGACAAAGAAATAAAGAGAAATATTGAACAAAGAAACCAGAAAAGGACAAAATAGGACATTGAGAGACAAAGACAAGAACGGACTAAAAGATGAAGAACGTGCGTGAGTGATTCCCGAAGCTGCGAGCCAAAGCCCAGCTTAGCCACAAAAGAGACTATTTAATTTGTTGATTATCGAAAGGATCTTTGGTTTGTAGGTGAAGTGCTCTGTAACGAGCTAGGATTTTGTTTCCCCTTTCTTGAACTGGCCAAGTGCCATTCTTTGAACGTTAAATATATAATTTAGATTTTTGCAACTTAAAAAGCCAACTCTTCCACCCCCCCGCTACCGCATAGATCGGAACCCCTCTGGACCGATCACATATGTTTTTTTGTTTGTTTCCTTCTTTCCTTCCTTCCTTCGTCTATTTATATGTTGTTGCTCTCCTCCCCACAGTGTAAAGAGGCAGCTGCGATGGATGGTGGGGAGGTATTCACTGCTGGAAAACATGGTCTGCTCCCTGCCATGGTGGAACAGTATGATGCAGGTATCACACACACAAACAATCATTTCCTAGATTTTCTTCTCCCTTTCTATCCCCCACCTCTGCTCTGCCTCCACACTGTTTACGTGCAGCATTTTACTTTCTCTCCTCACAGGTCTGTGCAGCGCCCCTGGTGGTAAGTACACTTGTTTAAATCTACTCCCTCACAAAACTTCCACCATGCTACAGTATTGCTAAGGTAACATAGTATAAAGTATTAATATACAATTTTAGTACTGCTGTCTTAAACCTCTTCCCTTTGTGTCTGTGTGTCCCCTCAGAGACGTCATCCTACAATGCAGTGGTGGTACTGAGGAAGGACTCTGGAGTGAATTGTAACAACCTGCAGGGCAAGAGGTCCTGCCACACCGGCCTTGGCAGAATGGGTCTCCTCCACAACATGACTAATGACTGCGACTTCAGTGAGTGGGCAGCTGTGTGTGTGTGTGTCATGCCATGGTGAATTCTCACACAATCTTTCAAAATGCTGTGCTTATACGTGAGCTTCATGTATGAATCTGTGAGTGAGTTTAGAATACGTCTCTAATTCTATATTTGTGAATGTCTATGAATGTAGTATATCTCATACTGTGTCTCCTTCTTCCTGTGTTCAGCCAAATACTACTTCAGTAAAGGCTGTGGATCTGAGGCGGGCTCTCCCTTTTGTTCCCAGTGTAAGGGTAGTGGAAGGAGATGAAGCAATCTGCAAAGCCAACACTGACGAGCTGTACTACGGCTACACTGGAGCCTTCAGGTAGGGGGGCGCCAACACAATGGTGGCTTCAATAGTGGAGCTGATAATTGAGTTCTTAGCCAGGATCTCTTCTAATAGTGATGGTGGACTATACCAAATATCTTTGTTTTCCTACAGTACATTTCTCACCATCTTATACATTGAGTGTGCAAAACATTAAGAACACCATCCTAATATTGAGTTGCTCCTGCCCCTTTTGACCTCAGAACAGCCTCAATTCGTCAGGGATTCTGGCTCATGTTGACTCTAATGCTTCCCACAGTTGTTGGCTAGATGTCCTTTGGGTGGTGGACCATTCTTGATACACACAGGAAACTGTTGAGCATGAAAAACCCAGCAGCGTTGCAGTTCTTGGCACAACCCAGTGCGCCTGACACATAATACCATACCCCGTTCAGAGGCACTTAAATATTTTGTCTTGCCCGTTCACCCTCTTACCATTCACAATCCGTGTCTCAAGGCTTAAAAATCATGATTTAATCTTTCTCCTCACCTTAATCTACACTGATGGAAGTGGATTTAACAAGTAACATAAATAAGGGATCATAGCTTTCACCTGGTCAGTCTGTCATGGAAAGAGCAGGTGTTCATAATGTTTTGTACACTCAGTGTATATCTGATAGGTGTGGTGTGGCGGAGGTGTGTCTACAGATAAACCGTATTCTGACCTTTACTTAATTCCCTCATAATTCCACCACTTCTACGCGCAAGGAAACCATGAATAAGGTCTAGCGAACCTGCCGGTTCCAAGTGGAAATTCTACACAGGGACACTCGAAGTCAATCTTAAATGAATTATTCTTTATTAACAGCAAGCTGGAGAGGTCACAGTCAAACTTAGATGCATAAAGTACCGGACTGAAGTGAGCTCTGCCGGGGCAGTCCCAATAGTTCTCTTATATACCGCTTACACAGACAAGTTATATTTGCATGATTTAGCTTATTAATTATTCATAATTCATTCATCATTAACGTTTGGTTCATGCATGTGACAGACCAATACCTCACAAGGTTTCTTCTCTCCAAGCTGAGACCTTGAAACTGAGATATCCCTTTCATTCTCAAAACAAGGTTCTGGGTGTACAGCCACATTTCAGATACTGATAGTGAGGATTCCTCCCAGGCACGAACAATCAGTCACTTGCATGAACCCAGTCGAATTGGTTATTAGAAAAGCATAAACATAAAATGTTCCTTCACATTCCCTCCTCAGACACTTCATCCTTTCAAACACTTCACTCTGGGTTGTACAATCATTCTGGGTTGTACTTGTAAAACCATTGCAGTAGAATGTTTTAACTTAAGACCTTCGCTTCATACAGTTACACAATGCGTCATTACACAATTTCATTTAGGATTCTGGCAATGACATTTCAGCTGGAGCTTTTGACGTGAGTGGCATGTTAATGACAGATTGGTATCTCAATGCATTTTTTGTCTACATAACTATACATTTTGCAGTGTGCAGACCTCCACAATCAACCTGATACCCCAAATAAACTATTTTGGACAAGCCTAAACCAATTACTGGCGCAGTTGACCACCCCCGTCCTTCACGGCACTCATTCTTCTGGCGTTTCTTCATTTTCTTCTTCAGATAGCAGTTCGTCCTCCCAATGGCACACATGTTCAAAGAGGATGGCCCTTGATAATGTCCCGATTTCAATATCTGGGGAATAATCTGATTTTCCCAAGCAGACGAAACTCTCACCTGAGCCGCCACCATCCTTTACGGTCCATTATGTCCATTTTCCTACCAGTACACTAGCAGCATGAGAGAAGTTTGGACGGGATCTCTCTCCATGCTCACTCCACATGGACTCATGTCGCAGTTGATAGCTTCGACTGGATGCTGTGTACAGGTTGCTGGCTCGGACTCAGGTTTCAGGTAAAAGTGATGAAGGACCATAGTGAATGCCATTGTCGCCATTACTTCAGCCGGTTAGAGGGGGTGAGGTTCACACTGTTCTTGGTCAAATTATCCCTTCCGTGCATCTAGATACCATCTGTGGTCACCTTCGCCAGAACAACAGTTTAGTTTAGGGCATTTATGATTCAGGAAATCCAGACAAAATAAATTCACTGTATGACAAATTATTACTACTACCAACATTCTTAATACAAATGTCTAAGACAAATGTCAAAGAGAATAACAAGACTCTGGTGAAACAATTTTTTCAAATTGGCTTATACTCCTCCATCATATCGGCGACCTCACCGCAGAGTTACAGGGTCAGGGAGTCAGAGGGCTAACCCTTAGGGAGAAATCCTGACCATCCAACAGACCCAATTTGGTGAGATTTGTATTGAAGCAAGACAAAAACAAAACAACAACATCAATACACGTCTTCCCTTTTGACACATGACTCACATCGTGATTCATGCGTAAAAAACAACAACACTGCCGGTTAAATGAAAATAACAAATACAATTTGAATTACAACCCTTGATAACTCCATCCTAAAATAATTGTATCCCATAAGGTAATTCAAGGAATAGTAAAATAGACTAGAGACAGGTGTCCCTCATTCAGGGGCAGCGCTCATTCTCTCTCTTTCTCTCTCTCTCTCTCTCTCTCGTGGTCCGAATCACACATAGGACTATTGATAAATTATAAACTTCTACCTAATTATAAGTGTTTACATATTATATTTAAATCTCACCCAATGTCTAGCCTTTCTAGTGAGGGTGATCAGGCCTCACCAGAAAGTCAGAACAGAGGTCAGAGGTCAATCAACCCCATTAAGTGAGTGTTCTTTCCCTTTACTTCACTCATTATTTCAAAGATTCCAAACATTTTGTGTACCAGGTTCAAATTGGGTTTTTCAGTACATTTCTTATCAGGAGAATTTACATGTGTGCAACAAAAACTCTGACAATAGAAGCTTCAGAAAATATCATTTGTGTGCCCTTTAAGGTGCATCCTTTCTAACAATAAATCAAATACAGTATTAACACCACTAACAAATATTCATAACAGGTGTGTTGGTGCTGGCGTGTGTGGTAAAACATAGGATAAAAATAAACAAAATGGCGTGGCCTTACTTAATTTGGAAGCTCTCTTAACAGCCGGATCCAGGTACCTTTATACTGTATAGTGCACAGTCTCAATAACTGCTCTCCTAAGGCACCTGCCTCAGGAAGCCTTTCAAAGCGAGAGATACAGAATCATTGGTAAACTTATCAGAAAACTTGGTAGTGGACATTCCATAAGTCCTGGAAAAAAGAAAATAAACATCTTAATCAGTCCAAAAAATTCTTAATCCTAATCGAGTTTACTGCATCTTGGGCAGGAAGTCTTGATAAAACCATGTGTATACAGAATTATACTTCAGATGATAGTGTCCCGTAAAGCGGAATAGGCACCTTCTAAAGTAAACAATCCCAGAGCTCAATATTCTGTACTAAAAACATTTACTTGGATCTACTTCAATTCTGGACACAGTGCCTCGTAATGGAAACAGATTCTTGTTTTAGATGACATTACCTTCTTACTTAAATCATTTGTGTTACCCAAACTATAGAATTTAGTCATAATAATTGGAAATGGTCAAAAATGTATCTTATTATTCATACCTCTGTCCCAAATGTCCCACTATGTCCCTTACAGCCTGTTTGAGTTCAGTGAGTACTGTTAAGTTGCGTAATTCAAATCTGGTATCAGAACAGAATTTAACACTAAGTCACTGAATATATTCTCAGCTTTTTTATTAATATAATTAGTCAAGCGAATAAATGGTAAATGCAATCTTCGTATATACGGGTTCACTGTAACACCTCGCAGGGCAAAACAAAGAACTAACTGTCCCAACCCAAAGTTATTATTTTAATACTCTGACAGAGATAGTTCCCATTCAAAGCGGGCCTGTCAGAGTAGAGGCTGAGCATGGTTTAAACTTACTCAGCCTAATGACATTTTTAAGCTAGGCATAACATCTAATTATAAGAAAATAGATCCCAACAGTACCACTTATTTTCTTCTTCTTTATTATCTATTTGTCCACATGAAGCGTATCTCTAACCCAAATACCAGATGGTGGCCTCTAATTTAATGTCCCAAGGCTCAATCCCTCTGTTCGTCATGTGACCTTGTATTGAAACATTCACTTCTTCAAATTACTAAGATATTGCATTATTAGAGTGATATCTGAAAGCCACTAATATTACCATTCACTTTGTTACTTTCACTAGTCTCCATATCTGTTTCCTTCAACTAGGACTCCCTTCTTCCCAATAGGAAGACCTTCTCAATCACTACTGCTAATACACACGGATCACTTTCAAACAATGTTCTGCTTTTACCCCTATTGTAAGGTTTAAAAACAAACAAAACAAACATGATAACTTTCTCGTTATTGGAAGGCATTGTTTTCATTTTAGTCTACCCTAACAATGTTACTCTATATATTTATTACAAATTTCTGTTGGATGTTCACTTTCTGCTTCACACTTATTACATTTATATTATTTTAAGATTAACATGTAATGCACCAAATTTATAAAATACATTGGCCAATTCAAAACGGGAGTGATAAACTTTGGAGGGAGCTTCCTTTTTTAAGGTAGCTCTCGAGACTAGAGTCTCTTTCTGCGATCAACTTTCACTATAACTGGGCTGGCACTGTCTATCAGTCCCCTGTAGATGGCATGCTCTGTCCATAATAAGTCTCTACCTAGCAAGTTAAACTCTAGTAATCCATTATACATTCATACATTGTTACTTTATCAAATATAGTAACCCATTATACTATTAATTTATCTTAATACTTTTTACACCACTTACATAGTGGTTGGGGTATTCCTTCAGACACTCACCTCTTTCACACCGGAGCTAGTCCCTTGACAGCTCTCATTCACTCAGTACTTAATAGTATGTCACACCCTGATCTGTTTCACCTGTCTTGCGCTTGTCTCCACCCCCCTCCAGGTGTGTCCCATTTTCCCCATTATCCCCTGTGCATTTATACCCGCGTTTTCTGTTTGTCTGTTGCCAGTTCGT